TAGCGGAACCTGAAGAAAGTATAGGCTTTAAATGAGCGGTCTCGTAGCCGACACTAAGACGTCATGTTCTTTGTGTGCTAGTATTCATGACCTGATGCATGATAGTCCATGGAATTTACACACGGAATTGGCCGCTCCGTGCATCTTTGAATGAGGTTTGCCTAGATTTGTACTCCTTTTTGTACATTTAGTCACGGAGGGGACAGTTATATAGGCGAGTCGACGTTATTGGATTTTGCCACTACTCTCGGGTGGTGCTAATGACAGGACGTAACTCGAAGAGCTGCAATTCAGACTAATAAGAAGGTGCAAGGAAGCTCCGAGTCCACAAACATGCAAAGTCCTCCAGCCTATCGTTGTAAAAAGCTACGACGGAATAGCCCTTCGAGCATCAGCCGGGATGATTCCTTCGACAGACGCCTATCACGCATAGTAAGACACCATAACATGATACCTGCGCCATGACCTGGCACAAACGAGCAAAAAAGTATACCCTATCCCAGTTCGCGCTCGCCCTCCGCCGCAAAAGTTCTCATTTCAGTATCGCCACGATATTTTCTATGCTCAGGAAGTTTTCGCCGTATAGGGGGTTTTCATCCAATAATTCAAGGACAAAGCGGCAAATCTGACAATAGGCCAGAAGGCACGAATCCGCAGGTCCGAAAGGACATAGCAGTGCCATCACTTCGTGCGCCCATCACTGGCGCGCGCGATGCTAGACCCGATGGTCATTGCTGGGCGCGCTTGACTAGAGCCAGCGCCACCCCATGGCAGGACGGAGCGCGACAGCACGGCAAACGGCGTGCACTACGTAACGAGCGACCGGACAATGAGCGACGAGCCTAAAGTCGACGACATGGAGAACGGGATAGTCAAACTTGGAACAATCGATGAAAATTGGGGGGGGGGGGGGGTGGGGGGGCACGCGACCCAATGAGCCGATAGTCCGAGCTCCGCGACAACGAGGCGACGGTAAGGCGCCTAGAGACGACCACCGGCGAGAACGACATCAAGGCGATCATCGCGCCCACCGTAGCGGCTGCACTCGAGACACAACGGCCGACTTGGACAGGAGCCGCTGCAGGTTCGCAGACAAACGAAAATGGCAGGCCATTACCTCTGCCCCGTCGGAGAGGCTCGCTCCTGCAGAAGGAGTCCGGGTCAATAGTCGAGCCGGTCGGTGTAGGCCTGCGCGGTGGCGAGGCAATGACAGCGACGCGCCTCCAGTCAAGTGCTGTCATCGTCACCTTTTCAGGCAAGGTTGCGTTACCTGAAGGGAATACTAAGGATATCACAAGATGAAGGGGTGACATGCCAAAGGGCCCGCAGGCCACACACGCCGTTACTCGTTCCCTTAACGAGCGGCATTACCGTAGCGAGTGAGCTGGTTAACTGTGGCCGCGTCTGGCACGCGCGGCTGTTCGATTGTGAGCTATACGACCTCGTCTCCGGTTCCTGCAATGCTTCAACTAATACGGGTCTGGCCCTAAGGCCCGTACCTACGAATCAACAGCCCGCTGCCGGCACTGCGTTGGCGTTGTGCACAGCGGCGAGGAAGAACAGTGCCCGGATCGCGCACCCCGCGCAACTAAGACCTGCATTAAAGATCACGGCCGACACGCAGCGTGAGACATGCGCTGCATAATTACGCAAGTGGCCTTCACGGGACCAGAGCGACCTTGACGAGCGGGGGCGCAGTCGACGCGTGCTCCGTCTCCATGAAAGGCACGAAGAAGTGGCGTGGGATCCGCACACAGGGGTCGACTGTGTGGAAACCCTTGGAACAGGGGACCAGCTAATACGCGGTAGGGTCGATCTACTTCTCCGAACAGAGGACAGTGCCGCGAGAGCACCATGTCCTCGTTGGGCACTATGGCTCGCATACGGTCAGAGATCGGCCCATAGCGCGCATCTCCTGGAGTGCACGAAACGCTGGTGCCTCGAGCTCGCCACCCCATACGGTGATGACCCGAGGATGTGCCATAGCCAGGAAGACTCAACAATTGAACAAGATTAAACATGAACAATGCCTCATGACCGAAGCAAGGGCAGCACGGAGCGCGGCACCGGAAGGCTGGAACTGGAAAATGTGCGACTAGGAATCTCGGGAAGTAGCAGGGCTGGAGGCGAACAGACATTGCAGGACCACAAGCCCTGCTCTGTGCACCAGATGACCTGGAAATCTGGTGGATTAGGTGGCAAAGTAGCTACAGCGGGTCGCAGAGGCATCAGACTCCCAGAGGACAAGGCCCTGGGGGGGAGTGCAGACTGGTGGTGCCCTGAGACCGAGGTGGCAAGACCCATCTCTTTTGGACTGGTGTTGTTTGAGGTACGGGCCTGTTTGGCGGAGCGCGAGATAACTAGTGCGAGTTGGGACGTCGTCAACGTCGCTACAAGCTTCAGAAGGACTACACATGCCTTGTCCGTGACTGCACGCGTTGCGACTGCTACCCTGTGTCCTTGTTGACGTTTCGCCAGCCTCCAAGGTGCGGCATTGACCCGATCAGTTTGCTTCACCACTGCATCCACGAGAGTGGCTTACTCGCGGCTTCAAATACACCAAAACCATAGACAAGCGAATTCGTGTCTTTGAAGGTGGAAATTGACATGTTTACCAGGGTGTTGTTTGTCGACCCTAGGGAAGCATTTCGTACATTTGGGCCTTTGCGTTGCGCTTGATCCAGCAGGCATGCCCGAGGTCGTGATTTCAATAAACTAAGCGGCTGTCTCTGAAGTGTAGCCTGAAAACTTCTTGTCGCTAAGGTCACGCAGTGGGTGTGATCGAGACTTGCCTCGGCCGCTCTAATTGTACAGAGTTCTATAGAAGTGTGGCAGCCGTAGAAGGACTTTGTATTCACCGCTGGTAGCTTTTTCATGCCAGTAGACTATCCATTGTTGAATCCAGATCACTTTCCCTGTCCAACCTTCCGCTTTGCGTCAAACAGAAAGTGAGCGACTTCGAACACGGAGCAACTATAATCAATGGCGACACGGCGCCCCAGCTCACGTTAGGATCGGACACGAGAAATTACGCAAGGCTCAGCACGGCACAGCACGATGCAACGATAAAAGTCCACAGCTCGACAAGTTGATCGCGAGTGTGGGTAACGGTCCCTAGAGTCTTGAGGAGTTTCTAGACCAACATTGATTACTATCTACGTCCGCGATCTAGCTATCTACAGCTTGCGCGGGAGTGACAGCTCCCTCCAAGAATCACGACTTCCTGGAAAGAGCGAGAATCGACCAGCTTCGATATTTCTCGAGCTTTGCTTACCTCATAGAATAGCATCCTGGCAATGCTCATTCAAGTGCAATCAGCTTGTGACAAGAGGGGCACACGTACATCATGCTGTATGAATTACGTGAATGAGACCACTTCTACATGTTGAGGAGATCTTAAAGCCCGTAGACACTGTTTCTTATATGCCTGATGGCGAAGCGATTCAACAAAGATGGAAAGGAACACCTTAACGGATTATCTACACTCGATACTGATCTAGCTCTGTCTATTTACCTTACGAATCTCGAGGCCTATTTCGAAGGGGCGTGGCTAGAAAGGAGCAGGCTAGTTGATAAATTTGTCACATACCGAGAGAAATACAAGTTCCCGTTCGAAACAATAGCACTATCAGTTCGAATAGTAGATCGCTATCTTAGTAGCCTCAACTTCGGGCAAAAAGGCAACGTATGCAGAACAGAGAACGATAAATTAGTATTTACATCTACATATCTTGCTACGAAACAGGTAGAAGGCGAAACCGTAGCTAAAGAGTTTTGCGACGACACCTTGAAAGACCATTCCGCCGTCACGAAACGAGAGGTCATGAGGGATCACGCTATCCTACAAAAAGAGATATTCAAGGTGTTATCCAACCCACTCGAGCACTCTTCCATTTCTGACTATACTTCCCATAACTGGAACACGCGCGTTCTGGAAACATTTTGGTACTTGGGAGAAGTAAGCCTTTTCAGCCACAAGTTCATTTTGTATACATCCAAGGACCTTGCGAACGTAATACACAAAATCGCATTCGAGATTAAAGATTTGTTCGAAGAATCAATATTGCCACAATACCTCCCTGAAGAAAGTGAGATTAGGCGGTGCTTTGTAGAGTTTCATCTAGATTGGTTTCCATTTGAGAGTATGCCCAGCTTGAAACAATACCGGCGGAGAGGTAAGCGACCGAGGACTATCCGAAATTGATGATGGTATGGAGGCTAATCCCTGCCGCATCTCAGAACTTAATCTAGGTTATGTTTGGGCTTTAAAGTCCCAAAATCCGGAACTCGCGGCTCTTCTTCGGAAGACTATGAAACATACCCGCGCACTCTTACTCGATCTGTCTCCGTGCGGACCAACCAGATGCTGTGAGCTTCAGTACGCGAACAACGGAGACTTGAAACCCGAACCTTGTGCTGCGCAACAAAGGGCAGGTGTTGCGGATAAACTTGGACAGGCCATTGGCTCAACAAAATACTTGCCGTGCAACAACCCATGCAACGCCCTTGCCTCGACCTCCGATTCGGGCATCGTAGGAAACGATCTTGTGCTCCGCCTTGAAGGAGGTTCTCAAGGCATCCAGCGGAAGCTTGACACAGCTTACGCTGTAGACGACCTCGCTCCCTTCGAGGTCAGCGGGGAGCAGCTACTGACGGCTGGCGGAGATGGCTCTAGCAAGCTCTGCGACGCCAAATTCAATGAATTTCCTGTCACCAACTTACACGAGCAAAAGCACGAGATCTCGCCTGTGGCCCGAAGAAATACAATCAAGGAGACATTTGCGTCAAGCAGCTTGGATGCCGCTCCACGTCAACAGGGCAAAGCCATCCAACCACGGGACTCGACTCCGGGGCCAAAAGTTACGATTCCCTCGGTCTCGAGGATCAATTCTTCAAACCCCGCCCTTCACTCTTCTTCCCGTGGTCCGGCATCTACAGCGACCCAGCGTACAAGCAACTCATCCCCAGAACAATCTTCTCGCTCCGAAAACGGAGACATTATTGAATTGCCTGAAATTGACACGGACACTGACGACAGCGATTACGAAGATGTTAAAAGGGTCGAAACTGCCTCATGGGCCGATGCATCGCCTCTCAGGAAGGCACTCATCAACCAGGAGAATGTGAACCCATTCCTCGTGTTCGGAAAGCCCGCCCCTCTCAATATGGAGGAATTATTCCCGGAGAGTAAGGATCGCTTCCACATGTTTCGACGAAGAAAATCGAGTGGCGACTGGAGCGGCGCAGACAGACTGACCGAGGAGGAAGTGCAGCGAGACATCGATGTTCGTGAAAAGATGAGGAGAGAAGGGGCATGGAATCACGAAATGACCGTAGAACTCGCTGGAGTGTACCAGACCTAGCGATAGCAGACTAAAGCCAGCATAGACTATGGAAGGTATTGTGGCGCTAATTGCCTTCAGTAGCTATCTAGACGGAATTTATCTGCGGTATCATAACTCTCGTCTTTCAAGCATAACCGTACGTGGAGCGTGTCTCTGTCTTGAAACATATGGAATTGTTCTATTATGGCACCTGCGAGCAAATTACTTCAGACGTCTTGGCTGTGGGAATCGTGGACAATGATGACAGCAGCGCCGTGGTGTGTGCAGATTGATGGCTCGATGCAGTCAGTATGAAGTTTTGTTGCGACTGGGAGTATTACGAATTGGCCAACAAGATTAACTGCCCTTATTCAATTATGTCGGGCGGATAGCAAAGCGAAGTCAGTCGAGGTACGACAGCACGTTTGATCTATCTCCTTGGCGTCTCCTCCACGCGTACGCTCCACGTTCTCGTCGCATGCAAGCCAGCCAGACGTTGCCGAAAACTGAAACGGAGGACCTCAGTAACCACGGTTTGCACAGGGAGACCGTCCACAGACCGGCCATGTGCGCAGGGCGGGCGGTGCGCGAAAGCCCCTCTAGCGCTGCGCCGAATGCCCAATGAGCACTTCGGCATCTGGGGCGAGATGGCCATCGGTGCAGTGCCTGGGTATAGGTCAGCCTCATTGCTGCACGTTTCGTTCGTTCTGTTTCTTCCTTCGCCAAGCCCGTCAACCCCCTAAGTGCTCTTTTGAAGACGATGACGACGTTGCCGTCGTCTTCATGGATGAATAGACGCTCCGCGCTTGCTTCGTCTGGCTAACCTTCACACGGCAGCAGCAACAATCTCGATAGGTAAGTCGCCGATTCCAGCTGTACTGAGCCCTTCCTGACACCTTCGTATAAGGGCTCCCATTCTGGCCGCAAATTCGCCGCCGCCATCCTAGCCTCCGAGGCCATCAAGCTGCTTCGGAAGCAAGAAAAGCAACAGCAGCAGCAGCAGGCAGTGCTCCTTCCTCCCAGCTCAGGCCCGGCTCCGCCCGAGACGCCCATAAGCCACGATACCACTGGGTCAGCGCGCCGCACTAGGGCGTCGCTGATATATTGTGTACATCTGGAAATGATACGGCCCCACTAGCTACGCGCCCTAGAAATGTTCACCCACATGACTAAGTACATTACCACACGCTTCGGTCTCGCATCGCTAATGGTGCGCGTGTATGTGATTGTCGCTCAATCCTGTGGCAGGCGCATCCGCCAACCGCCTCACTGAGGTAACCGACCGCGTGGCTTCCTCCGAGAATCCATATATCTCTGCTTCATTTCCGAGCTCGGGAAGGGTCGTGCTGAAGGCCACGTCGGCGGCAGTGAGTTCGCGGAGTCTCATGATCGCTCCCTTCGCGAACGTCAGATGGCGCCTCTTGAGAGCCTAGCTCGTAGTATTGTAAGTTCGTCCTCGGTTTGCGCGCCGGGTCGTGGGGGACAAGGACAAGGAGTAGAGGGTGGGGTTTCTCGTCTTGGTTCTTAGTGTTTGTCACGGGTTTTGTCAGTGCGGGTGTTGCCGTACCGCGGCGGGGGAGGCTAGAGAGAGTGGGGCGCTGTCGCCGCGCCGCGTCCTGTTCTCTCCTGCTGCGTTCTTGCTGGGCTCTCGCGACTGCTCGTGCTTGTGTCAACTCCTCCTTTATTTGCTGGGCCCTCGTTTCTGTCCTTCTGGGTGCGCACTGCCTTTGATGCGGTAGTAGATGCGTGGTCAGGGATTTGATACTGCTTCACGGCATCGCGGCTAATTCATCGCGGGTTCTTGGTGCAGGTGTCTCCAGTTTCTGCCAGAATCCTTCTCGGCTAGTACGAAGCGCTTGACAGGATATGACAACCTGTTCGAAGGCCTCGTCTCCTCATACCGCCATCGCGGCGATATCACCCCTAATGCTGCTGTTCTATACAAGGAGGCTCTGAGACCCATTCGTTCCGTTCATACGTTTGGTGATGGACGACTCGAACTCAAGCTGGGCCCAGTGGCGGGGTATGCAGGAAAGAGTCTCCGGGGTGAACGCGCGTAGAACAAAAGTGTATGCAAAGGCCATGACAGAACTGCTGTGGATAGTTGGTCGGCAAGGAGAAGGTCATGTGTAAGGAGAAGGTCTTGTGTAACCGAATTGGGTGCAGCAGGCCCGCGGTCGGAGGCCTTGGGATGAAGTGATGAAGTCGGTGGTGAAGTCGGAAGGCTCTGGCAGGGCAGCTCCTGCTGTAGTGGTAGGGAATCACGGAGAGAAGTCACTCTCTCAGTGCAGCATCGGATGTGCCACTGCGACCAGACTTGCGGACGCGGATTGCGGCATTTTCTTCGCGACTGCAGTGGGCGTGTCGCAAGCTCGCTCCGTCGTCACTTCGCGTTTGGAGACGGGGCAATACACAAAGAGGGCCCTGGGAAGCTCTTGCTCGATGGTCTCGTGACGTGCGATGCTTGAATGCCATAGGCGGGATCAGCCTTGCTTTACCCGCCATGGGGTCCTATTATCCTACTTTATGAAGGCTTACCACTACCTTACTTAATGGTGATATCTCCCAAGCGGGCTTCACAACATAATGGCGTGGTCTGAAAGCTAAATCGAAACTATCTTGCCATACTTCAGTCAAAAGATATGTTCCCTCAAGCTTCCATGTTTTCTGTTGAGGTAACTTTCAACTCGTGAATGAAACAACTAGACTAGCGGCACATAAAGCGTAACGACGTATGATAAATAAATGGTAGCTTTCCTGAAAATACGGCCTAGAATTTGGTCCGCGATACATGACCCCTGAAGATGGAATAAATGATGACATTACATGAGCTCTTTTGGCCAGTAGTCTTTTACAATTTTTTCGGCATCCGTTTCTGCATTTTGCTGCAGGGACACCCCAAGCTTAGCCAGGTCATTCTTTTGACACTGGTTTAAGACCGCTATGGAAATATCTACAGCGTTAGCACGTACCACCATACCGATCTCAGAATTGTTTGCTTCCGAGAAATCTTCCCATTGAATTAATAGAGCCAGCAACTCGCGTTTCTGTAAGGAGTTGACCTTCTTTAAGAAAGTAGCACGATGATAGGCCAGATTATCTTTGACATCTTTCTTGAAGCGCTTATCCTTAGCTCGCCGAGTTGATTCAGCGCTATCGATTCGGCGCCGACTCCAAAGCATCGCCAGAGCTGACCAATAATCCATGACGCATTTCTGAGATACGTCTCTCAAAATCAGTCCCACGGGCTTCATATCGTCGAAGCTTTGGGCCGCATTTGTTTGTTCTACAGTTCGATCGGACGAAGAACGGCACGCGCGGGGAAGGGAATTGCTCGCTTGCCTGGCTTCTCCTATGTGGAATTGATAGGCTCCTTTTTCGTCAGGAATGAAATCCTTACATGGAGGGCGATCGTACAAGCATTCGACAAAAAACTCTATCAGGTCCGCAATCGCGGAAAGCCAATGTTCTTTTCGTTCTTTTGTAGCATCGAATGCCCTGAGGAAGTCATCGATAGCAAGACTCATAAAGGATTGTGCATGAGTTTCATTCTCCAGGGATTCCACGATATCCTTTTTCACATCCCTAGCTTGATCTTTAGTTAGTAGTTGAGTCCACATCGCATCAACATCGTTCACAGTTTGCGCTGGAATATGGCTCCGTGTGCGTGGCATTCGGCGCACTGACTACTAGGTAGCCGATGATCCATTTTTGGCTACATGTCCGTATAATATATACGAAGCTTAACCATTATTTTATGACTAAGAGGTTTACACCTAATTTCATTCGCGAGTAAGCAAATCACGTAAGTATCTGGAAGGCCACCCTTTGAGGCAGCCATCCCAAGATCCCCGTCAGCAGCCCACTGCTCAGGTGATGCCCCTGGTAAAGCCCGTGAAAACTGGGTTGTACGTCTGTCTGGTTTGGCTTTGTTTTTGACGATCTGGCCATCCCTCTCGCTCCAAGACAGAAGGGAGCGTCCTGGAATTGGCTAAGAAGTCCTGTTGGACTCAATACGACCGCTTGAGCACTTGATACTCTTGTAGACCCTACTTGGGCTAGAAAACCACGAATGAACAACAGGGCATGTTGCGCATTACGAAACATGACTCTTCTAGATAGATAGCTCAGGTTAAAATACATGATGCACGTGGAGGACGATCTTTTTCAAGGCGCATTTGGAGAGCTCGCATGCGCTGCATGACTCCCCGAAGACGGTCTACAACACCGTGGCGATTATTTGAAAGCGAAGCCCAGACATAAGTGATGTTCAGTTCTTGATGCGCTGCTTGTTAGCTCCTCTATTCTAGCGTCAGTAAGGGTCGTTCATAGCTTACCTGTTTTCCATCGACTTCGGAGTCCGTCAAGTTCCACAAAAGATAATTCCTGATGAAACTTGACTAGGTGATCCCTGATCTGGCCTTCTATATCCGTATAGCATATCTTTAATGACTCCTCAAATAGATTACAAACCTCGTTTGCAGCATTATATATAGCACCCGCGAGTTCTTCGGCTGTATACGAGATAAATCGATGGCTGATTAGAGTAACTTCTCTCAAGTATTCAAACGTGCTCCAGAAACGAGTCTTCGAGTTCTCAGGGGGGTGTTTGTAATCTGATATGCATGGATACTCGAGACGATACCCGAGACTTGTGAGTATTCTCCTTTCCGCACCGGCGTGGTTATCCGTTAGTACACCGTGTTGTATAGCGCTGGCACACCTGAGATAGTCCGGCCAACCTTCTATTAGTTTGATAGCAATAAAAGTTGAGGTGTACACTAATTGATAATCTTCAATTTCAAGGGCGTCGCCTTGCGGCCCCTTTTCCAGGTTCCCCAGATATCGATCGATTATCCGGACCGATAGTGCTGCTGTTCTAAACGACAAACCAGAATCTAGTCTCTTTTGCGAATTAAGCATTTGGTCGATTAGGAAACTTCTTTCCGCCCAAACTCCCTGAAAGTACCTTTCGAGGCCGCTGAGGTCGATAGATAGTTCTGGGTCAGATTCGAGACCGTGTAAGTAGCGCAGGTAGTCTTCTGCATACTCGTCGAAGTCCATAAATTTCCCTGAAACAATTGAAGAGCGCGAGAGCTCATTTAAGATGGATCCTCGTACCAAGTAACGATAAGGATTATGCAACATTTACGGGAGGGGGTGCCGCATTTTAGATACATAGCTCGGCATATCCTGCCCCTGATTTAACATCACAATCAACGTTTCCACAACTCAACGGAGCCTTTGAGGCCATAGTCGACATGCTCAGCTACATCAGACCACAACCCTCACAGACTGACCAAAGTCTATTTACGTATTTCAACCTTAGTGAATAGCTCAGCATGATCACACAGTTAGTTTTCTGCGGGACTGTGTGACAAAGCAAAACAGCTCTGAGCCGCGCGTCGAGTCGCACTGTCTTACCCGCATGTTTTACCAACTATTTAGGCTCGTATTCTAGAAAAGCGTTCAGTAAATGAAATCAACCCCGCTATTCATGTTGCGTCTCAGCATGGGGTAGCTTCTTTGCAATCCACCCTCGAACCCCGTGCCTGCTAGACTGGGCAAATGCGATCTGATAACACACCGGTCACCGAGGGAATATATGTGAGTTCGGCCAGGCATGCCAGCTACATTATAGTGCCCCGAGGGCTCTGAGCTCCGTATACACAAGTTGTAATGCACCGTTTATGCACGACCAAGGATTACACACTAGCATATGACCGGAGCCCTGTCAATACCGGAATGGAGTTTCCTAGCTCGTGTTTGAAGACAACGATAACAGAGTGGGAATTGCTGACCCGAGAACTATCGCCACAGTGGAACGCGGTTGACCTCAGGCCAGCCACCTCCGGCCGAAGCCGGTTCAACCTATCGCATACACTCCTAGAGTTATGAGTCTCGTTCTATGAGGCGTGTACTGCGAAGAGAGAAGATGCAAGTGTCTTCTGCACGTCAAGTTCGACAGCAGAGGTCCATACCTGTGCGAAATTGTTGTACATCGCAAGCGGTATCCCTACTCCTATTCCAATTATATCTGCCCTTATCGCGTTTGTGGTGTGCATCATAGGCCTTTGAAGTTATCATCAATCACAAGACCACGCTCAGACGTAAGAGGTTCAGACCCTCATCTGTGCTTGTAATCTATGTTATCAGTATTCTGTGATCGATGGCCTTCAGGCAGAATGCTTTAGGCGAGATGGTCCTCCGTGATGTTGATATTGATAGCCGAACGAATGAAATCGAGGAGTGGATCGACACCCTTGGGGCCTCCAGCACTGATTAGCGCCGTGGGGGCCTTGCAGTTCTGCTCGAGTAGGCCTTTTTGAAAACAGATCCGGCGCACAACCTCCAGCATCCAGTAGCCACAGCTCCAGTCGTCATCTTGCTTCCCAATTTTGCAGAGTGCCCATGAGTTTATGTCGCCCAAACCAGTCGTGTTCCAGACAGGCATGAAGTGCGTAGCCCACTCGACCGCAAACTTTTCGCTATTACTTCGAGGAACCGTGTCAATTATGAAAAGACCCTTCCCGCTCAGGTGAATCAGGAAAAGAACCCAGTGATGTCCAGCGTTCCAGGGGAGGAGTATACACCTGGGCTTTTCCTGCTGGACCTGCGCCAGAAACTTGTGATCGAAGAGTTGTAAGGGCTCCCCTTCAATGGCTGGAATGACGGCCTCATCTGGGGCCATGATGCACTCTTTTGGAACAGTCTCGAGAAGAAGCTGCAGACACGTGAAGATCTCGCTCTCACAGAGCCACCCGTCTCTGCCTCTGAGATGGCTCTTTCTGAGAATCTCCACCAGCCGGGGTCCGTGCTGTTTCTGGAAATTGGTAAATGAGGCTTCGTCCAACCTGTTTGTGAAATAAGCGTGAGCCTCCTGATCTGTCTTCCGGTAAAGGGATTCGAAGTAGCAAAGTGTTTCCGTGACTATTGTGACAGGGTTGCTGTTCCTTGATTTGTAGGGAAGCACCTCATAGGGCACTCCGTGGAAAATATCGTCTATAAGAGTACCGAGCACATCTTCTTGGGCTGTCGGGATGACCGAGTGACGTTTCGGCTTGAAGCGGCTGTCTTCAAGGACTGAATCGAGCCACTTTTGGCCCGGAGTCATATTTCTCTGCCGGAACGTCTTTTGCCTGACCCACATTCGTCTCTGCTGTCCGAGCTCAAATTTCGATGGCGCCATATGGCAATGAATTCGCAGTATGGAGTCGGAGATGTCGATGCTTTTGTACCTTGTAAGAGCTGCTCGACCGACATGTGTCGTAATGACATAACGACGCTGTCAGGCCAGCAGCGAAAAGGCAAGCAGTACAGCTCACAAGGAGCATTCATTGTACTTATTATCTCGTACACCAGAATAATAAACTACTGGCAGTTGTAAGCAGATGGTGAACGCGGCTCGTCATAATGACTGCAGTCGGGATTACCTCTGCGCCGTCATCTTTCGAGGAAGCAAGGGAGGATTCGACGAGCTAGATACTATGAGAGGAGCGGATCCCTGATTCTGGTGCTTCCAATGCTATCAGACGTACCAGAGTATCTGTACGTGCTGGTTTTGAGGCTATTTTCTTTCGGCATTGCCTACGATAGTGGCGATCCGCGACATTGCCTGTCTCAATCTATCCTCGTGATCCGTACGTTTTACAGCTAATCCTATCTAGGTTTCAGCAGGTATAACTGATAAACACCTCTCGTAGTATATGTATACCACTCATACGTGGAATCTGTGTTATAAGCCCCCTAGGAAAGGCTACGAATCTTTGGCGAGTTCTTTCATTTGCCACTGAGTGGCTTCGACCTTCTTAATTCCAATATCTCCCGGTTCATTTTCTTCGGAGAACTCTATCGGTTACATATATCCCCCTTTAGGCATCGGCCCTTGTATACCAGTAGCAATGCACTCCTGACCCCAGTCGCCTCCGCCACTTCTGCAATCTGTTTTACCTTGTCTTAGCCACTTCTCATTTATGCCTTGCAGTTCAGCTCAGCCAAGGCAGATTATGCTTTGCCAAAACCAGGATCCTGAATACTTCCAGTCTTACATAGGTATGCTCCTCTCCCTCCCCCTTTGTCTTCTCCCTTAAGTAGTCTTCCGCCGCCTACCGTTATTGATCAACTATTTGGTCTCAGGTATAATGCCAAGCGACTACAGTTGTCTGTCCATCTTACGTCGTTGCTCTCTTCACACACAAAAGTCGCCATCTGGCTGCTGCTCCGCCAGTGGATCGCACTCCATCGCCGAACGAACGACCGATTCCAAGAATACTCTGATGGAATTTCGATATTGGCAAACAGGGCCTCTGCCAGTCAGCCGCAGCAGTGGCGCGTCTACAACCTGCCCTACGCAATCAAGCAATGACGCCAAGCCAGTGTCCCTGCGGCCAATTGACGTATATACTCAGCCTGCGATGTCTCTTCGTCCTCTCCCAACATTCGGTTATCTACAGGACCTGTCCACAATGAGTGATACGAGCGGTAACAGCGGAAGTCTAGTGGAACCATTGAAGCTGATGCAAGATGGGCACGGTTCTTATCAGAGCCGCCAGTTCTCTCATGGCAGTGTATCTTTCACCCACGGGACAGTGGGCCAGCCTGTTCACCTTCAATACCCAGTGGCCAACTTTGTGGGTCCTGGAGATCTCACCGAGAGGGAGATATATGGTCACCTCCACCCCTATACAGCGCCATCAACTCTCCATGAACGTCTCAGCCAGGTGGGTTTTGGTTCTGTTTCAGTCCAATCGTCACCTTGTCTTATATAGGAAGCAGCCACGGCATCTCTTCACGTGGTTGCTCGCCAATCCGCTTTTCGAGACATTATAATCGCTAATTACTTGGGTAATTTCAAGAATTATACCGAGCAGATCTATCCGGTTGCCCAACACTCTGGTGAAAAGCTGTATAAACGACGGCGTCGTCGGCCAGAAGATGTTGAGCGCAAGTTCATCTGCGTCTGGGATGGCTGTGATAAGTCTTACGGGACGTTGCACCATCTCAACACCCACATGGCCATTAAAAAACATGGGGAGAAGAAGACATCCGCAGGTATGACGTCCAACAAGGAGTTGATTTGGCTAGCAGGAAATCTGACTAAAGAGAGACACAGAGTACGAAAAGATCAAGAAACAGTGGGAGAATAGGAAGGCACAAGAAGACCAGCGAAAGGTTGCCAACCGAGCTATTTCATAACTGCATCCGGCCATCAGCCAACCATGCCAAATTAGTGGCGGTGCCCTTGCCACAGCTGTTCACCATCAAGGCCCCTCACCCACAAGACGGTAGCAATTGAAATAGATATCGTCGCACAAGCAAACCATTAGCTACCTCGTATAATATGGTTGGGGCTTGAACGTGGCGTAGCTAGGCAGTCATTATACTTCCTCCTCGGCGATTAATCGAAGTATCTTTCTAATCGTGTACTTGACCAACTGCTTAGGTCACAGTCACTCGAATAAGCGTAATGGTTTCTCTTCCCAGAGCCACGACAATCCCAAAGGCCTTTAGTCTTTGCCTTATGATCAGAACTGAGCCCACAAGAACCAGCCCGTCTGACGTTTAACCACGGAGGCTGGATCGTGACACAAATGGAGGCTCGCATTGGCCCCTTCCGCGAAAGATACACGACGTGTTTTCAGGGAGGCAATGAATTCAACCCTAGGAATGCTCGCTTAAGCTATATGGACATGTGCATACACTGCCAAAATGAAAAGACTCAAACTCCGCTGTTGTCGTGCAAATGAGTGAGCAAGCCTGGCACAGACTTTCCAGATTCTCAGATGCTACCGTTTTCTCGGCGGACTCGAGCTTCTCGTAGAACAAGGTGAGCTACCGCCTAACGCACAAATGGGAAACTAACCATCAGCGGAGCATAGGCCTGTCCATGGTCACCCACCAGCACGACGAGACCGTTTGTCGATAACATATACGAACGATGCTTATGACTGGGCGTCTCTACTCTCAATTCGCCGCCCCAAGCTAGGTAGACGGACAGTTCCAGCACCACGTGGCGGTGATTGCAGCTACATCCATCTTTATAGAGAGCGCCCTGGACTTCAGGCCTGTTCGATTGCAGGACGTGAGAGTCATTATCCTCTGGAGTCCAACCTGCCAGACTTTCGGTGTATTCTACCGGGCAAGTCCTAATGAGCATCGTAAGGTCGAAACCCGGCCTGTCCCCAGAAAAATCTGATAGAAGGCATGCATGATGGTCCCAAGATTCATGCTAGGCTGAACGAACTTATCAATGAGCCTTCAGCGGCCTTGGTCTGGATTACAATCACACCTATATCTCCAGCCCTTCCGAGACACCTTTTCTTAGCTGGAGTTCGCGAACCTTCTCTTGTCGTTTCACCCTACCGTCGGTGGGGTCGAGGTGCACAGCTTCGACAGATCTCGCCACCCATACCTCACTAAACACTACACGGCTCCCACCAATGCCTCAAATTACGTGTCCAATAGAATCATATGCTTTAAACAATCGTCTTTAGATGAGTATACTAAGGTGACCTCCACCAAATGCCACTGAGACTAGATGGACAACAGCCCCCCCGCCGAATAGTTGTTCCCATCAGGATGGAAAGGTCTCATTTCCGTTGCCCAGTCACAAAACACCTTCTACCGCTTGTCCGAAGGTTTCATATGCCGTGGGAATTATACTGCAAGAGTCTACTGCGCATAATATGGTCGAGATTTAGAGTCGACCTACTGATGGCAACCATAGCACTCTCCAGGCGCGATGGAGCAGGACCCTCCGACCAGAAGGATGGTTTCGCCGATACAGTCGCGTGTAATACTTCGTTGAAATCTACGTCAAAGTTCAGTCTACCTCGCCGAGACAATGCTCTACGATTCCCCGCGTTTGCCAGCGGCGACGAATCTGCGGCGTGGAGGCTCTCCGAAGTATGGATGCCCTTTTGCCTCCACGCCTGGTTGTAAGAGTGGAAAGCATATCGAGGTCTTTGCCTGGGGTGTCTCCAGCCATTCAAGCAACGCATGTGGTACAGAATGATCCAACTCCGAGCTGGATGCGGAGCGCCACGGCTGCCTCACGGCGATGAAGGGCGTCAACCTCTTTCGTCGTTTGCCTGGACTGTCATTCGACCGGTAGTAGCTCTCGAAGTAACTGATGATCGCCCTCGGCGTAATCTCTGTTGCAAGAGGGGGAAATTTGCCGCGAAGAACAAACCGCTCTGCCACCCTGATATCTTCGCCACAGTCATACCAACAAATATCCTCAGCACTTGTATCAGGCCTGCTATCATCCAACCTGTCTTCATAATCGGACAGCCTCAGAAACAGGACATCCTGCTTGCCCCATGTATAGTCATCCATCCATTGCAGCATCCCAGCCACCCCGGACAGGAGATCTCGTTCCACGGCGCAGCTGGGAGAGAACGCATTGATACAAGTCGTGTTAATCTGTCGTAGGCTTTCAAGGCCTTTGTCGTTCTTGATCTCTGCCACTTTTGTCGACATGCTCAGATGCCCTAGCATCTGAGCAATGTGACAGCCAATGAATCCTAGTCGTCTTAGCGAGGGAAGTCGGTTCAGAAGCCCAGTCAGGTGGAAGTCGCGTGGTATGGTCCAACCGCGACGATGCTCAAAGAGATGGCGCCAGCGCCGACTCTGAGGAGCGCTGTATGGGTCGGCGTGGCTGCATTTGGACAGAAAGATAACCTCCTGTATCATCCCCACCTCCTCTTTTGGGAGTCCCGTCAAGCAGTTTTCGAAGTTGCGGAGTTTAGTAGCATTATCCGGCTGAAACGAGACGTAAACGGTCTGCAGTAGATGTGGATTGAGGATATGTCGGAAAATACGGCATGTCCAACGCAGTCGGAACAGATGGCTTTGTCGCTTGCAGAGCTGGCGAACCAGGGCCTGGCGGTGGAGATTATGGAATACTGGAAGCTGATCATGAAAGTGGTCAATGATTAGAACGAGGATCTCTAAGGGAAGCCTGTCCATGATAGCGAATCCATTACAAGACAGGTACCATTTTACGAGTCTGGAACTGGAAAGTGTGGAGGCTGCGAGATCGCGAAGACGTACTTGAGAGAACGTAGGACATCGCAAGCTTTTCTTCAGGGCGGCACTTCCTTTGTGAAATGTTTGCTTTGGAACATGTCCCAACAACAAGCGAGCAACGGGCGGATCCACAAACATCCATCAACTATGATCTAGCAATTGAAGGCGATGAGTGCGTGAGAAGAGCAAGGCAAACATATTCGACAGGCACATCTCGAGGGTCGAGATCAAGCGAGACTATCATGCGTCAAACCGCGACAGCCGCAAACGCTGTCGAGGTGCAAGGGCTGGCGCCGAGACATAGCTATGACCCCGTCTTCCAAGATGTGACTGACCCTGGCGACCGCTGCTCGGAGGTGTGTATGCCCCTCTCTGTCTTCCTCGCCATGCTCCTGAAGGAAGAATCCAGGCCACTGCACGTCCATCATATGTCGTGCCACCATCTCAACAATCGCTGATGAATGCACCCGCTCAACCCGATGCCATATCTCGTTAACGAGAGACTGAAAATCGTCAGGGTAGAGGACTCAGAGTAAGATCATGACGTGTTTGGTAAGGTGTTGCCAGCCTGCGATCTATCGGAATGTGTGCCAATCGTGCGCGAGCTGGGAGCAGTATCTCGTCGTAAAGCAAGCAGAAGATCAGCTAGCCGTGTATCTTGCTTGCAAGCCTCAGCGATTTGAGGGTGGCCAAGTCTAGGTAGGAGGTGATGAGAGGCAAAAGCTGGGGGGGAGGGCTTTGTGCAGCGAGATGGCCGCCTCGTCGTGATCGCCTGCCACAGGGTTCGATTGCCCCACTCCTGGCGACGCAGCCCGCTGCGCATCCTGATGAGGGCAGGACGTGTGTGCTCGTCGCTTGGCGTGTGTGCTGCGGCCCGCCCAGGGTCAGCCACCCGAGTGTGCAAGGGCGCCCGTCGTCGGTGTGGCGCCATGATCCCCCTGTTGCTGCATGATGATATGACGCTAGAAAGGTGGCAGCCCGGTGATGGCGTCTTCTCGAAATGTGAAGGTGACTCAGTCGAGCCACATTTGGGTGTGATGTAGCAGAATTATGTAAGCACGTGGCAGACAGGCAAAGTGGGGCATTGGTATTATCACAGACGAGAGCATGTCCAAGCCTCGAGTATCTCACAAAAGAGCGGCGCAGCTCACTCTAGTAGATTTGTATAAAATTGCACCATTACTGGCGGCTTGGCCAGGCTCATGTGCAGAGCTATGTGACGTTTTAGCGCATGCTACCACAGACTCCTGGCACAAAGTAGGAATCTCCAAGAACACTCGTGGAAGTCGGAAGTCCCTCTTTTCGCAATCTCATTTTTCCCTGATGCGCGGAAAGGACAGGATATTACATGACCCTCATGTCCCTGATCAGCTGGAAAGAACAGACCGCAGTTCTGTAGCATCATTAGTTCCTATCTGTCGTAAGGAATTGCCCCGAAAAAACCACTGTTATCAGAATGTCGAGTCCCTCAGCTATCGTCAGGCCCCTGTTCCGTACTCCGCCTCCCCCTTTCACCATGGGACCTAGTCTACCTAATGTGCCAGGACCTTTTGTCGCACTAAACCGGCGAGGACACAGCCCTGTGGCTTGGCTTAACCCTGCAGCTTCGCCTTGAGAAGAAAAGACTAATAACGCCGGGCTGCAGGCAATCTCTGCATTGCCACTCTGAGGCCTCACACATGGGGCATTCTTGGTGCAACTAACGGGCAACCCTTGACAGGGATACAGTGCACCAATATATATAAAGGATGTTAGTAGCTGGGGGTGGTCGTTCTCTCTAACATTGCTCTCGACAACCAAAAGCTGCTTGGCCCTATCCCGACTTCGATAAACGCCCTGCCATATATTCACAAAGCCTAGAACTCATTTCCCACGACATCAATGTGGCCTGGAATTTCCACTGCGCGGCGTTACCTGGCCCTTTTTCTCATTTTCCTCCCCACATTCTACATTACTTTCCAAATCTTGCCCACTTCCCCCCTGGCCAATTCTCCAGAGATAACTTGCAATTCGATTTCGCCAAGCCATAGACTCATCTATCGGCGCAAACTAGTAGGACTAGCAATAGTGTCTCTGTTAAACTCGCCGCACGTTCTGCCCCAGACAATTTGCGAGGAGATAAAAGCGATCACGACTACCACGGGAGGGAGCCGCCGCATTCTAAGATATCTCCAACCCTTCAACTTGTTGTATATCTTTGCGGCCGGCTCCACGCTTACCACCGGGGCTGCAATAGACTCTTACAAACAGTCCGGGAGTGAAGCGCTATTTTTTAGCGTTTTTGCTGTGTTATTGGGGTATTTCACGGTCAAGATGGCTTTGCTTCTCTATGAGGAAATTGAACCCTCTAGCGGTATTGATGAAGACGGGGAAAATAACACATCTTCCAATGCCGATCCGTATCCAGTCTAGATATGGCCACCGTTACTGTTCCTGCGATAGCCAGCTCAGACGCCTGTATACTCAAGGTCTCGAATACGCTTCAAATATGGATCGGCATAAGAGCAGTATCATGGTAAGACTACCCCTTAGCCTCAACTCTCTCAGGTGCTTTCACTAACAATTACGCGCACGCGCTTCTATAACGTGTTCGGAATTGCAGAAACGATATGAGCCTTGCTGCGGAGGAAGCTTTATTGGGATAAATCACACACCAAGCCTATCAGACGATTTCGGCGTGCGGGGTAGTAGGGCTCTTGTGGCGGGCAGAGCACACATCAATGTCAGAGGAGACTATGGCCAATAATAGACTCGGGTCGGTTTTAACACAATATACACCTGATCTATGCAGTACCATGACACACGTTGCAACGATTGACGTAAATGAGCTTACTTCTTGTGGTCTCATGATAGGTGCGCCACTCGCAGCAATCTAATGATGTTTGGGTGGGCAATTCCGTCCCTAAATTCGCCCTGACACTAATATGTGATGTCTATGCCTTCAATAGCACGATACAGTAGTGACCGCGAACTGTGTCCGCTTTTTAGACTTTAGTTGATGTTCCCGCACGGACCATGAAACTGTGGCACATTATGGCGCACACTGTGCAGCATGTCTCATATCAAGTACCCTCCAAAAGTGGATTATGGTATGACATGCATCAGTTGGGGCTGTTTTCTTCGTCACCCCATCTGCTGTAGTGGCCATCACGAATCGTCGGCCAATGTTCGCCATGCCCTTCGCAAGATGACGGCAAAGTATGACGCGACAAACACAATGCAGAGCATTAAAAGCCATTTTGTGCCTGTCTATAGGAAATACTTGTGAAGTGAATATCTATAGTACTGTAATGACCACTGGATGTGTCCGGCTTTCGAAGTTAGTGGCTGTCTTCGCACGAATCAGCCAGGTGTGGCGTGCTATGGCGTGTTGCCTCTTAATAGTCCACGTCAGGAATAGACAGTATTCCAAGCAGCAGATGGCCTTCATAATGAGGTCGTTCGGTATGCGTCTCCTTTCAGAATTACCTTCCGGCCCTTTCGTTAAGGGGGTGGATGCGGCCAGATTTCATGTACAATAACTCCGGAAAGAGGTCCACTCTCTCGTCAGTTGAGACTTTATGCATGAATAAAGCTGAAACTTGATTATCGTCCTAGATGCGATCCACTCTGTGGTACAGCAGACTCCCCGTGCTTCGTTCTCTAGATTTGCATGCTACTCATAGCCTTTATGAGCTTCTCGATGGATGCATGCCAGCTCATGGTAGTGTCCTTGTTGTGCCCTTAGTCATCGCCATCTGAGACTGGACTCTTGCTGTCCATATTCTCCTTACACGATTCGAGTTGTATGTATGCATCCGCTAGCAGATCCACGGAGAGAACGCGCTCAGGGTCGTCCTCGGCATAAATGTGAGCTTCAACAGCAACGACATGCTCGAACATCTCGATTGCCTCTTCGATCCGTCGGTCGTTGAGGTATGCACCCGCAAGCTCGTGCTCCGATGCCAGTCGATCATGATCCTTCTCGTCTAGCGTCTCCCTCTGCACCGCTACCACATGCTCGAACATCTCGATTGCCTCCTTGATCCGTCGGTCGTTGAGGTATGCCCTCGCAAGCTCGTGCTCCGATGCCAGTCGATCATGATCCTTCTCGTCCAGTGTCTCCCTCTGCACCGCTACCACATGCTCAAACATCTCGATTGCCTCCTTGATCCGTCGGTCGTTGAGGTATGCGCTCGCGAGCCAACTTTCTATGTGCTCCTTTGATAGCCTTTGCCCTGTATTGCCATTTTTTCCCCAGCGCCACATTTCTTCAAAGCATCGTATTGCTTCTTTAAACCGTCGGTCGATATGCATACGTCTCCCAACATGAAACACAAGCTCATATCGGTGTTCTGTTTCCGAAGCCTGAGTGTCATGAAGAAGCCGCATTGCGTGTGGCATACACTGCCGCCACCGCTTACGGTTCTCATGATCGCTTGGAGGAAATATATCGTTGAAGCGACGAATAGCATCATACACCACCCGTTCATGTCGATCCTGTTTCTTAATCCATTCCCGCGTGGCCATATGCACAAGACTGTGCATATCGAATATATCGTCGTCTCCTCGCCGAGCAAGAAACGAGTAGCCGCAGAGGATGCCGATCGCCCATTCGTTCTCCTCTGACTTAGACCCGGGCATGATCCATTGTGGTATCGCCTTCGGCTCGATACATGCCGTAAACGAGAGCAGATCGACCGCAACTGGATCGGACTTCAGAATCTGTTCAAATGAAACAATCCATGTTGTGGCTATAGCGTTATGCGAGTTCCGGTATCTTGTGCTGTCGCGGAATTCTCGACCTAAGAGCCGGACGGCATCTTTCTCGGCCCCACGTAGTAACCCTAGGTATTTACGGATTGGTACCTTGGTCTGATTGAGATATGCTGCTGCCTGGGTGATTGCGAGTGGAAGATAAGTCAGTTGGATAAGGAGATCTTCCAGTAGTGCTTCGTCCTGGGGTGTCTGTCCCTGCGTGAGAGACTTCTTGAAAAGCAGTGTTGCCTCCTTCGAGTCCATTGCTTCAATGTCAACAGTATTGGTCTGTGCAAACTGCACAGCTACCTCTCTCGATCGCGTCGTCAACAGGATCAGCCCGTTCTCGCTCTTAGGAAGATACTCCTCGATACCAGCCTTGTCTTCAGATCCGAAGAACAACTCCTGGTCGTCGGCGTTATCAATCACTAACAGCCACTTGCCGCTTTCGTCCGAGCTCAGATATTCCCGAACCAGTTCCTTGATATCTTCGTCGTCGGTCTTCTTCTGGACACCTAGCTTCCTGGCCATCTCGACATACGCCTGTTCTACGCTGCCATAACTCAGAACTGGTACCCAGAAGATGGAATAGTCGGGCCGGCTAGCTTTGATATCGTAAGCAAACCGTAGCGCAATCTGCGTCTTGCCGATGCCGCCTAGACCGACCAGTGCCATTCGTCGGGTTTCCTCTCGTGCGAAGAGTTCTTGTTTCAATGCGTCCAGGATGGTATTCCGACCAGTGAAGCGGGCGTTCTTAGGAAGCTGGATATGGTAACATGGAAGAGCAGATGCTGGTAATAATTAGCAGTGATCTGATTCGGGATATACTAGTCTTTTGTAGCACTTACCGTTGGATCTTATAGTCCTTGTAGTGCCCTCTGTACTACATGGACTTTCAACAGGGGGTATTTCCCTTAGTACGGCTTTTGCATACGCAGCCGCCATCGCCGCCGCGTACGGCTGCCACTCCTTGTTTTTCTGCTGGTCGCCATAGTCGCACACCCCCCGGATAACTCCTACGGGTATTCGGTTCATCGTCCCTGCCGCCTCCATCTCGAGGCCAATAACCCCGTGTTTGTCCCTGAGCTCGTTCCGTTTCTGTGCATTTTTCAATAGCTTATCTCCCGATCCAATCGGCCCGTACCACACACGTGTGCGGGCTATGTCTGGCCTTCGAGCGCGTTCGATGGCTGCGCCCGGCTTGCCTTCGGTTGTTGTTGAGTAAAGTCTGTCGTGATCCTGCCCAGGGTCGGTAAAGGTGCCAGTCGCGTGCTCCCTATCGCGGATCGTCTCATAATAGGGAAGGAAGATTGCAGCGTCGTTTGGTGCTTCTATCTTAATTCTGCCGATTGCCGACCGTACTATCGGCTTGGTCGTGGTCAAGACGTGTCCGTACCGTAGGGGTTGAAATCCGTCGTCCGTCTCTTTGCCGAGATCGTACGCGATGATCCCGGCTCTCTCGCCCTCAGGGAGACTGACGAGCACATCGCCGAGGCGGATGTCGCGGGGTGGACTGCAGGACAGGTCTGGCAGTCCCGCCGCGACGCCAACCAATAGTCCAAACCAGTGATGGGGAAAGCACTTGAGAATCTGGCTTGCGAGTGCTGCCGCCGACCCTGTGCCATACTCCTGGCCAGCTGGGAAAGTCGCTATGACGACATTGTGGCCGCACATGCTACCCGCGTGGAACACGTACTCATCGCCGTGATCCACTGCAAATCGGCCTTGGTGTTGCTCGTCGAGCATACACAAGGCGGCCTTGGCTTCGATCTCGAGGGGTGCAATCCAGACGATAGCATAGTCCTTGGGGTCGAGGATAGCTGCGGGATCACCCTGTGATGCCGCCATCCCGTCTAGCCGAGAATGAGGTGGTTTTAGCACTCCCGTCCAGCGTCTGTCCTGACGATTGCCTCTGGAAGGTACTCAACCACCAGCGCTGTGCAGCCTTGGATCCGCTTTTGCAGTCCAGCCCGAGAGTGGGGTCCTCTCTTGGCTTACCCCGCTTCAACACCACTGAAGATAACCATTGAACAAATCCTAGTTCCACGATGAGCCTTTCACCTCTACAAAAGCGTTCGGCACCATCTACATTGCTGCTGCCTTCGAGCGATCTTCCAACCTCTGGTCCCGGGCCGCAGTAGGAATTGTCCCGAGTCTCTGCGCCGCATGATGGTTTGTGTGAGGATCAGTTCCTGATAAGTATATGTAGAATAGACATTCACTATCAAAGTACCCTGTACTGTATAAACAGACACAAATTGGCCTTTGATGCTATGTATTATGTTTGCTATGTTATACTTTGCTGTCAGCTTACGAAGGGTATGGCGAAGATTGGCCGACGATTCGCGATGGTCACCACTGCAGATGGGGCGACGAAGAAGCAGCAACTGCTGCATATCATGCTGTAATCCACTTATGGAGGGTACTTGTTGTGGAGCATTCTGCACAGTACGCGCCACCATGCGCCACAGCTCACTGGTCCGTGCGGAAACATCCATTAATATCTTGAAAAGTGGACACAGTTAGTGGTCACTACTGTATCAGGAACGCTGTAGTTCTGGTGGGCTTGTGTCGTGAAGGCTGTGATATGGACTTGAGCGCACTTTGTACGTAAGAAATCATTGACGAGAGCTCAGATTGAGAGGTCTACTAGCGACGATAGACTCCACTATCCTGAGCCGCCGTGCTATAAGCATCATCAACTTTATGCAACCATAATGAATCGCACGAAGGAACTACAGGCACATACTATGCGCATCCTCAGCTCGTCCCAGTATTACATACTAGGCGGTGACCACTCGAACTCGGTTGCTTCAGCAGCGACTCGACCCACCAAGGAAGACAGACATTGAGGCCTCTGGACATCCTGCGCACTAAGTTATTCTTCGTTATAACTGCAGCTGTTACCATTAGATCGTCGTCCTGTTCCATCCTTGTTGTTATCGGGGTCGGCGGCAGTACTTATTGGAGACGTCGCTAATATCGCTCCGAGGATAATTCCATGCACATGGTAGGCCAGTGTGAGTGCAGTCCCTTTACCTCTATTAGAGTTTCCGCGGAGAGGATGGCCCGCGAGCGTCTCTCGCTTTTGTAGAGCCATTCAAAGTGGACATGGGCTGGTAGATGGGTAGATTGAGTAGTCTTTCACAAAGTCAGGCCAAAGAGTTATCTCGGCGTCCCTCTGCCATACTGATATCGACCTTAGACTGAGCCCATCCACGCTGGCAAGCGCAGTAATGTGTCCAACAGTGACCCCGCAGCACCAGAGGTCCAGATCTTTGATGGTTGAGGCATGATGCCAGACCAAGTCCCGAAGCTCTTCAGGGGTGAAGTCAAACTCCCGCAGTCGCAAATCTTCGAGCCTTGACGCTTGATTCGAGAATTACGGAATTCATTGGCGACAATAGTTCCTAGCTCGTGCCGAACGCGTGTATCTGTTGGGGGCAAATGGTACTTGCCCTCTACACCTTCCAGTAACAGTCGCTCAAGGTTAGGGCAAAATGACAGGACTGTACGTAGAGTTAGAACGCTGTGGTCTATTGTGGTGAGCTGGACCCTCATGTGGACACTTTTGATGTTGCCAAACAAAGCGACTAGGCACTGCGCCGTGAATGCTGGAGGCCCGGAGTGGAATACCATCCTCATTAACAGATCTGTGGTCCGCGAGCTTTCCATGGTAAGCGTGCCCTGCTTTACTCGTCACAAGGCGATTGTCGATCTGAGACCGCGGCGCGTAATGTCCAGCTCTTCGTGATATGTGAGATCCAATGATTATTACCGATAACATTATACAGAAGTTGGTTGTCAAGTATCGGTTTACCAGTTGGTCGCCACTCGTAGGACGGTTGTTTATGGACGCTTTTGAGACACGGCAGATTCTGAACTGCGGCGCTCGGTGTTGGTTGGAAATACACGAAAGCTGTCTGGAGAGGTGGCTCATCGTTGAAACCAGCTGTGGGATTCGATCCAGTAGGAGTTCAGCATTTGCCCGGCTAGTGTCTTGATGACCCATCATCCTCGCGGTTACGGACGACGTTCGCAGAGTTTGGTAGTCGCCGGCTGTACGTTAGCCACTCCCTTAGCCGCTCCGCCGTGCTTGGATACATGATCCAGTGTAACTCTCGTACGAGCTTGCGGAGAGAGTCATCCGAGGCGAGCGAGAGGAACGTGGATCGATCGTGATCGAGTAGTACGAGTCGCACATGCCGATAGAGTAGCCTGCGTGCGGTTTCATCGACGCGGAGGCCACTCTCTCGAGCAGATTTGAGATCCTTCCCACTCAGACATTGCAAGATCAAGTCGGGATATCGGGGGAAGCATCTGTAGCGCCGGCATGGCTGGTTCCTCCCACAGACTTTGGGGCAGCTAGGTCGTCTTCAGTGGTGAGCAACTCAATCCGTTAAAGAGGTGGATGCGCTCGTGGTAAGTGATTGATAATACCATGCGGCATCGAAGTGTCTGGCATCGTAATGTCTTGAGTTTCATCCACAAGGCTACCCGAAGGGAGCGGCTTGCAAATATATGGGCACATTTAATTCCAAGGGCAGTGCCGATCCACGTAGTGAATGAAACAAACGAGGAGCAGGCGCCATGCCGCAGGTACATGGCGGGTCCCATTTGCACCAATCCATCCATCCTTCATTATCAATCCCTGCAACAATCTGCGCTATGTAAGACCTTGCTACGCATTTAGAGTGCCTCCTACCTCTGGATACCCATTTCCCCTCCCTCCACCATCTCTCTCCCATCCCGCCTGGATGCTTACACTATGTATGGCCGTGTGACGAGCCGCAACCCGCCCGCGCATCGTCCCGCACAGATCTAGCTTTCCTTGACCAGGTGTCTTCATTACACCGCGATAACATGTTACTTCCGTACCCGGCCCGATCGGTGCACTTGCTCAGGGCGGGCTTAGCCCTGCTCGTGTTCTTCACGATCTACCGTTACTTGCACATCTCCTCGAAGACGACCACGATCGGCAAGCAGCCGGCTCAGAATGCGCTTCCCGTGCACGATGGTAGTCCAGCTGCACCGGTTCAAGGTGATATTCCCCGGATAATATCGCTTCCCATGGGACTTCCAAGGATGTCCCAGGCCTGCCGCCAGCGAGTGTACCGCCGCCTGAGTTACTCCCTCCATCTTCACGGCCGGACACTCTCAGCATGAACCTTCCTCTGCCGGACGAGTACGCCGTCCACGACCCAACATCAGAGTTCTGCGCGGCGCGCTTCACCACCAAGTGGTTCGACGTGGTCCGCGCAGGCCACGTGCAGTACTGTATCGGCAGCGCGGCCTCGCGGCTGCACTGCTTCCACACGCCGCCCGAATTCCACAACGACCAGCACGTCGACACGTTCTGCATCGCGCAAAATGTCGTCTTCGACCCCGGCCGGGACATGTTCACCCTCGACTGCCCCCTCACTAAGCACGTTCCCCCTGGAGTCCCCGCGTCCCCCTGGACCTTCCATCAGTACTGGTACGAGACGGGCCCGGGGCCGATCTTCTGGCGGTGGATCACGCTGCAGGACACGGCCGGGATGGTCAGGCACGCCCCGATCAAGGGACCTGTGGTCATAGGCGGTGGTGGCGTGGCAAAGCCAGCCTTGGGGTCTTCGTCGTTGTCGTCACCAGCCTCCCCAGGGCAGCAACCACAATACGACCGTGAACCAGACTTACCAGGGCGACCAACTGAGCGAGCCGTGGTAGAGAACGAAGACAACGACCGCCGCAACAGCAGCAGCAGCCACCATGAGAAACGTCGCTCACCAGCACCGGGACCATCACAAGATTCCTCAGACTCAACCTTGCGTCTCCTACTGTCCCCGGAGTCCAAGGCCCTTGAGAAGGCCGCCCTCGCCGCGTCCGATTGGACCCCGCGCACATTCACGTACCTTCTTAAGCGCGAAGGCTCGGGCAACATCTTCCACTGCCTGCACGAGATCCTGTCCATGACGCAGACTTTTGACGCGCTGCGCACGACGCGCGACCCGGTCACGGGTAACCCCTTCTTCGTCACCATGCAGGACGTCGCGAATACGCAGATCGTCATCATCGACGGGCACAGCGACGGACCGTACTTTGACCTGTGGCGGCTGTTCTCTGGCCGGCAACCTAAGAGGATCGTGGAGCTTGTCAATCCGCGCCGCAGGAGAAGGAGGAAGATGAGAGAAGATCAACGAAGCAGCGGCGACCCAGATTTGGCGGAGGACAGTAACACTGCCGCCGAGACGGCTCTCGCGAGAGAGGCAAGCGCGCAGGACGACAGTGCCACATGGTTGTCCAGTCCGCTGGACAATGTGATTGTCGGCTTTGCCGGCGGGTCGAACCCTGTGTGGCACGACGATTGGGAGAGGTGGGACTGCGTCAACGAGCTGAGGACCGTGTTTGTCAGGAGAGTGCTCGACTTCTTTGGGTTCCCGCCGGAGGAGCCTGTCGCGAAAAAGGTCGATGGGCCGGACGAGCGGAGGAAGCGGGCACTGGAGGACGGGAACGAGAGCGGCATCAGCGAGAACAAGTCTCTGGAGAGACTCCGGAGCGTCAACACCGACAACAATACCTTCGCTGATTCACCTGCCGGAAACAAATTCGCACCAAACAAGGAGAAGCTCACCGCCGCGCCCACCACCTCGGGCGACAACGGCAGACATCTAGAAGAAGAAGATGTTGCTCCGCCAAAACCCGGCGCCCTTCGCATAACCTTCATCGACCGCAAAGAAACCCGCCGAGTGCAGGACACACCCCAGCTGCTGGCACACACGCGCAACGCCCTGGCAAAGGCCAACGTGCACATCCGCGCCGTTGACTTTGCTACACTCTCCTTCCGTGAACAGATCGCGCTCGCGCGGGAGACGGACATCCTGGTCGGCGTGCATGGCGCGGGGCTGACGCACACCCTGTTCATGAGGCAGGACATGGGCGCGCTGGTGGAGATCTTCCCAGAGGGCTTTGAGCTGCGGTGCTTCCGGGCGATGGCGAGGGACCGCGGTCTGAGGTACTACAAGATGCACGTACCCGTAGTGGAAAGGAGGGTGGATGTTCACGCCGAGGACGTCATTGTGCCCATTGACCGCTTTATCAGCATCCTGGAGCATGCGGTCAAGGCGTTGGATAATCGGCCTGGAAGTTTTAGAGATTTCTGATCATTCTTTTGATATTTCAGGATAGTTCATAAAGAGACACCACGGGACATACGACGCCTTGTCGCCATTCCTCACACTCATTCATTTGCCCAAGTTCCACGACCCCAGCTACTTTGCTCTTGTACTTTGCTGCAAAATGACCGAAGCCTTCGACGTAAATGGATAAAGTCGAGGGGGTCCTGTCTCACCTCCTTGCTGCTTGCGCAGTCCGTCCGGCGGTAGTGGATTTTGTTGCTAGTAGGGTGCCGCACACGCGGTATGAGGTGCCGGGCTTCCCTGTGGACAGGCGTACCGGCTGTAGGCAAGTGCATCTCTTGTGGCTGCTGCTACCACAGCATTAGTCGTCGCTGCGTCGGCATGCTTGCGGGCATCTTCTGTTCCCACATGTGCATGTTGGCGGGCATGTGCATGTTGGTGGGCATCTTCAGGTCCTGCACGGGGGGCATCTGCTCCTGCATCTGTACTAGCAATTTGCGGAAGAGACTGGTCTGTCATGCGGGGATCGAGGCGGATTGTCCGATAGATGCTTATCTCCATCCTCACGGGGTTTGTTCTCATCCATTATTGCGCCCGACGAAGATAAGCTGTGCAAATCAATATCACCAGTAGTCCAGTGTGTCCTCAATCAATCAGAAGCCAATCTCTCTCGCCAATCGTCACCAGATTGCTGTGCGGCCTTTTGCCAGGGGAACTTGTGTGCGGGGTGTGCTGTGCCGGCTCGTGGCTCCACCCCCACCGGTGCTCCTCTGGGACTACGGCGCCTCCAGGGGCACCTTGCTGCGGGGCGACAGCCCTAGCGTGGCCGCCACAGCCTTCTCGGGCAGCACGACCATAACTGCGACACGCGGCATGGTAGAGGATAGTGTATGCGGAGTGGAGGGGACCAACGCGCGGAGGGCAGCACGAGCATGATGCCTCCACCGCGTTCGCCCAGTCACCACCCCGGCCTAAAGCGCCCACGGCATGGGTCTAAGCCAGAGGCTGATGGAGCGGAAGCGCTGCACAGGGTTTCGCGTGTTCTGACTGAGGCAGATCGCAGACAGGTAGACCCTGTATTCAGAGTATCAATCCACGCATGTCAATTTGCCGGATCGCAAGTGGCCTTCGCAACGGGCCGCACTTTGTTTCATGCGGCTTCTTGATCTGTCCCGCGAGTGACCCCGCCACCACCCCTCCTCCCCGGCGGCATGCTGCTGGCCCGCAGAACTCCGGCAAATTGTCGAATGCCTCAATCTCGATACATGCCAATCATGTGGAGAGGATGTCGCGGGTTACGATATTTGTCGCTCAGACTGCTTCAAAAATACCTTACGGCCATAAAATATATCACCGAAAGCCTTTGCAACGGCTCTCCTTTGCGCTACTAACCATCGAGGAGTGCAGATTTCACAGCCATTTCGGTCGTCGTCCCCTGCGTTCTGAGAGAACCCGGAGAATTAATCAGCGTTCCAGAGTGACCCAGGCGCTCTCGGAAGAAGCGATCATCAGACCCGACCACCATGGTGCCCGTCAGCTCTTCACCCCAGCTTTCGAGGCTTTCGAGCGCGTCGGCTCTGTCCCATCTCCCGAGATATTCGATCGAATGTGCTGTAAAGCCCCGCTGAGCGGGATTATACTGGTGTTCTGGCCATTTGTTTAAGACACTTCAGTTGGAAAACGACAAAATTCATTCTAGTTACGTGGCCACCTAAAGTGCCTGTCGCCGCGGCCGGCAGCAGAAGCATTGGGGGAAGGCAGAAGGGCTCATATCGAAGGATGGCGCCGAAGGCGCGGTGGTGTGACGTAGCTGTCATGCGCACGGACCATTCCATAGATAAAGCCTTATTGAGGCTCCACCGTTCACGTGCTACGTAGATTCGGCTGAAGCGGCCAGATTTTGGTCGCACATGCAGGATCTGGAGATTTTGGCAACCAGATTTTGGCGGCATATGTAAATGCTTGCTGCAAGAGTTTGATTGGACAGATTTTGGACGCCCATGCAGAGCCTGCAGGGTTCGAGCGACCAGATTTTGGCGGCATATGCATGTGTTTGCCGCAAGATTTTAATTGGACAGATTTTGGACGCCCAGGCAGAGCCTGCAGGGTTCAAACGACCAGATTTTGGCTGGCCGTAAGCTGGTCTAAATTCTGGCTATGTCACAACCCGGCCCACTTTTTCTGAAGAAAGAGCCAGTCAGGCTTTGATATTTTCCAAGTCACAGGGCGACCTGCTCCCCGCCAGACTTTGGGCAAGCTTATACAGTCCCCTGATCGGCACTTGGCGGGTCACCAGATTTTGGACAAGCCATATCACCTTTGGCTTATTCTCATCAGATTCTGGACGCCTGCCCCGGTGCCAGGCAACCTTTCCACTGTGCTTAATGCCTAGTCCAAAAGTTGATCGAGCATCCGTCCAACAGGAAGTAGTCCAGCAAATAGACTAGAGAATAAAGAGGATATAAAGCTGATGTCTGGAGGACCATCATGAATCTAAACGACCTCCCAAGCCGTCCAGATCCAGTTTCACATACTTAATATTCCTTCTGTGAGCTCTTGGAGAGTTCTTCCTGCCCATGCCTCCCTCGCAGCTTCCATCTGAGCTTCTCACGATGATCGCAAGCATGCTATCCTTGCGTGATCTCCGCTCCCTCCTGGGCACTTGCCGGCGGTTTCATGCTGTATGCCGCGATGCCCAGCCTCTAGTAGACCATAGAGAGAATGGCTACTCGTCAATTACCTTATCCGCACTCCTCGTTGCTGTAAAGAACGACGCTCGACACTCTGAAGCCCTGCAAGTCATCCAGAGGGAAGTCTGCAACGGAGCGCACCTGGACGCCAGTATTCCAGAAAAGTACCAGCACTCCTATATCCGATGCCAAGCTGTCGTGGCACGAACATCTATATGGCACCCATTCGCCAAGGCCCAAGATTTATTCACTCCGGTACTCCACGCTACCGGTCAGGGTCTCATGCGGAGGTCGCTCTCGGCTGCCCCTCTTGGCTCATGGGAGACTGTGGAATTGTGCTTCGCAGTATGCAAGGACATAGACCAGTTCGGAGATAAATTCGGAGAAGGGACCAACCTCAAAGTTCCTCGCAACCGGATCACCATTTGTGTCGCCGTGGTCGTTGCCCGACGACTACATCGAGTCCGTGGACTGGATTTGGGATCAGGCAAGCATAAGAGAGCTTGTTTCCACCACATCAACCGAGCCTACAGGCCTGCCTGACGATTCTGCTGACCTGAAGTTTGCTCTCCGGTGCTGGCTCCGCTCAACAGTTCCCTCAATTCCGTTCGGCAGCTGTACTAAGCCCTGCACAGAGTCTACGCAGCTTACACAGCCAGGGATTGCCCTCAATACGCTCTCGGTACTTGCTTGTAGTCGTTGTGGTAAGCTGTATATCGTGGGCTGGCACGACTGGGTGGTTCAAGGTGGAAGGCTGATTGAGGGAAGCGTGCCGACAGACTTGGATCTCTGTTGGGCCGACTGCGATCCAGAGTGTGGGACTGAGCGTGGAGTGGACGAATTTGACGAATTTGATGTGTTATACAAGGTTCGGTGTGTGCTGGTCAGGGAAGGCCGCGGCTGGTCGTCCACCGATCTCGATCCACTCACTATTTCCGGTCGGGCGCCATTTACGTGGTGCCAGAAACATTTCCAAGTTTATATAGCCGTTTCCGACAACTACCTGGCTCCGGCTCCGGATGGCGATTTTCCCTCTGTACCATTCTTTCCTCAGTCATGGAAAGACGAAGAAAACCGCTACCACTGCATCGAGATCAGCAGTCCGCGACTACTAGGCTTACCAGATCTCAAGTATCATTTATAGATTCTATGGCTTAAACAGTTCATATTCATAAAAGAACACCAACATTCATAGTGTAAAAGCTCTTCAGAGCATTGTGGACTGAAGCATCTATGTCAAGCCAGGTTGAGATACTTAATCAGCTTCCGTAGGACATGTTCTCCCTGATCTTGCTATTGCGCCGAAACAGTGCCACAGGGCAGTGTACTATCGACTCACTCCATGAACACAGGACATCTCGCTGCGCACCATACTCGGCGGCGGGCCGCAATGTTTTTGGCTAAAGCGGCTCTTCTTCAAATCGAAATCATCCATAATCTGATCCGGATGGTGCACCACGAAGAATTCCACAGCCAGCATGTGCTGATACCGCGTCACATAACTGCCAACCCTTACGGCCCACCACGGGCCAATGATGCGACGCAAAAGCAAGCCGACAGCTCGAAAGTCAACTGGGGGCCAGGCCCCTTCGAAGTGCACTTCGACAGTCGTATCCCATAGCACCTCCAATGCCAGAGACGCCCTAGGAACACCAGGAGACAGCCGACGTAGAAGCTGTGCAGCTTGCGCCACGTCGATGGAACATAGTGGCACGTACATCATACGCCTCTTCGTCCAAGAATATGCGGCAGCTGTACCTCAATACAGAGCTCATCCCAGTCGTTTTCTTGGCCAGGGTTAGGTTTTGACAGGACCTGAAACGTGCGAAGCATGCCCTGCCGCCCGCTCGTAACACCCAAGATCAGACACCCTGCAACTGATGAGCTTGCACCAGACGTATACATAAAACAAACCCTAGCTCTGGAGCACAGATGACATTAACACATGCGGGAGCAAGGCGACTTCCGCTGATAAGGTGCTCAATTTTGCAGAGTTGAGAGAAGAGCGGAGGGTTGGGCTGATAGGTAGTGCCAACGATCACCAGTCTGCTGTTGATGGCCATTAAACCACAGCAGCATCTCGCGACCTCCACGGCATACCCGTAGCACGAACTAACAGTATAATCGCCACGGCGACCATAACAACCCAGTATGTCATCAGGACAATCATCTTGCCGGCTCTGGATGCGCGGACCTCTAGATCGGAGTCACCAAGCTGTGTGTTTTGATAGTTGCTCCACAGCTTCGACTCCTTGCGTAGCAACCCTATTGACCAGCGCGTATGCAGATCCACCAGCCCGAGAAACGCGACGGTAAGCACACCCATGACCGCAAAGTCGGCCGGCGTCGCCGTGATCCGCCAGAGCGCCTCATATGTGACAATGTACACCGCCCACGACATTGGCCGGCTGAGCACTAGCGTCCACACTAGTCCGCGGAAGCACTGCGCCATCCTCAGCGGAGGTCGCGTCCAGGGCCCTAGATATTCCATAAGCAACAGAGCCAGCTGCACCATCCCGCTGAGACCGAGACTGAAGAAGCTACACGCCGCCACGTTACGGATCATCAGTATTGTAATGCCCGGATCCATGCTCATGGTAGACCAGTACAAACAAAAGGTGATGCCCATCCACCCCACGTGGTGGACCACGTCTTGCGATCGAGGCGGGAACGCCCTTACCAGGTCGTAGGTACACATAGCAGCCGCGAGGAGCCTTTCGAAGCCTGTTTGTCAGCATCTGTGTCCATGGCCGGGTCGTCAATGTGTTGCTGCAGGGCATACAAACCATGTCGACCTGGCTGAGGACTGGACGCCATCCTGATCTAGAAGGATGGCGGCGTCGGAATATGACAGGACTTTTAGAGATGCCCCCAGGCAGTACGCACTCGCTGGCGCAGTGGCTATGCGTAGGACAATGAGCAGTCTTGTGCGAGACGGAAGCGCGGGCCACCGCTGTCGTGAAAGCTTGGGGAACAATCTCCGCGACGTGAACTCGCTTGCCAAGGCGACCGCAACAAAGCAGGCACAGAGCTGGATTTCCCACTTCTCAACTTGCGGCATCATTGGCGCTTTGCAGTGGAACACCGTGTCTGAATATCGGACACTGGTGTGTGTTCAAACCTGGATCACCCTTTTAAATGTCGGAGACCTCGCCTGGGTAATCGCTCGTAAATTGAGCCGACAGGGCCCATCTTGGTTATTTGTTCACATGCACGATCGAAACATTCGCTGCGGGTCTAACCAACATTGTGGGTGGACCCGGTGAAAGACTTGTATCAATAAGTGAGGTGGCGCGGACGGCTCCTGTTAACCGCGAACATGGTAGTCATGTTCTCCACTCCCTCGTCCGCCCAGATTCCTGGTAGACGATTGTCAAGAGGACCTCGGACTATGTGCAGATTACGTCAAGGGATAGCTAGCGAACTGGCGTATGCTCATTGCTTTTGGCTTCTCCAGGGCAGCTTAGCCCTTCCCTTGGCCTTCACGTTCCACCACGAGCCGTGCCCCTGCTGCTCGTCTTGGGCTCGTTCCCGAGTGTCTCCACCTGTCCGGCCCTGTCCTCCGCACGCTACGGGCAGGCCAGGACGGTACAAATAGATCGCAGAGGGTCTCCCGTAGCTTCCATCCTTCCCCGGTTCACCTGCATGATAATTTGTCGCTTCTGCCGTCGTCCATCCAGGACGCTCCGGCAGTCCCTACTCTATATCCGAGATCTGAGGCCGTCCGCTAATGGGCGTGGCGGCCTCCACTTTGCTGGGAGGATGGGTTGGTCCTGGTGTCGTAGGGACTCACAGATCAAACGATTGCATTGACCGGGCTGAACCTCTCCAATAGGTGGAGCACATCTTGTAGGACCAGCGCTGCTGCAGTTTTGGCATCTTCATAAGCAGGTGGAAATTCAATCGTAACGATACGATAGCCTCTAATGGCTTCGAATCGTGAGCAGTCTGTGGGAGATCAAAACACTCGCAGGCTGGGCTGTCGGCCCTTGTCCCGAGGAACGGGTGGGCGCGGGGACAAAAACTGCCATGGTACATCCTCGGGTCGCCGGGGCTTTGGGGATTGACTGGATGCTCTGGTCCTCTAGGGGGCAGCCCGTTATGTAATAAGCAGACCAGACATGGCGCGGCACCTCTCCACCATACCTCCTTGCACTGCTCGTTTGTGGATGGTGTTTGTGCAAGCGGTTTGTGCTTGTTCGGTCGTGGTGGGGTGGGAGTGTGTGGGGCAACGGTCATTGTTCTGGCGCGAAACAGGACGGTCCAGCTGGCAGTCACATTCACAGACACTCCTCTGACTACAGGTGCAAGTTAGTATGATTGATTTTCGGCAAGCCTGTTGCTCTGTCTGTGCTAAAGTGGTAGCGTTGTTAACTTCTCAACCCGCAAATTCCACCCTCGACGCGAGTCACGTCCTGCTGAGTCCAGAATCTTTACCCTCGTGGCACCCGGCACCCCGCAGAGCACTCCCCAACACCTTGACTTCTCTGCTCATGCGACCTTCCACTAGGCGCCTTGAGGGCTATGCAGCTGTACCAACTGCCGAACTTCACCCTGTGCAGCAGCATGTAGGGAAGCTTTGTTGAGCAGCTCGGCAGTCGTTCTCGCCTTGAAGAAAGCCAGAGCCGCCATCAGGCGTTGGGACGAATCACGCACAGCCCGTACAGTAGCCGCGTCTTCAGAAAGCGTGTCACCAAATGCTTGGCACATGTCGTAGTTGTGAGCTTCCTGGGGAAGGCCGTGTATCATAGGAATCAGCGCCACAGCCTCCGTCCAGGTGGGGGGTCGGCAGGACTCTGTCCGCGACAGGTGACGTAGAGGACCTGCACCAGCGCTGTGACGGCTCTCTATCAGGCAGGGAAGAAGACGATCTGGTCGTTGTAGCGAAGGTAATGACACTGCTTCCACCTTATGAGGTTCGCGGGAGAGTCGCTGTTCTTCTGTCAACTCAGCGCACAAAGATTCTCCTTGCAGAGGTCCACGCCCAAGGAACGCACGACTCTCGCCCTGAAGTGCGACTTCGGTACATTTGCGATATGGAGCGTGTTTCCTCTTGATGGAAATCTGTGAAATGGCCCTTGAACGTAAGAGGACCGAAGGTTGAGCGAATTTCCGAGATCGCAGTACGGTCTGCGTCATCTTTGGCCGTAATGTCTGTATGATTATCCAGCTTAACGAGCATATAGATGCACCGCTACTACTGTACTGTAGAAGGATGTTGTCAACGATCATTTGCAATATATGCTGCATAGTACCGTGAACACGCTTCCACGCGAGTTAAGAAGCAAATAAGGTAAGCTGTGCCTCCATTGTTTGCTTCGGCGTCATTGTTTGTGTTATGCAGGTCCCACTTCAAGCACAAATTCCATGACACTACGTGGGTGAGGAGTGCTCTGGAAGATGGGAGCGATCCAGGTGCCGTCTGTCCACCGCAGCCGACCTTGGTGATGGCCTTGCTGAGCTACTAGTGCTTGTGTCATAATCCTACAGTAAACAAGCGGACCCCATTCTGGCAGCACTTCAGTGGCACCATAATCCTGAGGTGGCTCGTGGTGCTGTGTGGTGACGATAGCTGCAGCCGTCTGGGGCCAACACTACCACTTTCGAGCGCGGCTTCACTGTGACGAGCGCAGTCCACGGCATCGCACCGTGACGAGCTACTTGTTCCGCACGATGACGGCTCTGTCAATGGCCAACCATTCCAGCTATTGAAAGGTTCCACGATGTATGGTCTTGCAACGCCGATGTGTTGACCTATGTCAAGAACCACAGCTAGGCGCTTGCACTGAGCGTCTCAATGGAGTTATTGTATGCATAAACACCAAGTGGAACCAACATGGGATTGACATTCATCTGACAGCCAAAAATAGCCGTGGAAAGACTTATGAAGCAGCTTACAAAGTGAGTCCAGCAAGGACTTACGACCGAAAATAGACCAGTCTTTGGTCATACGCGTGATGGAGTGCCCGGGCATTGGACATAAGTTCCTGCCAACCCCCGAGTTCCATGCAAATAATTGCTACTAAAGATCCCAGTGCTCTACTTCCACACAAAATACCGAGTATCACTGACAGACAAAAGTAACCTCGGGAGACATATTGTGAACAAGAGTATTAGAAATGCCATTACGATCCCTTGGACGATCCGTATACGCTTTAGGGCGTGAGTTCACAGGCCTCCCCGTCCTTTTGCGGCACAGCGGCCGGCCTATGCTGCCGACGGCGACGGAAGCCCGAACGAACTCAAGATATCGCAAGACAAGCTTCCACGGTGGTACTTGGCTCCAAGCTGCCTACAAGCCACTCGAGTCCCGCTCGTTGTGTGAGAGTCAGGCAAGAGAGCTCAGAGCGGGCTTCAAACCCTACGAAGCAAACGAACCAGTGGCGCTGCTTCTGCGAACCTTGTACGGTAGAATACTTTCGCCCACAGAGAGAGCCGACACGGAGTTCGCCGCGGCCGTCGTGTATGATTTGCGACGCAGTGATGTATGGCCTGCTCCAGCCTGCCTTGAAGCCGTAGCACTAGCACTCATGATACAAGGGCGCCTTGAGGAAGCAAGTTTGTGCTACGAGCAGCTTGCCGCTGCTGGCCCACTGCCTGAAGTTGTGGTTGTCGTTCAGGCGCGTTATGGTTCATGCCAGCTCTTCATGGCTACCCTGCCACGCCTTGGGTCAAAGCCATCCCCCGAGATTCTCGGCAAGTCTTTTATTGCTGCTGCCGCACGGGGCGATATCGAGCTGCTAGCACATCTGCACCTGAATCATGGGGTTCGGCTGGACTACCAATTTGGTCGCTACAGCGCAGCCCTGGCAGCTGCCGCTGGTGGGCACACGTATGTAATGGAATTTCTCCAACGTCGCGGTGCATTATCGACAAGCCTGGCGGCGATCGTCACAGCGGATAGTCACGGGCATCATGACACAGTACAGTATCTAATCGCGCAAAGAGCTGCCAACTGGCATGGCCGAGAACGCCCCCGCGGCCGTGATGCGTAAGGTGGTGATAATCACATTGGGGGGATAACAGACAAATATGGTAAGCCAATCAGAAATAGTTACAAGAGCAATCACAGGATAATACTAGTGCAAGATTGGATTATTGTCAAGTTCTGTCATGTCCAAAGTTGAATGTCCTTCAGCCCTGGAATGTGTGATACTTCCTTAAGTTGGTGATGCTTCTGAGTTGAGAATGAAAGATCATACTGGGTGCCATCTCTGAAGGCCCAAATCTTGCCCCTTTCCTAAGGAAGTGTTGAAAGCCTTGAGATTAAAACCCTCCCTAAGCCGTTCTAGCATTGATACTGTACTTGATCGGGCTCAATTTGTTGCTTTTCTTGTGCCTCGCCAAATTAGGTTATAGATCTCGAACATATAACGTAATTATGTTAGGGTAATTAGGAGAACGAGGTCACCTCCTCGATGATGCTTTATACAGCCAGTCCTCTACGTGATCGATTACTCATACCCTAGTCCCCCACATGTTATATAGATATAATAACACCCAATGAAATGATCAGCAATCACACTTGCTGGTCGACAGCTAGATTGGCATCTTCCTCTATCTCGTTGCGGGCAACATTCCTAAATGGCAGACAGGTTCACCATTGATTTCGAAACGTTTGTCGTGGACCGGGTAGTTAGCGAGGCCAGATCATTCGGCAAAACAATAAAGCACCTCGATAATGGCTCCACCAATTCTCGGCGCCAATTCACGAGAAGAGAGCTAAAAGAGGTCGAGTCTCGATTCCGCTCGCTCAAGGAGGAGAACACGCGTCAATTAGAAGAGCTCAAAAGTTCATTCAGCCATTGCCGACAGACCGTCGAAACGGACGTTGTCATAAACTTAATCGAACGAAGTATCAGCAGCGCCACTTCTGCGCTATTGTGGAATGGTGGACACTATCGTGAGACAATGGGGCTTGTGCGGATCGATCAGATCTGGATAGGCTGGCGCGCCCGCATAAGTGGTCTCATACTGAGGAAGTTTGGTGTAGAATACCCAATCCACTATTCTCAGTATAGAGTGGATGTGAATTGGAAGGAGAAGCTGGAGGCTTTTCAAGCCCTAGCACAAAAGGAATCCAGGGAAGTTGGTATATTGCCTCAAGAAGGCCCGCAAAGTAACGCCCAAAGTGCAAAGAATGAGAAAGAGTGGTTAACTCAAATTTGTGTTCGCTTTGCACTGCTGGGTACGTTGGTAAGTCTTATGACGGATTATAGGGTGGGTTGAGGGAGAAGTCGATGGTTATTCGTGCTGAAGGTACAGTTCAGCATGGGTGAGTGTTTTGACTCGCGCGATGCCTGTGGCAAGTCTTCATAATGCCTCGATACGTGCTGTTACGGTGGTGAACAGAAACCCGCCATATGCTGAAAGATCTCCTTTTGTAACGCTGGCGGGTATGGAATTCCTCGTTTACAGTAACTTATACTAAAATATACAACCATGCATACTTTGGATCTTATGTCCCACAGGTATATGGGGCGAAGTGATACTTCTGCAGCTAGGGTACCTGTAGTCTTCAGAAGCGGCAATATGGGACTGGCTGTCGCTGTTGAGGCGCAAGCGTCAATACTCGAACAAGACTTTGTTGCTGCAAGTCTTCAAATTGTGTTCCTGGGGTTTTAGTGAAGCATACCACAGCCTTTCTCAGCGGTTCTTGACCAAGCCCGAGGTGTACTGCCTAGTCAGCAATTGCAACGACATAGCAACACCGCTAGGTTGTTGTGCAGTCAACTTCAAAGTCCGCGTTCCCTTTGGCCTAACATAACTCTCTCCCAGCACGTTCCACCCTTTCTTTGCGAGGCCAGGTATCTGGAGCAACGATCGGGATGTTTGCGGGTATGTGGGCAAGTCATTACAGTCTGAAGTACAGTATCTACAAACATGGTCGTAAAAACACTGAAGTGGGAGCCCAGTAAGTGAGAAAAGCAAACAATAACAAACATGGCTCTGGCGCTTATATGAGAGTCAACCATATCAACCATATTGTGGAGCAGCTTACGGAGTATGGTTAAAATGCCCATCCGACTGACTGTCTTTTGGCATCCACGCGCAAGGAAACCCCCCCGCTCCCCTGAAGATCTGCTTGCAACAGCCGCGAATCTTGTTTGTTTCGATTTCGCATTTGTACTACTAGCCTTAACGCCACACTTAAAATCATCGCCGGGTGAGATCTTTTGGGTGTGGTATGATGATCGTTGTCCTGGTGTATTGCTTGTATGATTTTCGGGGAAGTGCTGAAAGCCTTGAAGTCATAAGACTGCCCCGAGCTATTTTGCTACTAATATAGATGAACGTTACTTTCCCTTTACTTGAAACTGTCCATCCAAGTCTACTCAACCCATTTGTCTAACTCTTTCATTGCTTCCAGATTCCGTGCGAGGAACTTCGACGACGTTGCATTAAACATGACCGCGACCACTGCTTCGTGCATCCTAGCCAAACTGGCAGCCACAGGCGATGCCTACGCGAAGGGCCAGCCCGGCGCGCGTGAGTCGCTGATAGCGCTCTCACGCGAGCTCATTGCCAACTTGGAGCTGTCGAGCGAGTTCTTGCAACGAAGCTTTTGGGCAGAGGTATGTACATTGTGCAACCAGCAAACTTCCCGATGTTGGACCATGGCAGCTTAGTTTCGCCTCGAGAACCCTTTCAGCCATATTGGCCTGGCTAACGCTGCGAGTGTCGTGTGATATAGCCCGCAATGTGCGCGAGCATTAGACTAGCTGTCGATCTCGATATTTTTGGACTCCTTCGAGAGGCCGGCGCAGAAGGCGTTCTTCCTGACGTGCTCGCTGAGAAGGTCGGCATGCAAGCGAGCCTGTTGAAGCGACTGATGCGGCATCTCGTCGCAATGCACGTCTTGGAGCTTGCCGACGGCAAGTTACGGGCAAATTCCTTGAGCAATGGCCTCGCGATGCAAGATTACCAGCGCAGCATCATGTTCTGCTTCGACGTGTCGCGGCCCTCCTTGAACAGCTTTCCAAGTTACTTCAAGGAGATGAAATACCAAGAGCCAGCGTTGTCGAAGATTGATGGACCTTTTAATAAGGCATTCGGGTCACCGCTGCCGTTCTTCGATTGGCTTAACGCGAACCCTCCCAACTTGCAGCACTTTGCTTCCTTTATGGCTTGTTATCGCGATGGAAAGCCGAATTGGTTCGAGAGCGGGTTTTATCCCGTGCAAGAGAGGTTGATAGCGGGCTTCGACCCGAGCATTGGGGAGGCACTCGTTGTGGACGTTGGCGGCGGTAGAGGCCATGACATGGTCATGTTTGCTGCTAGATATCATGATCATCCTGGGAATATCATTCTGCAAGATCAGGACGTGGTTATCGGAGAGATTGAGAGCAAGGACGCACAGCCATTCACCGCTATCGCACACGACTTCTACAAGCCACAGCCCGTCATGGGCGCCCGGGCATACTCGCTGCACTCGATTCTACACGACTGGGACGACGACCACGCGGCAAAGATTTTGGAGAACCTCAAGCCGGCGTTGAAGCCAGGCTATTCGAGGGTGCTGCTGAACGAGATAGTCGTGTCGGAGGATGAGCCAGCACTTGCGGCTACTGCGATGGACATGATGATACTGGGACACTTAAATGTCTGCGAGCGCACAGAAGCTCACTGGAGAACGATCATTGAAGGAGTGGGCTTGCGGGTAATTAACATTTACCGCTACCCAGGCAGCGCAGAGAGCCTGATTGAAGCAGAGCTTGCTTTGTGAATACTATGCGCTGTTTCGAAGATGGGGCTACAAAAATATCGACGGCTCACACCATTCACTTCGTTCCAACATGACTTTAGTGGCCATGATAACTTGCATTCTTCCAAGAATGGAGTACTAATTAAGGCACAGTTCGCCGTGCCAATTATGCTTAGCATAGAAGTATTCAGTGAATACCAGAAGCCGTATCTCGGCGCCGCGGTCAGGTTTTGCACTCCGCTAGTGCAACCTATCAAGCAAACACTCTGGCACGGCCTTGCACCAGGGTACTATAGTACGCAGAAATACGGTCTGCCATGAACAATGATTGCCCTTGCCCAGCCACCGCCACCACTAACTTTGCCGAAGTTAGAATCCACCGTGCTGGCGGTCGCTGCTGTTGCGAGCTGGAGAACCCCGGCTCGGAATGATTTGATTCTGGCTCCGATCGTCGACCAGACTGTCGCTGCTCGCATTCGCCATGTCCCTCTGGTATACTACGTTCGTATCGTCCATCACTCCATAAGGCGATCTGAGTCCACGGCAATGCTTTGCCTTATCGGAGGTGCTGTCGTCTGGACCATCAAGTTCCAGGTAGTTATCGTGACCGTCGGCTCCAGAGGCGCTGTTGTAGCCGGTCACGCCGTTGCCGGTCCTTCCGGCCCCGTTGCGGGACAAAGTCAAGAGAGAGAATATGCGCTCGAGTAAGGGCTTGCAGGCGGGGAGATTAGCGACGAGCATGCCGATGCCGACTTCAGCTTGGGCCCAAGCGAGTATGATGCCCAGTGCCTCGAGAAGGCGGGTCGAGTCGTTCATCAGGAGGAGGTATTTGAGGCGGACAATAGGCGCTATGGAGGCACTGTTGATCTCGTCAGCCATATATGTTTCATCAGCGAAGAAGAAGTAAACATCGACGACGTGGCACGTAGAGGGTATGCATATCCTCGCTTACGAGCGTAGAGGATTGGAGTCAGAGTAGTGATGGCGAAAATAGAAGAGACTGACAAGAATCCCAGGCTGAGGAGCCCGATCAGAGCGACCTTGGTCCGGCGCGCTATCTGTAATCTATATAGGAGGGCAAAGGGCAGAAGGGCGAAAGCCCAGTCCGTTGTGATGGATACGGCCGCGACAAGGAAAGATAGTGCGGTCTGGATTTGACGGGGCTTGCATTCGCCAGGAAGGGAACTATGCCAATTCTTTCTGCTCTCGAAGATGATGTTAGTTCCTTGCTGAGGAGACCCGCGAAGCAAGAGTTTAGTCATATGGATGGCAGGAAGGGATTGAAGACCTACTCGACAGGATAGCACTGGAAGAACAGGTACATACCTGTTCCACCAGTGCAGATAGTAACAAAAGCGAGACAGCTGTATATGACGATCCTGACCCAGCGATTACCCCCGTCGATGCGTAGTAAGGTGAAGCCGATGGACCACTTAAGCGTGACGAGGGTGAAGCACCAAAACTCTTGAAATACGTAGAACCACTATTATTGATACAGAAACGTTAGTCGACGATTGAATCAGTGGCTGGACTTCTACCCTTCATTCCGGGAGCAGGTCCGTGATGTCCTGCGCGTTGTTGTATATGAGTACGTACAAAGAGAGAGTCAGCTATCTGCTGCTCCGACAGCGTCGAGTCGCGTTGTCCGATACCGCTCCAGGCCATGCCCAGAAGACCGACTTGGGAAACGACCCATACAGGCTATGACACTTCTGTCAGTCTCGTGAGGGGCGCTTCTGGGCCACAAAAGCTCGTCGATGGCCTTCAAGGCGAAACATACTAGAGTGACAACCATTGCCCAGTCATCTCCGCCCCAGGCAGACCACTTGACACGGATCCAGAACCGCAGGGCCAGCGTGATGAGATTGAAAGGCAACAGTACCAGCGTGGCTGCCGCAATATCCTTGGACGTGGGCGCACCCATGATTGCTGCAAAGGACGCTAGAGCCGTGGCAAGGTTGGCAGATGATGGCTCTGGCTTGGTGAATGTGAATTTGAGGTGCAGCTCCACAAAGAGGGGAGGAAATCGAGGCTTCGATGCTGTTGGCGAGTCGAAGCAATTCCGCTGGGAGGCTCACCAATAGATTAGCGAACCGGAACTGGGGCGGGATTGAGGTGCGAAAATCTGGAATTCTACTGGCAACGGGAGACAACGCGCATCAAGGAGAGGCCGGAGGAGACTTCCATTTTATGTGAACCGCGCGTTTATAGGCGCAAGTAACATGCTTTACGTATGCGACAGTTGAACTGGTCAGCTGCCCCTGACGGTTTGACGGGGACCTTTGGTAGGGCCGCAATGAAATTAGGGCCATGGATACGGTATTATCCGAGCTCATCCCAGGCGAGGCTATTCTTATCCGTTGCAGGTCGTGATGAACCTTGGAGTTTCATCTGTCTGCGCTTCACAAGAGCATATTGCACAACTGGATCTTTGGCCACGTAGAGCAAATCAGCCATTCTGTCCTACTTGATGGCGCTCGCAATGCTCCCGTGGCTCAGAGTGATCATGTAGACATTGAGCGGACGCGTGGTTCGTGATCTTCCGCCCTTGTACTGTCCTCCCAGCCGTTCAAATCACCAGGATACAGTAGCTAGAATCCACATCCCACAATATCCGCGGTCGCACACCCCGGTCCCGACTTACAACAATAACCCGTGCTCGACACCAAGACAGGCCAAGAGTTGGGGGCTGAGGGGCCCTCTTCCACGCAAACCAAGAAGGCCCATTGGTCCAATCGCGATGCCGGCTTAGTTGCCGGATGACCCCTTGTAGCAATGAGGAATGCACATGGACCTTGCCTTTCTCCGACAATCTTTACTCGCTGGAGGACTCAGTCTGAGAACGCGAACATGAGCCCGCTGTATTGCGCTTCTATGGTTTTTTTTCGTTCTTTTTTCCTTTTTATCTTTTCATTTTTTATTTTTTCAAATCCGCCTTCCGTTTAGCAAGTAATGCCAACTGCTCCTAATGGAAATACAGTCGCTCTTCTACCCATGCAAATATAAAGGTCAATGCATCGGCGCGGCGACGGCACAGTGAATCCTTGACCAAATCAGACAGAGCTGGGATGATGCCCGCCCCAGCACTTCAGATTCTGGAGGTATGGTATCATGGGACCCGGACCGGTGTGCATGCTGTAGTGACAACACAACAGAGTCGCTTCAAAGTTGTCGGGGGTGCCCTGCTGTCACGGGTCGCTTCTGCCAATTGAATGGGACGGATTGGCAGTTGGGTCTAAGTACGCACCCTAGCTCCTTGACCCCTGGAAGCCAACATTGAGGTGACAAGGATCGCGGAACCGGGATGCTGATCCTGCCGCTTATGCCAGCACAGAGGCAAGGACGGCCACACGTTGGCCGCCTCCCAATAAGGCACGCATGTCAAAGTTCCTGACGGGGAAGGGTATGATCGGCTGGGCATGGACCCTTGTTCCCGCTAGCAGGGGCTGGCTGCGGCCTCGGCCCACTCGCATTGTCAAAAAACGACGACTTGTAGGAGCGGCCAGCCATCTGGACGAGACAATTCTTTTGCGATGATTGTGTGATCACTCGTTCCGAGTCAGTCTGCAGGCAATGTCTGGAGGCTCTCGGGGTGTTTGGGCCATGCAGGGGTTTTGGCCAGCCCATCCTTACTTATCAAATGGGTCAATCATCATCACAATGACTTCGACGCGCCATCATTTGGTCCAGGCTCGACTCATTTCGTCATGAGGAAGGCTGTCAACATAGATCTCGAGCAAAGCAGCTCGTATTAAGATATTGGAGAAGGTAAACAGCATGGAATTGCCGTGACACGGGAAGGACTACCCACATCCACTCCTCGGAAAGTTCCAGATGAGGCTGTTGCTAAGTCAGGAGACAGTCTCTACTGAACGTAAAATTGGAGACTGTTAAGCATGCTCCGATGGTTGTCACATGCACTGGTGATGATGCGTCGAAAATGAAGCGCGACGACACCAGCGAACTTTTGTTCTTTGTATGACAAAACTGTTGGTACCATACCACCCGACTCCAATCATGGGGCTGGTAATAATCGCTAGGGTGGCTGTAACCCTTGCAGAGGCTCTGGCGCCTTCTGCAGGAATATTGGATCCACTGCGCTGTCCGATGCAGGAGTGCCAAGAAGCAAGATGCTCAAGGAGCCGCCAACGATACAGCGGTGCCATAAGAGCTTAGGATAAAAGTCGGATGATGCCGTCCTTCTGTTGCATCCCAACTTGCCGAGCAGCATCCTCCCAAGCGAAGATCATCCTCCTGATCCACTCAACACACTCAAGTCACGCCTCAAGGCTTGGATCATCGGAAATATGGTAACTTTCAGGGTATTCGAGGGAAAGCTCGCCATCGTCACTGGCGCATCGCGCAGTAAGTAATCTTTGGCCCGAGGAATAGGCATCTTGTCCTCACTCGGCGACGTCCAATGCCGTGGCACATCAGCTGCACCAACACGAGAGTCAGAGCCACTCATACATGTATTCGCAATAGGCTTTGGTGCCGTCTGCGCCGAGCATTTCGCCAGCAGGGGCGCCAATGTGGTCATCGTCTATGCCACTGAAGGCTCCAACGAGCGAGCGCAGACACTATCCAAGGGGTTCGAGGACAAGTACAAAATCAAGGCGCTGCCGGTCCACGTCGACCTGAGCACGGCCGACGGGCCCCAGAAAGTGGTCGACGCCGCCAGGGCGCACTTCACCAACTCAGAGACGGGCAGGTTTCAGATCGACATCATTATCAACAACGCCGCTGTCGTCAACGCCCAGGGCCTGGCCGAGCTCGACGTCGACCTCTTCCAGGCCACGTTTGACCTCAACTGCCGCGCGCCCGCGCTGCTGATCAAAGCGGCGATCCCGTACCTGCCTACCGATCGCTCAGGCCGCATCGTCAACATCTCGAGCGCCACGACCACATGGGGCGTCTGGTGGCAGACGTCCTATGCGGGGACAAAGGGTGCCCTCGAGGCCATGACGCGCGTTTGGGCTCGCGAGCTTGCCGAGCGTGCTACAGTGAACAGTGTCGCTCCTGGCCCGATGGACACCGGTCTTTATTCGAGCTTGCCCGATGTGCCTCGCGAGGCACTCAAACCGTTCAACCTCCTCACCCCGCTAGGCAACCCCCGACCTGACATCGACAGCCAGGAGGTCCTTGACCTTGCGGCGAGCATCGGCTGTCGCCCAGGTTACCTGGAGGAGGTTGCCGGCATCGTAGGCATCGCTTGCTTGCCAGAGAGTGGGTGGATGACCGGTGATGTCCTAGGCGCGAACGGTGGCGGCGCGTTTGTCCGCTGAGCTTATCTCCTGAGGTCTATGTATCCCCCGTAGACATTAGCTTTGCGATGTCAGTATCCGGTGGTCGGGACTATGGGAGAAGGTATTATAGCGACTATAAATTGGCATCCATGTTGAAACTACGGAAGGTTATGCCCGCCAACGAACGCTCTGGACTGGTCTAGATAGGTAGAACGACGCTCACATTCCTTCCCAGATTTGTTTACTGGGAACGCGTTCCACCACGACTACCTATTCTGATCAATCGTTGCTCATAGCTCTATTGGCAGGTGTGTCCCGAAGATTGAATCCGGTGCAAAGCTTTGCGGGGAATCCAGTGCGAAGCGTTCTGGCGATTGGCATGTGATCACATTGCAAACATCAAGTGTACTGGGGTCAACATATTATGACAATGCTGTTGGTATTCGGACCAACGACAAGGAGAGTTGGCCGAGACCTGAAACTAGCCACTACCAGTCTGCCTTATGAACGCACGCCTTTTCTCAGAAGAGCTCTCCTTTCGAGCACGCTTGAATACAACATGGCCGAGAGGGTCAAGAGTCGCAGGGCGGTGATGGGTAACGACCACACTTGCAAGGAAAGCTTCTTGGCACCATGATATACTCTTAGTCTTCACATGAGCTCCTGCCGGTATAAGTGGCCAAGAGCATAGTCTAATGTTAGCTTTTGCTAGGTGCTACGACGGCATAGCAGTTGATGGTCGATACAGGACTCGGGCGGCAAGGCAGCTCCACAAGTCTCGCCCTTGCGATCGATGATTAAGTTTCTGGGAGCGCCCGGTAGTCCCTTCACCCGTTACCCGACATGCAGGCTCTCCTCAGAGGATAGTCGCTATCAAGACCAGGTCTCCAATTGATTCCGATGTGCTGGCACTGCTGTGCTGCGCGTGAAGGCTCAGCCAATGCGGCCGCTCGCCCCTGTCTTAGAACAAGGCGAGATGTGAGTCGCTTCCGATATCTGGGACTGAGTGGAAATTGTTACACCCAGTCAGTCTGCTGATCAGCAGCTGGCCGAAAGTGAATGCTTGCTCAGGACTCCTCTGATGTCTGCCGTACGCTAAGAGCAGAACGGGCTCGGGCCGCGCGAAGTAGATTGCTGGCAGCAGCAGCAGCATTGTGGAACGACCTGACAGAGTCTGGCGAAAGTTCTGAATGCGTCAAGCGGACTTCCGCGGCAGGGTGTCCCGTCAGGGGCTTACGGGGGTAAACACGACTGGATGTTGTGCTGAAAATCAACAATGCTTCGATGAGTGTCCTTATGAGCGTAGATAAGTGAATGAGTGGCTACCAGGCTCGCGAGACCTGGCCAGGCACTTGCATTGCCCGAAAGCTTCTCGGTGGTACGCTGGTTGATGAGGATGAGCTGGCACTGTCCGAGGATACAACAGAGTCAATGGGACCTTGTGAAGGAGGAGGAGTGCGCCGACGCGATATCTCGCGTGCCGCTCTGCCAGCTACTGCCAGACCCCTCTGGGCCACTTTTGATGGCCGTTTGAGACTGGAGCTGTCTATGGTGCCAATCAGTGGATGGGGCTGACACTGGCAGAGTCCAGGTGAGGGAGGGATTGAAGGACGCTGAGACTGGCTGTGACGAGGCCGATTGCGGAAGACCTGCATGGAGCCTGTCGCGTAACCACGGTTGATGGGCTACGCCGCACTGAACCATACTCGGGAGAGGCCCAGACACATGAGCGGGAGAGCGCGAGCATGGCCTGACTGCTGTAACTAGGGTGGTCTTCCTGGCTGTGACGACTAACGAGCGTAGAGATGGTTGCTCTTTGGCTGGCATCTCTGTTCCAGGAACGGCGGAGTTTTGAGCGGGCATGCTCAACACTTTGGAAGAAACATGGAGGGGCCGAAGCCCACGGACCCCACCGCCCGCCGTGACCCAATCACAGCGCCGGACGATCTGTCACCACTCGCGCCAGCTGAGCGGCCTGCCTGCCCCAGCCCGATGACCTCGGGGGGCGCGTTCTCGTCTCGCGATTGACCGCCCACAGCCAGCACTGCTGGACCATCGGCCTACACGCGTAGGAAACATGGCCACGCCTTGATGTAGGAGGGCCATCGATGCCGCTGCCGTCGTTGCCCTGTGAGCGGCTGTGGATCCTGGCTCAGTGCCTCGCGTGCAGCCGAGATGCTGTTCAAATAAGGTTGCTTGGCTGTGCCCGTTCCTGCAGGGGCTCGAGGGCTGCGTCCTGAATGGGTCTCGCGGGTCTGCATGCGCAGCCTCCACCGTGCCGTCGGATCTCGGTGGGCAGGCCCTGGTGGTTCGTGCTTCTGGCGCCGGGCACCTCTGCCATCACCTGCGTTCTGCTGCCTGCGCTGGCGACAGACGCTTCAAGATCTGTGAGAAAATCCAGCAACGACTCCGGCCCCTCAGCTTCGGCAGTACCCATTTGCTGTCCATGGATGAGTGGCTCCAGGTCACGAAAGCGAAGCCGGGACAGCTGAGAGCTGTGACTAGTCTTGCAGTCACAGATGCCCCACTGTCCAGTCTCAATCCTTGAGCATCAAGTGAAAAGGAATCCGCCATTCCGGCTCCCGGGCTGCGATGCTGATAGTGTTGAGTGACCACGAGTTCGAGACGGAGTCCACGAGGCAGCTATGGGCGTGGCGGCTATGACTCCGCTGCGATTTGTAATATTCATGTCACGGGCAAGTGGGAGTTCTGTATGTGCACAGGGGAGAGGGAGAGACTCAGTCGCGCCTCACGGATGCTAGGAACATTGATGGCTCTTGCGGACGTGGTACAAGAGTACCACTTCGGGACGTCTGCTTTGCCTGACGGCAACAGGGGAGACTGCTGATGGGTACGTGGCCTCGTGTATAGCGGGAGCATTCATGATCTAAGAGGCATTGTCAACAAGCGCACAAGGGTCATGTTCTGTCGGAAATGATTCGCCACACTGCCTCTGTAGTCCCATGCCCTCGCTCCTATCGGAACGCTCCTAGATCTTACAATCGTGGCGGGCTGGTCCCTGCCGCCTCTGATCGCCATGAGCACCCCCGTCCAAGTGCGCCTGTGGGTTCGTAGTTAATTCGTGGTCGACCCGTCTACTAACCGCTAAAAGGCCACTCGATATTTAGTGGCCTAGAGGCGCCATAGGCGCTACAATATTAGCGACCTCTAGGCCCTATCTGGCGCCATAGAAAAATGGAGTGGGGCAGGTGCCAGATTGTAGCGCCCACAGCGCCAGCCGACCACTGAATCTCTGATAGTCTCGTAGTGGTCTCTCAGTGTAGTTCCGGAGTCAAATTAACCGCGAGTCGCGCACCCCCAGAATTCGTCAGAGAGTACCCCCAGATATAACATATCGGGCTCATTTGAACCAATCAGTAGCCGAATGCGTGTATTTGCACTATTTAGAACGCTCTATTGGTGTTGTTGTAGGTGGCCAAAATCGGCTGCCGGAAGCCTTGCACAACCCCTCAGGCCAGCGCTCCGCCACTTGAGGCATTCCGGTTTTGGCGGAGTGGCCTGAACGGCGCACCATAACTTACAGCAGACTGTCCTGCCCGAAGCCTCTGCGCTCAGCGCCCTCGACCACCCCCCAGCCCACCTGGGCACGAACTACGAGAAACAAACCGGACTCCTCAGATTCCCCCACGCCGGCACCCACCTTGAGCGATCGCACCACAGAGGTGCTGCGGACTCGGGACTGGATGGATTCGAGAATTGAGAGATTGTTCGTTTAGACGGCGCCCAGTTTCTGGCGCGTGGTGCCCTGTGGTGTGGCGTATGGTACGTGAGGTTGTACCTGCACTGCGCTACAGCCCGCCAAGAGCACTAGAGCGAGGGCGCATCGCGGGAGTGTAGCACCGAACGTCATGTCGCCTGGAGGCATTGAGCCCGTTGGGTCCGCTTTGCGTAAGCACGCATGGGAGCCACGTACGACTGAACACTGTTGCCACTATATCCTCATTGCATGACTGTGCAGCGCATGCGGTCGAGAGAAGTTAGCCTCTCGTGTCCTCATCTCGGTCACCCGAGTGGCTAGCTTGGGGCCGGTCCAATGGCCCCCCCCCCCCCCCCCCCAACTAACACGACTCTGCGTCCTCACACGATAAGCGCAGAACCCGCCGGCGACAAAGCCCAAACACGAGCTTGCTCTCTGCCCGACTCCAACGGTCTTTGCTCCGAAGCTCCATACGAGTCCCAAATGCCGGGTCCGCTCCCGGACAAGCCCTCCTTGTACCGTTTTGCTCCATACTTGGACCAGACAGGCTACGATGAGTGGCCTGACGGCAGCGGAAGGGCCTACCCACTCTGGGCACACAAACTGATGCGCGACAAATAAATCACCTTTTCCTTGTTCCTCAGCAGAAACCTGCGAGAAACAAGAAATGTTCTGTCATATCTGGAAGCAGGAGCTCCTACCTAGGGGCTCCCCGAGCCTCGACCCCACCTTTGGGCTGATGCTCCTTGGCAGCCGGGCATGCATCGTCGGCTTGCGCGCCCGTGGAGAGACGGGTCTGGCACTACAGGGCGTGGCGAAACGGGCGATAGCTCTGCGTGGCCCCTGTGATTCTTGGTTAGACATTTCAAGACAGCGAAGCCTCGACTTTACGCTCTCGAGCTCTGGCAGGTCCACTACATACGCAGCGTAAGGCTGTGGGCAGAGCAGTAATATGAGCCATGGGCTTCTCGAAGGCGTCTGAGGCCACACCGCAGCCTGTACCTTACGCTTCTTCGGGAAAGAAAGGCCACAGCGTGGCCAGCATCCGTCCACTCGGGTTGTTCATTCAAGGGCTCGCTGCATTCCAGGCTTGTGTCCAACCATGCTTCAACTACAATGTAGTATTGTATACGAGTATCTGTCGCCACATGGCTTGGTCCCGTTTATGCGCTGTTTGAATAGATACGGCTCGTGACAAGCATAAGGCCGAGTTCTTGGAACCAGCTTGTGCAGAAGAACAACAGTCAACAGAGTCGACGGCCACTTCTCGGGGGGGTTGGCTCTACAAACAGCGCCTTCGCCCTAAATGACAGGCGGCAAGGTGCAACTCAGTGTTGTCACCGAGTTATCTCGGCCGTCGTGTGAAACATGCGGGAATTCGTCGACCCGGTTTGTCGAGATTAGCGCTCATCTAGTCCGCTGAGCTTGATTCCAATTCCTCGGAAGGCTGCATATCTCGGGAAACTTATGATTCGCATTACTATGGAGGTAGTTCTCTGGATATCGCCGGGTGCGTCCACAAGCGGAGCCAACTTGTCGGGTGGATTGATCGTGCAGGGGTCGTTCTGAGTTTCTGGAACGGCCGGGCAAGCCCCTGTCACACTGTCCATTGCTGCGCTTGCCGTGGGCTGCATACAAGGTTGACTTCCCTATGCCAGGTCCTACAGCATGCTCGTACTTCAATGACCAGGCCCGTGTAGATTATCCGCGTTGCTGGTCGATTGAACTGCTTTTCCTTGGCCGAGCATTCTCGCCATGTGTCGGACGAGGCTAAGTTATCACAATACGGAGCTTGCTGTCTAAGCTACAGGATTTACATAGATCTTCTACAGGATTCAGTGATACGGTTGGGATGCGAGGATTCTATACCTGCCTTCTTTTTAAAGGTTGGCCGCGGTCTCACTCGAGGATGAGACTACAGAGAAGTTGCAACAGATCTCCTATGACTATGACGATGTGTACTTTCACGTGTAAAATATCCCAAGCTGCCCCCGCATTACCGGAATCGAGGTCGATTCCTCTAGATTGACGCCGCCGGAACGATTCATTTCTCGGAGACGACCCAGATAATGGATATCTGCTTGGACAGCTCAGAGACTCAGTATGCACCGAGTTGAGTTTGCAGGAAGCGAGGAAATACCGTCCCTGCAAATCAAGACACGTTGCAGCCAAGCAGGAGTCTGCACCCTTTCAGATCAGGACTACATCGAACCAGCGGGCTTAAACGATGATTGACATATTTCAAGGACGATTTCCATTAATCCAGAATATTGAGAGAAAGATTGAGATAGATTGGTCATACATCATTACGGTTTAAGGTACTCGACAAGGGAGAGGACGGAGTAGTCTTGAGCCAGCATCTTATGCATTAGTTCTTTTTAACATAGGCAAGTGACACGAAGGCTTTAGTTGAGTAGCTTGAAATATATACTTGTCTGGCTCACAATGGAGTAGTGAGTACGCTGCTCAGACATATCGTGTCCGATTGACACAGATCGAGCACGATCTAGCTTTCTGTACTGCCCGCATAACTCCCAGTCGTAAACTACGCGTAGGAAGGGACTCTGTCTGGTGGTCGGGCAAATACAGGATAACTAACCAGCATCTAGGCCGATTGACACGGATCGAGCTTGATTATCTCTGATCGGGGGCGAAGTCCCAAGATAGGATATAAATTAGTAAAGCTGTACCGCTGAGCTTGGAATATTCCCACGTCCTGCTTACTTTTATGCATTCTCCAAGACCAGGTCCCGGCACTTACGCTGAGTAAAGAGTGCACAGTCAATTCGAACCTACCGTATGAGACATACTTGTTACTAATGGAGCTCGATCTGAGTCAACCCAGCTCGATTCCCGTCAATCGTAGTAACTCTACCTTGAGGCCACCGGAGTTTCTTTCTTCACATCACGGAATCGCGATCACCTGCCCCTTCCGCCACTGCCTCAGGCAACAGACAGATGCCTAAGCCCTGGCGCCTTGCGGCTATCCGCGGTCTTGTTGTGCCTCATTCCTACTACCAAGTGCGTAGGTCTTGTACCAGATGCGTGAGTCCATCGACGAGGTTGACATCTGGCGCATCACAAGCTGTGTGGCATCTCCAGATACGATTTGCACATTTCTAGGCCGATTGACAGGAATCGACCTCGGCTCTCACACACTACAGCCACAATAGCTAGGCACGCACTACCTGTTTCGATTCCTCAGACTGCAAACCTGCCTGGTTCATGAAGCGAAGCTTCACGTCGCGCTCACCCCAGCAACTCCATAGCCACACTTCTACGCGCTCAAATCGAGGCGCGCTTCCTCCCACTCTCAACTTCAATTACCACCGACGACCTTCCAACATCGCGCCCAGCTTTTGCGATCGCCTTGCGGCTTTCCGCTGGAAAGGAGGGCCGCTTCACAATCCCGTCTCTACTCAGCCGCTCTCCTCCAACAACATCGAGCTAGCAAGAGAGGATGGCGCCAACACCAAAACCCCCGAAGCCGCTTGCGACCTAGAAGGTCCCCAACGGCACAAGGGGTCTTCTGGTGACCGAAGTAGCGTGGGAGCGCTGCGAACCAGGTGAGGAAGAGACAGCCTGGCTTATGGACGAGTTTCGCTAGAGCGAATTCACGGATGTTCGTAACGTCTTGACAGACTATGAGGTAAATCCCTCCATGCCGCTCTCTGTCTATGTCGTCTCGTCTCATACTCTCCAGGGCCCGATTCGACGATTCTGGAAGACAAAGAACAGGCGCGTTGATGGCGAGCTTGGTACATTCGAGTGGAAACACGATGGACGCCAACGGGCCAAAGCTATCGCCCTCTACATCCTCATGGAGAAGAAGAATACCTCAGACTGCCACGCATGCGCTGGATCAGGCAATGGCCCTGGCGCCGAGTGCATTGCTGGTCCTCCAGCCGAGATCGATGGTGCCTGTACTAACTGCTACTACTCTGGCACGGGGAAGAAGTGCTCTCTTCGTGTTGGTAAGCTCCCCTTGCTCTGCATCATCCAGGCGGAGGCTGACGGGAATAGAGTATGAGAAGAAAGCCGAACGCGAGCGGCTCAGAGCCGAGGGCAAGTTTATTCCGATCTCCGAGGATTGTCTTGGCCTTATCGAGACGGCTGAGCTTGAAACCTGGGTTGACTGGATTGAGGAAGAGCTTGTGAAGCGTCGCGTGGCACAGAAGCCCAAAACGTAAACCGCGAAGAAGTCGTCAAGCCAATGGTTCCGAGAATGAGGCTGGTTACGATGATGCCTAGGCGCTTCGCTCCTTATGTCATGTCATGCTAATGATTCGGAGTTGCAAGCATGGAATTGGTTTCCCCTACAACTAATGGGATTGTGCGCTTGTTTCAGCACATAGATAATAATGGAATAAGAGGTCTCCCTTGTTACTCTAAGGTAGTTCTTAGTAGTCAGGCAGACCTGACCCGAGAGTTACACCAGCAACTTCGATTGACATGAATCGAGCTCAATTGATACGAATGATATATCCTTCCAGATATCCTTCTTCGGACACGCAACCACGACAAAAAACGTTTGTCAGACCATTAACTCTGTGTTGCTCATGGCACCATGCCTGAGAACTGGAGAAATCGCAGTATCTACAAGACAAGAAGCGCAGGGGATCGGCATCCAGCCTCCTTCTCTGGCCGGAGTTCCCGATACTGAGCTTAGGAATACACTATCTCAAGAAGGAGCCGTCCTCCGAAATACTGGTATTGCAGTACTCCATTGTAATATTGGTGTTTTCCTCCGCTATGATGATGAACGCCTCCGAGTTGCCCAGAGTACACGACAAAGCGTCTTCGGAACACCTTCACCGTTACTTTCGGACCTTCCTAAACTCTTCATGCATTTGCGGGAAGCCCAGCTCCGGATGCCGATCTATTCGATGTTCATGCGGGTTCGAAACGACTTTTCTGTCAACGAACAGATTCGGCAACGTCTACGACGAGTCCACTGATGTTGGGAGTTGGTGGTTGTGACTTGTAGGTGCGCGATGATGAAAACTATTTGAGCTTGATTGACACGGTTCCGGGTGAACCCAGCTCGATTTCTGTTGATCGGACTTAGTCTACCTTGAGGCCACCGAACTTTCTTTCTTCATGTACCACAATCGCGATCACTTGCCCTTCCGCTACTAAGGCAGCAAGGGGATGCCTGGCCTTTTGACCCTCCGCGGTATTGCTGTGCCCCATTCCTACTAACATGTTGCAGGAAGCTCAAGCACACCGCGCTGCTGTTCAGTACGTAAAACTTCCACTAGAAAAAGCGCAACCCCATCAACCAAGTTGACATCTGGCGCACCACAGACCACAAGGCATGTGCAAGTTCGATTGACAGGAATTGACCTCGGCATTCACATACGACACCGTGAGTAGCGAGTTGATCACCATCTGCCTCCGTCCGCTGAAACATTTCCCTCGAGGTACTGATCAGCCGACACTCATGTTACGCTCACCCCGGCAATCTGGACTACCTCTATCTTGGCCTGTACTGCCTCCTCTCAGCCTCGACTTCACATCACCGCCGTTTTGTCTCGCGCCCAGCAATCACGATCGCGACGGCAGTCAACGACACCATGGCTCCTGTGCCCTTTACCGCTTTCCTCTGGCAAGGGGAGCCGCTTGAAGATCCCGTCCCTGCCCAAGCAGCCTCCCCCAACAGCGTTCAGCTCGCATCCTACTTTCGCCGCAACAGAAGAGCTGTGCCAGATGAAGTTGCCGCGGCCGCCCTTGCCCAACGTCGGCAAGAGAGCGATGCGCATACTTTTGAGTACGCCGGCAAAGACGACTTCGAGAGGGACGAGTACGCTCTGGCCAAGACCGGGACAGCCTGGCTCACAGAGTGCATTTGTACTTCTGTCCATGGGAAGCCTCGCGACCTTGTTGAGGAATGCCATGTAAGCTGTCCTGTGTCTCTCATTTCCATCCGAACCGTTGTCTTACTCTGGAAACCCGCCGTCAAGACTATCCAACGCCTCTTCACACCAAAGGTCATTGTCAGGCAGAAGCAGGAGTACTACGCCAGCTTTGACCTAGAGACTTCTTCCCGCGTCCTCGCTATGGCCTGCTACCTCTTCCTGGAGAAGAAGAATACCTCGGACTGTACAGCATGCACTTCGGCAAGGGGAAGCGGTCCTGGCGTTGAGTGTGTTGTTGGCGGCCATGCGGATCTCAAGCATGCCTGTACCAACTGCTACTATTCTGGCACTAGCAAGAAGTGCTCTCTTCGCGTTGGTAAGCTCCCTTGCTCTACAGAATCTAGCCAGAGGCTGATAAGAACAGTATACGAGGAAGAGCAGGCAAGAGCTGCGGCTCTCCTAGAGAAGAAAGGGCTCGTCTTCAATCCAGACATTATTGCACAATTACCATTGGATGACGTCAAGGCCTTGCACATGAAGTTCGAGCAAGAACTTGAGAATCGTCGCGCCGCCGTCAGTGAGATTGATGTCTCGCAGGGCAAGAAACGCCGCATGGCATGAAGCTATGGGTAGCCTTGGTTGTCAAGATACGGATGGGCTTTATTCAAGGCGAAAGAATGTTGAGTTTCGGTACAATCTTGAACTGTCGATTCGATGACTTGTTGGGCGGTTCATAGCTTCTCGGCGGATAGATAATAAGGGAAGATATCCCCCCTTACCCCTCTAAGACAGTTCCTGGTGGTTATACTTTACCACAGAGCAAGTGCAAATAGACTTTCAGTGGTCAAGTAGGCAGACCTGAGCTGAGAGCTACAACACTAACTTCGATTGACATAAATAGACTTCGATTGACGGGGATAATATATGCTTCCCGGCGTCCTCCGGACACCTGAGAATAGCGAATAAAGCTGGCCAAAATACTGTGACTCTGCGTGGCTTATGGAGCTATGCCCTGAGACCGGGCGCAAACACTCCTATGAACTCAGCTTGCAGATGAAGACGGGAACTTCTCTTAGATGCTTCCACGAGTGTTCCCGTTGTAGTCAGCCTCAACGGCGACGCCAATCCTACTGAGCCATAAGCGTCTGTGGTAGATCTTCTGAATTCCTGTACTATGGAAGTGCTCCGTCCTCCGTCCTAGTTTAATAACCACGATCGGCACCGGTCGAGCTCGAAGCATGACAATGCTGCACCATCACAGCGAGAGAACGACAGCTCCGTACCGCGAGCAAGGCCAAGTGCGGCACTGACTGTTTGCCCACAGGGTCGACTTCCTAGAGCTAGTTTCTGCAAAATGGTCGTACGTCATGAAGGCGGGCCGGAGTTCTGCCTTGCCTGTCAGACTCAGATCCGTGGGCCCACGTCGGACTCCTTCTCCTTGGCTAGGGCATTCTTGACGTAGGTCTGCCGAGGCTTAGATGCGTCAACGGGACACTTGATATCTAGATTGCGACGTTGATATGGCTCGTTGGTAGGATTGTTGAGATAATTAGGATGCAATTGAGCTCCTGCTCCCTGTTTAACTGCCACAGAGTTATGGCAGAGCTATTGGGCATGCCCGATGTATCTCTTCCGGTGATGTACTCGAGCTGCGATAGCGTGAGTCCAACCCAGGCCTCCCCTGGGTGGTGGTTCCCTTGCGATGACCATCGGCGCGGCTGCATCATACAAGGTGTCAGAGTTTCTCCAAGGCCCTGACCGAGTACTAACGATTGTCCGAGCTAAACAGGACCTGGAGTTAAGCTAGGGCAAATGCCGTGGTGCATACAATGGTATTAGTTGGGACGAAGTATCGCTGGGATGTCCCAAGAGGACTCATGTGCTTGCTTTTCACCATGTTGAAGAGAAGAGAACAGACTTCTCCCTGTCCGCCTAAGCAGCATCTCGGTCGCTCACTGGTTCCCAGCTAGGAATTTGGGCAGGCCCAGATGCGACTTTCCGTCAGTGATGGGGATTTTCTTTTCACAACTGCCAAGCGCTTGTCTGGAAGACTCAGCGCAGTAATTCTACATCACCTGTTGTCTGTCGATAAACAGGGGAGAGTCAGGGGGCACAACCTGAGACTCGAGAACAGTGTTCATGTCGCTCGGCAGCTGCGATGGCCCCAGCCTAAATCCGTGTCATCTTGAGCACGCCATGTGGGCCGACAGTACGATCGGCTTGGGAACGTAGTAACACCCCTCACGGTTTTGTGTCCGGTGAGCTTTTCAAGCAAGCCATTGCGAGACACAGGAGCTCCACCTTGTTGTCGTCTCTCTCGTTGCCGTCCTTCAGCGCACTGTCTTTTTCCATACCGCCGCCCATCTCATTGTTCAACAATTTCTCTGTGTTTGCTATGAGGCCAGCAAGAGGCTCACTCTCCCCCAGAAGTCGCTCGAATGTGGCGAAGAGGATAGTCATGATGAGTATGACAAGCATAGATTGACGCGTCAGCGGTAAAGCCATCGCGTCGATCCTCTCGCGGAACTTCAGCAGTGCATCTCGATGGTATTGAATCGCCATACGATATGCGTTTTTGACCCGATACTCTCTATTCATCTGAGAGTCTTCTCTGCTAGTATAGAGGCTGTCCGCGTAACTCAATGCTCCTATGCTTAACACGGAAGCTCCTACGACCTTGTCGGTAACAGCCTCCTGCATGATGATGCTCACAAGTAAGGTCCCACGACACGTCGCCAGACTGAGAATCTTGATTGCGTAGCTTTCGATAATGCTGAGAGACAATGGTCGTTCCAAATCCAGATCTTGTTTGTCTGTGATAGATTGGTGTCTCACAATTTCGATCTGTTTATCCCAAGGCTCGCCACGCGCTGACTTATTCACCACACCATGACTCCCCTCTGTTGTAGGCAGAGGAATCTCATGGGGTAGCATGGCCGAGACTGTGAGTGCAGCCAAGTGTGATAAACTGCACGGGACTATGGATATCCCACAGCATGATGTGCTGCCATCAAAACCAGGCGCTGGAGGAGTCGATGACGATGACTGAGCTATTGAGCTCTGCCGTCCTATCAGGCCAAACGTACCGCTGCCTGCGATGCCTGAAGCTGTTGTGTATTTCCTTTGAGGGGTCCTGTAACCTCGTTGGGAGGGGACATATTCGCACTTCATGCAAGTATGAGTGCAACGACTGCACGGCTTTTGTCCATCGCATTTGACGTGTCTCGCCCGCTATATGGCACACTTAGCGTTGCAGGTTGTGATAGAGGTGGAACTTCGGTTGGAGCGACTTACACAATTGAGACAAGCAGTATGTGCTGTCTCTGTGCTGGAAATAGGACGAGCAATGCTGCTGCTATTCGAGGCTGCAGAGGAAGCTGGCTGTGTGCTGGTAGTTCTCTTGTCGAGATATTGCGTTACACTGACTGGGCCAGAAAATGATGACATCACAGGGAGCTCTGCGTTCGGTGCCATCACAATTTCTTCCCGACGCCTGACAGAGGGGAGAGAGATGCAAATATGGACGTAAGGAGACGTTTGTGGATAAGGATGCCGGCATCTGCCTTCTCGCCAGGCTAGTGAAGAGGCTCGAGGATCCAGGAACCATGTTGGAGTGCTCCCTGGCCCTTTTCAATGGACACCATTCCCCCCTGGACCGCCCGATATGCGGTCGGGGACACCCGCAAAGGGGAATGAGACGAGGGGAAAGGTCCAGTCCTTGTGGCCCCCAAACATTTCAAGAGGAGCCTGGAAGAGAGCACAATCCCGACTGGAATACGGCATTGCGCTCTTGAATCAGCACTTGACTACAGGGCAGTTGAAAGGCTTTAACGACTTAATCTACCGGTTGCCTAAGTGACCTGATCATTATTCTGCCGACGGCTGGGCATTCTTTGACATACACGTGCGCTCGTAATACGGGCGTCCCCAGGTCGGACGGCTGGCAGAAGAGGTCGACGCGCCATTGCCCTCAGGCACAGGGAATGTCGGAATTCAACGATCACCCTAACGAAATGATCGAGAAGACCCCTCATATTAGTCGGATATCTAACCTAGTCGTGCCAACTCCTGTTAGATTACTCGCAATTTCGAACGACGCTAAAGGCGTCGCATATTTCAGAGGACGTCAAACGTGAGCATTATATGAGAGAGCAGGAAGACACCTGATTCACTGACCCGGGAGGAATGAGCGGCCGTGTGCTGTTGCTTCACTCATGTCAAAAGTCATAGGCCCCCCCTGCACTAGATTCTGCCCTGGTTCATGACGAGAAGTGCCAAGGAGTGTGCCTAGGCATGAAGCCAAGTGGGACCGCTGAGCGCCTGGAGAGGCTGGTGTGACTGTATGACCCTGGCAGGTGGCTTGTGCTATGCCGGCTCGCAGCCCCGGACCAGGTTGTGCTTCTGGGACTACCTAGGTATGGCCCCTGCAGTAGTGCTTTGCTGCGCGGCAGCCTTGTCGTGGCCGCCACAGCCTCCCGAGCAGGATGACCATGTCTGATGCTACACGTGGCATGGCAGAGGAGGGCTTCCACGAAATGGAGTGAACCCAACGGCGGGGGGCGCACGGGCATGATGCCTGCGTCGCGATTGCGCAACCACTCCGCCCCAAGCGCCCAGGGTACGGGACTGAGCTGGAGGCTGCTGGATCGGAAGCGCTGCATAGGGTGCCGTGTGTTCTGGTTGAGCCCGATTGCAGATGGGCAGACCCCGTATCGAGAGTGTCCGGTTACGCATATCGGCCTGCCCGATCACGAGCATTCTTCCGTTCTAGCTGCGTTTTCTTCCGTGATGTTATTTGCTCTGTAGCGATAGTGGGGGCAGCCCAACAGAATTCATTACCTGCTCGGACTGCACTGCTTTCCGAAACCATGTTCACCGACAACGATTATTGATTAGAGGTGAATTCCACGGAATCATCCTTCATTTCCTTGCAACTCTCCTCGGGCAGCCTCTACTCGCCCTCCATCGTCCTCGTGATGTTCCCCAGCGCGGATGCCTGCCAGGCCACACCTACAACCACGCTACCGCACACCACGTCGAACACGAGTGACGCCGAGACCGGACACCGCTGAGATTTTCAAGAGATCTGATGGAGCTGGCACTAAGCGGCCTCAGCTCCTGTTCCTTCTCTACGGATGTGTCCCCCACACATCAGGTATGTGGTACGTATGTTTCATATTCACTATGTCGTGATGGACTTGGTACAGACTGCCGCTCTTCAGTCTCCATTCGTGTGAGCGCCTATCGAACACTAAGGAGCCACGCTCCGAGACCGCGAGCACTTTGTCGTTGTGAATTTCAAAGGCGAATGCTCGATGTCCTTGTTAGGCGAGGCGATCGTCGCCGTTGGCGGCTATGCTGCGAATTCCTTCGGTTGACTCCAAGAGCATCGCTAACTCGCGAAAACGACGTGGCGGTCGCGCCCCCTGATGTGGCGCCATTGTATCTCCTGGTCTCCATGATGTACATCGCAATGAAGAGCGGCATGTTCCCGGTTTCGATTGCGTCCTCGCACTGGCAGAGCGGCTACTTCGCCTCGAGACCGCAAATATTATGTAGGAAGGACCGGACGCCGAGTCATCCTGTGGGGAGATGGGCGGGAACCGGGAATTTGAACTTCGACAGATCCCGGTGTCTTTCAATAGTTAGTCGTTGCGCGGTTCTCAGTGACCCATTCAGGCCGAAACTATTCGTGTTCAGGGAAAGAAATGGCTTCGACGCCCTCGCTGCAAACCGCGGCGTTGGGATCTATGACAACCTATTCGAAGGAGTCAATACGCTGATCAAGGGCTTCGCGGATGCGCGATTATGCGAACCTTGCCATGAGGATAGACCATGTACTTTTGTTGGATCTCGAGGGAGCACTTACACAGCGTTATTCCGCATCGGTGCATCACTCATGGTGAGACTGACAGAATATTGGCAGGGGTGGCCTGGCGAAACGGCCAGGAGTGAGACTTTCTGCAGAAGTGGAGGGAGAGAGGATGAGGCTCTGAGTTGCCTGGTGGCGGCATCAGCAGGAGTGAAGTTGAAGGCATAGCATGTCTACGGTGATTCAGATCTGGTCGGAGAACTTCCCTGATATAATCAGTGCTCTTACTACGCTACCCTAACAGCTGGACCGCTATCCCTGTGAGGGAATCAAGCAGTAACTTATAGTGTTTAAAACTCTAACGCCCAGGTTTCCGCTGGATCGCTCGCACCGTTGCAGGTCACAGGTCCATCGAGCTTGGTGGCAGCAGCTAGACTAGGTGACTTGGAAAGTAAGAGTCCCTGCATGTGCTTCGCATTCCTCGTCGTCGAGCTTTGTCGCCCTCACACAGGTGTGAATTGTCAAGAGCCTGAGCTATAAATAAGTCCCACGACGAGACCCATGGAAGGCAGCCACGATCACTAAGATGCACCACACGGTAGTTCGCGTCGCCATGATCATATGTCGCAGCATGATCGGAGCACCCGATGGTAGGAACTTTCAGACGAGGGTCTTCTGCTGGCCAGGTCTGTGGGCAACTCCAACTCTAAACAAACTAAACAAACGAAGACCACACCACAGCTGCCTTCGTCTTCTCTGGCGTGCCGTCAGCCGTCCGCGCGGACCTTGGCGGCCTCGCTGGCAAGGCAAGGGGTCTACCCTTGTCGATTTCGGGGACGCCATTGAGTTGGTGGCCGGTGGGATCGCAGCCTGCCACCAACCGGCTTAGACAAGTGCATGTTAGATCCCTGTCGGGATGTGCCGCGATGCGGTAGCCGCGCCGGTCTAGATCAAGAAACAGCCGGAGGGCGGGGAGAATACTCTCGCAGCGATGCAACCACGCTACCAGAGCACGCATGAAACACCCCTGAGGCATAACAAGGCCGCGGCCAACCCACGAGGCTGAGCTGCGAACTGATTTCTCAAGCGACCAAGACTTAACCAGAGGTGTTCAAAGGCGGGCAGGTATTCACCGAGGTGCTCACCGGTCTGCTGGGGTAAGCCAGCATAGTCTTCCAAGCCCATGCCTGACAGCCACATCAAATGGCGTCATGGGCAGTCGATGTTAGATGCGGCCCAACTGTACCTTCTTCTCTGTATCGCAGTACGTTGGGTGATCATCTCTTCGACACCGTCGCTGTCGTGTGCAGTGCAGCTCATATGGCCATATCGAATTGCGACCGTAGCCACGATCATTGTGGGATTTGGTTCGTGCTACGTCTTGGCGGACAGTGCGGTGAGCCGGACAGCGCGGTGAGTCAGACCTGAGCACCGCGGCGGGAAAACAAGACAGGGTCCCTTGGGTCTTGACAAAAATGCGTCAGAATGAGGCTCAACTGGCTGGAGGACACTGCCTCTGCTTGTAAGCTTAGCAAGACCAGGATTAGTGATTAGTGGTAAGGATAGCGCATACATCCCGCGGCTGGGCTGTGGGACCCGCCAGCCCAATCTCCCCGGATGCCGGGGTCAACACACCCGGCAGTCTGCTACAAAGAAGCTAATTAGAATCTTCGTTATTTTCATTGAACACTCCGGAATGAAAGATCTTGCGTGATACCGCACCTAACCTGGAACAAGGCTCGGCCGGATTCGGGGTGTTTCCACCACAGCCCTGTGGGGACACTCTAAAAGTGATAGGTCCACTCGCAAATATGAACACTCCTTATCGAGCATTTCGTTGATAGACCGATTGTCTGATTCTGTCATACACCACTGCCTGAGGGCAATGCTATGTCGATCACCTTGCCAGCCCTCCATCCTGGAAGGTAAGCCGAGCGTGTCGCAGCCTCTATGTGTGTTAAACGATGCCTAGCCGTTCAGACATAGGTAGCGGTGCACCATGAGCAGCAAGGAAAAGTGTATGAAGAGTTAGTGCATCGAGCGAATCAGAGGGTCCCATTGCACAGAAAGAAACATTCCTTGACAGTGCATTACAATGCTAGGCCGGGGTTAACTGACCCGGGATGTGCGCAACACTACTGCGCCTGCTCCTCTGGTTTCGTCCAGCCGGCCTGGTCCTGCCTGCTGGGTTCCCGTTGACATGCCTGGGCGGCCACTACGCTGTCCCTACATCTTCCTGGCAGGTCTCATCGAGAACAGTGTATATCCTAGTCGGGACTGGGAGTGCGGCTCTGTCCTCCAATCAAAGTTGCCTACTCCTTCATAAAAGGCATCTCCTTTTCATTAAATTTTACAACCTCATGAGCTTCTTCTTCTCCAGCTTCATCCTACTCCGACAACCTCGGGCATCCTCTCTTCTGCAACCTTTGTTTAGCTAGGCTCCCGGGATAGCCGCCCACTTTAGCTCGAGTGACCCTCCAGTTTTGTTCTCAGATCCTCAGATTTCCTTCCTGGTCCCCATTCCGCCCTGTCGAATCCAGGGCACATCCACCCGCTCCCGAGGCTCAGTTTTAGTGCCACACCATAAAACAGTCCGGCTTGTCCAGCAGCAGGCAAAGGCCGTAAGAGCACAGCTCAAGATATCATTTACATCTGTATGCGATCTGACCATTATCAGTCCCCACGAAACCGCAGACTGCTAGCCGGTATTATCTTCCATAAACGACATCCTGCTACAGCATTTGAAATCGCCTCTCCTCCGACCGATCTCAGCCTAGAGGAAGCTCACCTCATTACGATACCGGGCAATATCTGCTCAGAGATCCACGCCATACTGTCATTTCCTTGACCAGTCCGTGCAACGCAAGATCCCGACAACAAGATGACCACCCTCACGCGTCCCACTATCTCTCCGGGCCCGAATACCCAGAGCGTTGCTAATCCAGCGCCAACGCCTACTAGGATATTTGTTGCTTGTATCCCATGCGTAAGTCACCCGATGATGTGATTCTCTCCAGTTCACCAGGGCATGTTCCAGATTTTACCCTAATATCTGATGGCTAACTGTGGCCGTACAGGAGGGCAAAAGTGTCAGGTCCGATAGACAAAGACCTCGCGGCTGTAACGTCGATAGCGCATCGGAATGCTTTCTCATTAGCAGTCCTGCTCGTGGCCTACGTCCTCGAAACACTGGTGAACCTGAACCCGTCGTCACAGACTACAACACCTTTCGAATGGAAACATGGCAGACGACACCATCTTCACCATCATTATCGACTCCCGCGGCATTATGTTATGATGGCAGCAACACTCACAGTGACATACCCATTGTACCTGCCAAGAGATCTCAGATATTCAACGCGTCTACCATGATTATCGGCGAGGGTCCTGTCTCAACAACCGAGGCGAGCTGTGGCATGATGGACGAGGTAAAGCAGGTGTTTCCCCTACAGGGCAGCATGAATGGCGCCATGTCCACCTCTGCCTCACCACAAGCGGCAAGCATGCAGTCCGACGCCTGTTGGGTCTATCATGATACAGCGAGCTCAGCCCTTGACCCCACCCAGATCCCGTTATTGACTGCGCAGCCTCTTATTCTGGGGACGTCGTACCGTGACCAATATATCGACGCAATCTACGATTTCTTCTACCCTAAACACCGTGTCGCCCCCCCGAAGGAATGGTTGCATCACGCAGACAAGACGAGCCTATTACCGTTGATGACGGCCATCTGTTGGGCCGGGTCGCGGTATGTCGGGCCGTCCCCTCTCAACCTGCACCTCAGATGTGTAGCCGAGCACAAGCTCGACACATATACGCTCGTCAAGGACGGGTTCTTTGTTCAAGCGATGATCATTGTGGCTATCTGCCTTCACAAGGAAGGCCAGTGCCACAAGGCAGACAGGATTCGCAATGAGGCGGAGTGCCTCGGGCTTAAAATTGGCATGTACGCTGGGCACTATTCCATTGACCACGGCCTTGTGAGTCCGCAGCTCGAGGAGTCACGGCAAAAGACGTGGGAGGCGCTCGGGACCTGGCCGCCGGGTGAAGGGGCCGATAAGCCAGTATACGACATTTACCAGAGGGGCGCTGTTCATACGACGGGCGATCAGGTCGTCAACAATGCGCGTGAGTGAGTCGGAGCTTGGGAAAACTTCTAAATCAGTAGTAAGACTAACGGAAAGGTGTTCATAGTATAATGATCCATTATCGTTATCTAGTTGCAGCTGAGGGGCGCTAGTGTTGTTGGGAAAGAGCTGTGCGTCTCTGCACCCGAGACAATGACGGTGATGAGGTTGCTTGATCTGCGATAGACCAAAAGACGGCCTTTCACGTCGAGAATGTGATAAGTCCATCTTTGTAATAGATGAGACGCCAGGTTTTCGAAGTGTGTAACTTTGTCGTATCGAATACAAAAATGTGTTCAAGGTTTTGACCTTCGTGGTTTTATGGAAGGTATTCAAGTATTTGTGCTCATGCTACGCCGGCCATCCATTTCCGAGGACATTTCAAATCCGAGCCCAGGTTTATCGTGCTTCGATCGCTCGGGGATCAGGAACCTTGATACAGTGACGGGAGTGCGAAACAGGGTATATCAGCTGTCCATCCGGTTGGCGCCTCTTGCCACCTCAAGTATTCCAAGGCCCCTACCGCCGTGGCACGGCTGACTCCTCATTTGGCATGTATGCGTTCTCAAGCATGTTTGTCCAGTTGCCGCTGGTGCCTGTGTGGCTATGCTTCAAGTGCTGTCGGAAATGGTCGGGTCGGAAAAACTTCTTGCTCGAGGTGCACTTGCGAAACTTGTGCGCCTCCTGCGGGTGTCGCAGGCGGGCTTCCCTATCTTGCTTGGATACCTGCCGGGCGTATCCGGCAGAGCCGCTGTGCGTGTGCAGACATCCGCCTCGCTGGGCCGGCTCGTGCTCTCGTGAAAGGCGTGGTCATAGCCGTGTTCGAGCAGCGCCGAATATGACAAGCTGTGGCACCTCACGTGAACGCTGTTCTGGTGGCGTTTAGCCTCGTTCTTGCTCTTGAAGCGGTTACCGCAGAACGAGCATTCTTCTCAGCTTCGTGGGCCTTAGACGACGTTAGTCCTTGTCCAGTAAGCACAAGCGAGGGTGTGGGCCATGGAACGTACTGAATCTCGTCTGCAGTCTCAAAGTTCTTTGGCTTCTTGGGACAACACTCGCACGAGAAGTAGTCACCTTGAAGTTTAGAGGCATTGCCCTTTGCAGTATCAGGCCCTTTCCGAGGTGATACGGCTGCCCTTCTTTCAGACTCACTCAATTGCTGTTGGTGCGACAGCGGTGCAAGTTCGACCGCAGGGACGGGCCGAGTGTGGAAGCCGTGTCAAAAGGCGAGTGGCAGACATTGACAGGTGAAAGGCCAGACGAAGTAGACCAGTGCCCAGGTGAAAGTGACCCACTCTCAGATTGGGGCTTGAGGTTGTAAGGGCGACAACGATTGTGGGCGAGCCGGTGCTCTGGTGAGGGCAATGAGCTCCGTGCTGGGGTTGCCGGGATAGGTCTGGGAGTCTAAAATGCTAATTGCGGCCGCTAGACGAGGGTGCCAATGCAAGTTGGCAGGAGAAAGCGGCCAACGAGGCACGAGAACATGCGGTAAGTGGGCGGAGCCGCCGTGGGCGTGGATCCGGAAGGGTTCGACGCTTCGGGCTCCAAGCAGAAGGCGGATCGAGGGACGTCTGCGATAGCAGGATGGCAGTGGTGTGCGCTGGCCCCTGGAGGATATTGACAACCATGGCGTCGTCCGACAGGGCTCTGCCACGACCAGGGGTACGGGCTTGGCTGGCTTTTGGCTTGCTTGGCTTGCCGCCAACGTCAAGAAAAAGGCGCAAGAGTAAAAGACACTGCATTGACGTTTCTGCAATGGAGCCGCACGTTGTTGTAGACATATGCAAAGAACGAGGACCGGGGCTGTCGGTAGCGCGTGGCCATGCAACGGTGGTGGGCTACGGTCATGCATGTCTTTGACTTAATAGATTTTGGCGGCGGAGACCTCTGCCGGCGAGGCTGCGAGGGTTCCTCCGGAAGGCTGACGGCACATTTGGAGACGAATTGCGGTGGGCAAGTGGCCTTTGTCTACAGAGTAGGGAAACAGACACAATCGCGGCCAGCTGGCTGGGACCTTGGTGTAAAAAGTCCCAATGTCGTGTGCTCCGGTCATGCGGAGACTTGCCGCAAAGACCTCGATAGCCGCCGACAAGAAACATCTCCAGCTTCGCATTGGTTGATGGCCCTTAGCAGAGCCTCAGCTCGCTCTCACTTCTGGCGAAACCCTCACCCCGGCTCAGTTGACTATGTTTTGCTTCCTTTATCCAACAGCAGGCCAAGAGCTGAATACCAAAGCCTTTCGTCTCCCTCTGATGCAAGACCCAGGACTGCGTAATTCAGCATAACGACACGCTTAATCTGCTCATTCATTGCGCTGACCACATCCTCACCATTCGCCCCATAATCCTCCTCCAATTCATCGAATCTCCGCGCCCCGACCTTCTGCATACATCGCCCTTGACATCATTGAAGGTATTTAGACCCTTATGTCGCCAGGGACGCGCCCGTCCGACCTACGTCAGTCGCGGGTGCACAGCCCGCCCCGAAATTCACAGGACTGGGCGGAAGGCCGCCGGACCGGAAGTGCTGCACAGGATCTCTATATGCTGGCGAAGGCCCACCTCGGACGTGCAGACACTGAGTTAAGAACATCAATCCACGCACATTGGTTCTCTTTTATGCTATTATATGCGCTATTCCTACAGTGGCGGCAGCCTAATAGACTTCTTTTCCTGATTCGGCGGCGCTTCTCTCATCCTCTCGCCCACAGGAGAGTTCACACAAACATGGCAAACTCGGCCTTGATTCCCTCACACACCCCCTCCACCAGCTTCTGCTGGTCCTGCGGCGTCCTCGTGACATTCCCCAGCGCGCCAGCCTGCCAGACCACACTGATGACCAGGTTCCCTCTCTTGACGCTGACCACGTCAAACACGAGCGGCGACGAGGTCCGATTCCGCGACTGCGCAAAGATGATCCATTCCACCGCCACCGCCGCAGCAGCAGCAGGTGGAGGAGCAGGCGAGAAAGCAAGCAGGTTGCTGACCTCGTACGAGCCGTCCCTCTTCTGACCCATCTTCTTGGCCATCCACCTGGGCACACTGAGCGCGTAGCGCAGCAAGCCGACTGGCTGGTCCTCGGGGGTCGTGGCGCTGAGGGCGAGCTTCTGGGTGGTTGCGGCCGCGGCGGCCTATTCTTCTTTTGTCAGGGGCCCGTCTTTTTGCTTTAGTTGTTGTTGTTGTTGTTGCCCGACGCGACGCGGGTGGTAGTCGAAGCACCCATTGACGTACAGCCCCGTTTTTGTGTTAGGGATGCCGAGCGTGGGACGCATGTTGATGGCCGAATGGGACACGAACCACGTGATGGCGGTGGCCGACGAGACCGTGCCACCGCCGCCGCCCTCCTTGTCGTTGTTGCTATTGCCTTTGGCCGTGGCAGAGGACAGTGTGTGGCCTGGCAGGGCGTCGCTGAGCGCATGCACAATGATCTGATGAAGCACGCCCGTGAGATTGGCGCCGCGCCTGCGGGACGTCCGAAGCGCTGCCTCGACCTGGGCGGCAGGAATGCCGATAATGCGTAGCTGTGTCGGGTTGGCCTTGTGGTCGTCAAACATCGGGGGACCAGTCCAAGTCCCTGGCTCAAGAAGACTTGTCGACGCCCGCACCCCAAGCAGGATGGCGAGCCACTTGGGCAGCAGCACGGCAAAGAGCGGTCCGAACAAGTAGCCCCAAGATATCGGCAGACGCTTGGGCGTGTCGAACGGCTCGTCCAGGGTCGTCGTGGGCGGGATCGTGACTGTCGTTGTGGATGATGAATCTGCGTTGGCGGACGCATCGCAGAGGCCCTCGAGAAGGTGCTGGTGGAAGATGAGCCCGTTCATGCCGTCGCCAAGCATGTGGGAAAACGCAAATGCAATGAAGAGACGAGTTGTCTGTCCAGTCCCCCGGCCCAAAGGCAAGACGGTCATGCTCCATGGGGGCCGCTCGGCAGCATGGGCATGGTCGACCAGAGAGGGCAGCAGTCTCTCGATCCTGGTCGTCTCGTCTTCGGCTTTTCCCTGTTTGTCCTCGGACGCAATGAATATGCGTTCTTTGAGATTGACACTGGGCACATGCTCGTAGTATGCCTTGTCCGTGTGCTTGTCCTTGAACACCACGGTGAGAAAAGGATGCCTCTCGACTACTTGCCGGACGGCTACGTAGTACTACAGATCGCCAGCAGTGGCGGTGCCATGGCAAGAAAACGTGTGGATGGCGCCCACAACGAACTTGCATTCTGCTCAGAATGGAGTACTGGCTGAGGCTCACATAGACCAGCGTTCATGCGTCGAAAATGAAGCTCGATAAAACCAACGAACATTTGTTACCTGTACTACCTGTCGCTACGCAGGCGATATACCCCTGCCATACAGGGAGCGGCACAGCATGCCAAGATCGCAAGCTCACCGCTCGCTGCTGATAAGGCACACCAGCGGTGGGGCGTAGCCACATTTATCTGACGCCCAACCCCGCCACCCCTCTCAAAAGGCAGCAATCGTCCTTCGCAGACATTTGGTGCTTGTGTAGTACTTCTGGCCGCCAGTGCCCTTATCACAACCAGCCAGCGCGAACCAGCGACTCTGCTCTGCGCCGCGCACCAAACGATACGTGGACATGGGTCGACCTATGAACACCGCCAGAGACGGGAAAGTCGTCGAGACCACGAACCCGCAAGAGCTCGACAATCAAAACTACTCAGTTGGCTGGATCTGCGCGTTCAAGACCGAGTATGTTGCAGCGCAACAATTCCTCGATGAAGAACATAGAGGGCGGCCTCTGTATATGCCAGAGCATGACAAGAACGAATACACGCTGGGTCGGATGGAACGACACAACGTCGTCATCGCAACGTCACGGGACGGTCAGTATGGCGCAACTTCGGCTCACAGTGTGGCCCACGGCATGCGGCAGAGCTTTCCCAACTTGCTCTGGATCCTCGTGGTCGGTATTGCTGGTGGTGCGCCTAGCGACAAACACGACATCAGGCTGGGTGATGTAATTGTGTCCGATCCTCAGGACGGCCGCGGCGTGTTGCAGTACGACTACGGGAAGGCAGTTCAAGACCACGTCTTCCACCATACAGGATCCCTGGAACCACCGAAAAGGCTGCTCGATGTCGTGTACCATGTCAAAGCGCTGTATGAAGCTGACGGCAATCCGATCTCAAAAGCCATTGAATTAATTATCAACAAGAGGCAGTGGCTCAGTGGGGAATACTCCCAACCGTCCTCCAACACAGATTGCCTGTACGAATCCGAGCACATACACCCGCCGGGAGGCGGTGCATCATATGAGTATGTCCTCAGCAATGAGGCTTTGGCGCTGCGCAAGCGACAAGCTCGAGGTGATGATGACGACAATCCGGCAATCCACTACGGGTTGATAGCATCTGGCGACCAGCTTGTAAAGGATGCTGTCCTGCGTGATTGGCTCTCGCAGGAACAGAACATTCTATGCTTCGATATGGGACTAGGTACAGATATTCCCTACCTCGTTATCCGAGGGATCTGTGACTATTCAGACATACACAGGAACGATCAGTGGCAGTGCTACGCAGCAATGACAGCCGCGGCTTATGCAAAAGTCCTTCTTCGGCGGGTGATCCCTGTGAAAGTCGAGACCGAAGAAGGCTAGCAGAATGTCTGGCTGGTGGAACGTACACGGGCCGCTCCTGTATTATAAGGAAGGACTTGCAGGAGAGGGGGAGGACAGCCCTCAAGTCCTCCCTCGAGCTCCACTGTATCCTCGCATCTTCCGTGATTGAACATCCTTAGCAAGATAATAAAGCGAGCTTGTGACTGTACATTCACTTCAACCTCCCGCACATATAGAATCAAAACCTTGCGAACGCTATTTGTAGCCTGAGCCTTTAGTTATACTATAACAAAATGCAAACACGCTGAGATGTCTCAGTAACCGAGTGATGTCGCAGCCAATGGAGTCTAGCCACCCGAGCGAGGGAAGTTGGTTGCGAATCCCAGTTAGGTGGAAGTTGCGCGGCATGGTCCAACTTCGACGCTCCTAAAAGAGATGGCGCCAATGCCGGGTCCGAGGGGCGCTGTAGGGATCGGCGTGCCTACATTTGGAGAGCAGTACAACCTCCTGTATCATCCTCACCTACTCTATCGGAAGCCCGGTCAAGCATCTTTCGTACTTGCAAAGTCTAGTAGCGTCATCCGGTCGGAGAAGACGTATACGGTTTGCAGTATTCGTAGGTTCAGAGAAGTACGGCATGTCCACCGCAGTTGGAACAGATAGCTTTGCCGTTTGCAGAGCTGCCTAGCAAGGGCCTGGCGGTGAAGGTTATGATGTAGTAGAATCTAGTCATGAAAGTATTTAAGGATAAGAACGAGGCTTTTTGCAGGAAGCCGGTACATCATAGCGAACCCATCACGAAGTAGGGAGCATATGATGGGTCAGAGGCGAGGGAATTTGAAGGCTGCGATGGGACCGCAGATTCGTACTGGGGGAGGAGCACGACATTATCAACGCTTGTTTCGGAGGCAGCGGTACCCTTGTGAATTGTTTATCCTGGAAACTTGTCCAACAGTAGTCGGGCAGCTAGTGGATGCACAAACGCGCCATGTCGGCGGAGTAGAGCAGCGTTATGATCCAGAAGTGTAGACCGAATAGTGTGACATAGTTTGGCGTAAGAGTCCAGCTCTACCAATGCCGAATATGGCGAACCTAGAGTTTATAACCGTACACGGCATACAGCTTGGCACAACGGCAATATTGTCCAGTCATCAAGACCGAGGCCTATTCGGATGATCTACTGTCTATACACGATGCGGACTAGGATCAGAAAGATCGCGATGGACGTCATGATCGTGACGTACATGGCGACGGAATCGTGAGCTCCGATTTCACCGCGGACATTAGAAGCGTTTTTGGCGACTGTGGGAGATATGAAGGTTAGCGGCGCCGGACACGCAGAGAAGTAGCAGACTTCTTGGTGGGAGGGCTCCGGTAGCAGACTTACAACGCGCTTGATACTCCTTTAAAATAGTAGCATAGTCCCTCGGCTTATACGGCAGGAACACATCTCTCAGTATTGATTTCTTTCTTCGCACCTTGAGGCCCAAGTCGTTCATCAAGAGGTCCACGTACGAGAGCGAGTCAAAGGTCATATCCGGTACAAGAGGCCCATAGCCGCACGGATGGCGCCACTTCTCGAATTGAGTGTGCCGTATGATCTCATCCACGACAGCCCTCTTGTCAGCCGGCGGGCTGCGGTCAAGATTGCCGTCGAAGAACGCGGTTATCCATAAACCCTGGAGATGAGCGGTGAGGGCGGTCGATGTGGTCGAAATTCCGCCTGCGAAGGCAATGTTTCGGGAGCTGGTGGCTTGGGAAGGGACGATGAAGCGGTAATATCGGCGTGGTTCGCTGTCGACTTTTCCCGAAGCCAAGTTTTGCTTAGTCGTGGTATCTTCGAGTTGCTTGACCGGCTGAGCCTTGAGAATGGGGAGCTTGGCAAAAAGCTTCTTGTCCGCTTTTCGAATCAACGCATCCCTTTCCTCACCGCTGAGTGCTAGCCCAGTGTCGAAATCCTTGAACGCCATGGAAGAAGAGTCCTCCTTCACCCATCCCGTCGCGCACACGACAACGTCCACGCCATCTAACCTCTTGCCATCCTTGAGCTCGACCACACGTCTTCCCAGACTCTCAACCTCGGCCAGATGAACTCTGATTGTCCCCTGCCTGACCAGACCCAGAAAGTCTTTGTCGTAATTCCATACTCCTAATGCACTGTTTGCCCAGAGCGTACCATACCAGGGCTTCAGCTTTTTGGTCTCCGGGTGGTTGTCATATCCGACCGTACGCATAATATCCGCCCCAACGGCCCAGAAGAACAGCCGGACAAAGATATTTCCGAGCCACGTAGCCTGCAAGAACCTCCGCACTACGCCATATCCAGCCTCATCACCCCATGCGCAGGGGCTAAACCACGTCAGAAACCTCACAAGAACCAAGTCCTCGACTTTGAGCTTGAAGGGTGTGGCGTAGGCGTTTGCCATCCAGACTGGGCCGTTTCCGCTGGGCCGGATGAGCAGGTCGACACCTTCCGTGCAGGTTGAGCTGGTGGCGAACTTGTATGCTACGTCGAATGCCGACTTCCCGCCACCGATCACGACCGCACGGGAGGCAGTGGAGGTGATGTGGGATTTGTCGCAGAAGTCGCGCGCGTGGAAGATTGGTGAGCTGAATTCTGCCGCGCCGGTGAAGGAGGGCTTGTTGGGCTGCGAAGTCAAGCCGGTGGCGATGATGAGCTTATGTGCTGTTATGGTGGATGTTTCCGTCGATGCTTCCTTAGTGGTGATAGTCCAGCCTCCAGAGGTCATTGCCTTGGCCGAAATGACCTCCGTCTCGAACCGCACGCGCTCAAGTACGCCGAAATGCTTCGCATAGTCTTCGCAGTACTCATGCATGACTTTTCCGGGGATGTGCTCGCCCTCTTTGAGGCTGTACTTGGTACCGTCCATGGGGAAGTCAGGGTATTCTAGCGACCCGAAGAGATTGTTTGTCTTCAGGCTTGGATAGAGCCGATTGTGCGACCAGGTTCCGCCGCAGGTTGCTTCAGCTTCGATAACGAGAAGCTTTTTTTCTGGGTGCAGCGCCAGATGTGTCTTTGCAGCGGCGAGACCGTAGAATCCTAAAGATCAACGCATCAGTGCGCGCCTTTCTTGTGTGCGAGGTGAGGGTTGCGTGATGCTACGTGTTACCTGCGCCGACGACAACAAGGTCGTATTCTTCATTCACGTCGTTACCCATGTTGACCAGATGCAGGTGATTGTGCTTGACGCTCGAAGCTGGAGACGAACCAGGTTTCCGAAAACACGTTGGGGTTTCAAAGTGGCACGCGATGAACGACGTCCTGATACGTTTTGGCAGGTCGGTGTGGTCATCTTGTACGCTAGATCTCGGTGCGGAAGCGACAGGACAACTGTTTGTTTGCTAGTTATCATGGCTTCTCAGGAGGAGCAAACATTCCGGCAGCTGCTGGCCGGAGGCTTGTACCTGGAGGGGGCCAGATTGCAAACAAATCGTAGCTGGGTTTGAACAAGGACCAGCCAAGGCCGTCTGGATCAACTTATGCGATTGTGTGGCAGACCAACACGCAAGACTGCAGTGCGAGAACTGTTTGGGCAGGTGCCTCGCCAGTCACACTTGACGGCCTTTTCTAGTTGCCCTGATGCAAGCACGTCGGGATACTTAACCTGAGTTCACTCCGGTGAAGCAACCGATCACCACAACACTCCATCTTGCTGCCTCCTTGTCATCTCGTGGGGCAGGCGACCGCAACGCGGCATGCCGTCCACAGCAAATAGACCATTGAGGAGAGCTCAAGAACAGCTAACGACGATTGGGTCCACTATCCTGAGGCGCCGTGCAGTAGGCGGCAACTTGATCGGTGCAACTGTTATGCGCTCTGCCGGTGATGCGCGCCGAACCTGGTTGAGCATCGCCGTTCCTTGTGGTGACAGCGACTGTAACAGGCCACGATGGCGCTCGAGGATCTGATCCCACTGCTGTAAAGCCCCACTCATTCCGAAACCGCCCAGCGAAGGGAGGGCTGGGGATGGGTGACAGAGCCGGTTGGACACACTTTTACCTAGAGCAATGGCCGCCAAGGCAGACGGGGCTGACGGTCTGCAGGCTTCAGCCCCTCGTGGTGGAAGATTCTGTGCTGCGTGCGCAGGTAGTGCTGCACAACGGTTTCTGATGTGATGCAGTTTCAAAGTACATTTGACAACATAGCAGTCTCGAGGACGCGAGCGGCGGGCGACTGTGCGCATCGGTCGCGCTAATGGCAACGAACGCGAGCCAGAGAAAAGAGGGATAGGAAGAAATAAATGACGTTGCAATGTCTCCGTGAGGCGCAAGCAGCACCAAGTCACGCCGACAGATTGCCGTCGTCAGCTCGTAGAACACCACATGATAGTTTACCCCGCACTCTTCACAGGATATGGCTCGCAACTAGTCCCACAAAAACGACAATGAAAGGTGGGGCATCATGTCAAGGAGTCCTTTGTTACTAAGTCTCTTATTACGGTAGGATTGTGGGACTTAGACTCGAAAGGCTGTAGGGTACTCCCTTTAACCCTCCTCCAATTAATGAAAGCTTGATAAATATATAGAAATGAAGTCTGATGGGTGTACGCTATATCTTCTTGAGGGAAGGATAGGTGACTAATCGCTCCGGAGGCCCCACACGGGAGCCACTGAAATCTGTGTTGATTGTGCCAAGAACCCCTTGCTTGCTGCGCCTGCCAAGGACAGTCACTCCCTGCAGTACTGCCAGCAAAAGGTGTTTCTATCGGCACTCGGATATCTTGCATTAGAGCCCTTGGGTAAGCAGAACACTGCACCTCGCTTTCTTTATTATTAAGACTGTCACGACGAGCAAAGCATGGCATTGCCGTACTGATTGTAGAATTGTCAATCCATATGATGAAAGGCTCGAAGGATACGCTTGCTGCTTCTCGGTATGGCATCGCACCTTCCAAAAGGCCGCCACGAGCTCCGTGACGCATCAGCAGTTTCGCAACGTTATCGTGGCGGCATGCCACTGCAAGATGCAATGAAGACCACCAGGTCGTCTGTGGAGCTACCGAAAGGAAACTGAAGGCATCGTCAGGGCTGCCCGACCGGCGTAGGAGTCAGACCAAACCACGGATCCAGGTTTAGGCAAGCAAGTCAGCACGCCCGCAGAGGGCGGCCGTGGTGATGTTGAGCCTTGGTGAGCACCACGGACTTATACGAGCAAGTAAGCTCCAGCTTCTTCCGATATGTGCTGTTCCGGCCCGGTAGTGCATTCTCAGTATGCACGAAGCCACTGCCCATGATGGAGCATTTTGGCCAGCAGCATCAGGTCGGTGTGAGGATATATCGCTGCACCCGGCTTAGCAATTGGTGATGGCACATATATTATATAATGCATTACTTTCCCCTCTATATGGACCAACTAAATGGTGACTTTCCAGCATCCTCACTTTCTGCGAGCATAACTTCCCCGAAACGTCAGAGTTGAGAGCCCAGGAAATCGACACCCCATTCCTCGGGCTTCCGGCGAGCACAACGTCCAGCCAGTCACGACGTCGCAAGGTGCAAGGCGTATCCAACAGTGACACAGGCATTGCCGTCGAAATCGACCAAGGCTACCACTCAGTTGGACTTGTCAAATGTGGTTCTCGGACAAATCGCCACCAGCCTGCACAATGACCACCATCCGCCAGCGATTGACTCCCATGAATGGGTTCCGTCGGCAGAACCTGGCCAGCCTCAACAACAGGCAGAATGGTGTGGCTGCCCCAAAGCGCCATAACAGCATTGCCCATCTCTTCGGTCCTGGCTCTATTCTTGTCTGCTTTCTCTGTGCTATAGTATCGGTTATGAGGATCAACACCATAGGTACACACCTACCATTTCCGACGCTGATAGTGCTTTCCCAATACTTCGTGACGGTAACCAATATCAATAGCCTACATCGTCAACTAAGCGGAAAGCCACCGATCCTGTAGACACCGATTTCTGAAACCGTATACCTTTCCCTATCTCTAAGCGGCACAAGGACAGCAGTGACAGCTCGTACAAGAATCTCTTCATCAAACCTTCTCGCTTCTTGATCACAAAGTCTGCCAGCATCAATGACGCCCACAGCTCCTCACGACTCAGCTGTCCCTGGCCACGCTCTTTGCTCAACCCCAAGCCTCCTGCTGCCCGCATTAACACGGGGATTATCAAGGCTCCCGCTCTCTCGGCGCCCGCTGGACGTTCGCCGACACGAGGCAAGAAGACTGGACTTCTGTCCACCTCACGGCAGCGTACAGGTGATTCCGACAGCTTTATTGACCTACATGCCTTTGTTATCTCGAGCTATGCCAGCCGGAATATGCCAATAGCAGACGACGGGAAATATTGTTCCCGGCCAGCAAAGACAATGGCAGCTTGAATGAAGCTCGAGCAACCGCACAGCCACGCCGTTGCCATACGCAGACACAACGCACGCCGTTGCCCGCGCGGCTGCTGGCGCACATACATGTCTCCGTCCGAACGATGGCTCCTGCAATTGAGGTGCTGTTGCGTATACTTCGCGTGTGGGTATTCTGCTATTGTCGGTCCTGTCTCCTCTGCCTAAAAAGTGAGAGGAGTAAAAGGGTGGTCTCTGATGACGCTGTATGTACCTTTTAGGGCTGGACGCGGTCCTGGATATTCAAAAACTGTCTGCTTTGTTGCGCCATACTTGTGCGGTGTGCTTGCGGAAGGTACAGGAAGGCTCCGGGTCATGGCCCATCCAACAACTCGTGATCGGAGGCCCGGATGAAGCCAGAGGATCGGCTGCGAGTCCCTTCAAATCCATGCACCATCCGCACTGATCCCATAGCATTGGCGGCATTCTGGATACGGACTACTCACCTCGCATAGACCCGAGGTCGCGTCCCGTAGCTTAATTGTCTCATCCTCTGTTGCCGAATCAATGTGGCGGCTATCTAGTCAGAAGTCCGCCGACCGAGCCACTGGATGGGTTCAGGCAAGCGACCCTGGAACCTTGCTCCACATATCAGGCCAGCACTCACGACAGAAAAATGCAGAAAAATGGATCCACAGGACAGCATATCGCGTCGCTCTTACTCGTCCAGGAGCAGAGCCAGCTGGCTCGTGGTGAAAGGCAGAGAACCAACACAACCACGGGTGGGGCAACTCCTTGGCATTGGGTGTTGACAATGTCGGCTGTTCCGACGAAGCGAGATAGGACTAACCAGCTACTTCAAGCAACCACAAGTTCTTAATGACATGCACTCTGTAAGCACTGACCGACCCCTGCCTCTTGGGGCTGCCCAATTTGCGGTTTTGTGGTATGGTACAATACACACCGGTTCTGACGCCGCGGTGTTTACAGCGTAAACTGTCGAGCAAATGTGTGAGTGCCTCTTGAAGGTGTCCACGTCAGTCGGCCTTCATGTACAGTATTTGTGTCACGCCCTGTGGTTGCGCCCGCGTATTGGGCTTATTCGTCAGTCAGCCTTCAGGTCGGGCATTTGGCCTATTTTCCTTATGTCGTAGTGGCCGCAAGCTGCCTTCGTCTTAAGGACGGGCTCCTGTAGGGCCCGCACTGCTCGCAGTCCAAGACGACAACTCCCTGTAGGTTGGCACGAGCACAGTAAATGAAAAAGGCTGCCTCCCATTATCATACAGCGGGGATTTACTCGTATCGACGTGCACCTGCGCCTTCCATCAGCCTGAGATGTTTCACCGCCTCTCTTCAGTGCCGTCACTTCCTTTTTGTCTGCCGAGGACTTGTTTGGTACATAGAAAACGTCCAATCATCACAGTGCTGCCCCCCGCACTGCGCAGGCCCTTGTCCCGTGCTCCGCCACTACCATTCGCCTTGCAGCTTGAATCACAGTGCTGACCCCTGCGATGGCGCTGCCGATCAGCAAACCTACCAGCACTGCGCAGGCCCTTGTCCCGTGCTCCGCCACCACCATTCGCCTTGCTGCCTGATTTACCCTGCCTGCCAGATTCAGGAGCGCGAATCGCACAGAAGAAAGGGCAGTTGGCGGTGATATCCTTGCCAGTCCGGCTGTGCAGGACTGTGAGGCACACTCACGCACGGAACAGTTTTGGTGTAATGAAAGGGGCAAAATAGAGCACGTCAAACATATAAAAACGCTTTCAAGGTCGAGGTAGTCGGTAGTTCTAGCACCTCGTTAGACAACCAGAATTTACTTTCCCATCACCCCAGCTTCCTTCAACAACCCTACCTCAAACGCATAGCCTGCAAAATGCCGAGCACAACATTGACGGCGCGCGAACTTCTTATCGTGCTGCTCGTCCTACTATACAACCTTGCCATCGACTTGGTCGTCGTTTTGATCATTGCCTTGTTCATTGCACTCGACCTTTCTCAGAAAACAACCACTGTGGTGCTTGCATGGCGCACTCTAGTGGACGTGGTGAGTGTTTCGATACCGTTTCTATGGTGTGTGCTGGACACCTCGACAGCCACCCCCCAGGATCGGACTTTTGAGCACCACAGGGCCATGAGCCTCAACGCGTGTTTCGGTTTCATGCACGCCCTCTGCTATTTTGCTGTAGCGGTGGACCAGGGGCACGATTTGCGGGCTTGGTACTATGGGCCATGGTCGATCGGTTTTGCCTTGGTGTTTTTCTGTATCGCGTACACTTGTGTTCGAATTATCCGAGCTGGTATGGGCGCGCGTAAGGCCAGGGTTGGGGAAACCCAGGGGAATAACGAGCTCCCCAACGGAAAGTCATTGGTCTAGATGTGTACTCACAGGGCCTGGCACCACAACCACCAGAAGGCAACCGAAGGGGTTCTGCAAACTTCCAACTCCACATCTCGACAGATCCATCGCCAGCCACGACCCCCGACATAAAGTATCGCCGCGGCCACACCATCCTCGCCATCATACCCACCGCCGCACCTCCTCGTCTCCACTGCCATCTTCGTGTAGGCACCTGTCTCACCAACGCCGACGGCACCGTCTTGGTTACTCGCCTGCTCCATCTGCCCCGGTCTCCAAAAGGAAACCCCACCTCGACGCGTCGCGCTGGGCCACGGCATGGCACATGGCGGCCCGCCGGTTCTGCGAATGCGACCACCATTTCAGTATAAGGCACCCATTGTTATACTTCTAGAGGCGAGCCTAGTTTTCTCATAGTTGCTATATATCATTAAAGGACGTAGCAAGAAGAGTTGCTTGCACCAAATAAGTATGTTGCCAAGTCGTGAAATTGAAAGACTCCCTCGCAACACGGATCTGCAAGTCCAAAAGGACATCAATGCGTTGGCGCTCCATGCCAAAACCGGTGGCCATTGCCGTGGCACCGAACACGCGAATGCCAGACATGGCGCGATTGACGCTGACAGCGGACCGCGTCGATATAGTCTTCGAGTGTCGCTTGACATACACTCCACCGCTCTGACAATTCCGCCTTACACTTGACCCAGTCTGTTTTCTCGTCGTGGAAGAGCCTTCGAATGTACTTATAGTACGACTGAAACTGGGTGCTGGGGCATGACATTGTAGTAGTCCGGCCGGGGGCTTCGGGGAAGATGGTACACGTCAACGACTCCTGCCTGAAGATCAAAAGCACTTTGATGATCCTGCTCGTGTCAGTACTGTTGACGTATAGGCTGGTATATATGAACATACCTGAATCCGCTGTTTGAGACTATTTAATGCAGTAATGCTGTCTGAGCTGCCACGTAGTAGACTCAACGCCTCAGTCCAGTATAGAGCCTTATTCCGTAAGAAGCCATCCGCTATTCCGCCGTCGCCTGCGCTGCCCTGGTCCTGATTTGAAATGACATCCACTAAACTATTGACCGAGCAGACGCAGCAGCACCCGACTGGCGAGAGTGGGTGAAACGTCGGCAGTTTGAATCTCTCGATTGGGAGGCCAGGATCGCGTGGATTGTAGGTATCGCGCCTTAGTATGCTGGAGATAGCCGCAATCGAGCCCTTTAAAATATGGCTGTGGACAGTTGGCTGGCCATGTGGAAAGAGAACGATCTCGTGCGGACTTCATCAAGTAGTTCTTTGCCGGTTGGGAATGGGGATCAGCGGCCTTTTAACGATGCATTTAGAACCTGAATTGACTGGTGAGCTTTGGCAGCTCCATAGCCAGATCGGCATAAAGGATATGGCATGTCTGTTCACAAATACGGAATGTGCTGCCGGTGTTGCTAATCAAGTGGTGTTGTTGCCAGGCATACTTAAAAATACCTGTATGCCAACAATGTCGTCTGTTGTGCGTGGACAGGCACACCTTAGTTGTCATCGTATCATATCCAAAAGGGAAAGAGATAGGGGCTCGGCGATCCCGCCGATATGGGAGCACGACTCGAAGCACCTAACACGGTTTGTGGACTTGTTTGCGCGATTGGGTGGTGATCGTGGCGTTATGGACACAATTGTTACCCCTCCCAAACGTGATGTAACAAGACAGGCGTTCGTGACGCAACTCTCCTCCATAATGCCAAACGGCAGTGGGAGAGCATTCCTCGCCTACTTGACTCTCTACTCAAGCGAGCTCCCCCAGATGCTTTGATTGCTGTGCAGTTGAGCAAGCAGCTTGACGTCGACCCGCGCGGTGGCATTCTGACCAAATGCAAAAATACCGTTGACTACGATCCTTTCATTGTCAAGCTTGAACGGGTCGCCGTTATACATAACCCCTACAGTGGCCGCGTATCCAGTCCCGTGTAAGTCCCTGAGGGTCGAGCAGGTCTGAGGCTGGCAAAGTAGGGCCCGCAACTCCAGTACGGAGCGTCGTATCCGCTTCAATAGACATGTCTTCGAGAGGCTCGCCACGTCCAGAGCCGCTGTAATTGGGGAGCTTTACGTTGTGAACGGGATACATTTCTCGGGTGTATGAGCCAGGACCGACGAATTGAGGCCCGCAAGGGTCAAATTTGGTTTGGTCAATATCATTGGGAGCTGCATGTGGGGATTCGGACTTTCACATAGCTGATTCTATCCCCGAGGCCTTCCGTGAACATGACGATTGAGAAGGCACTGTTTGTACAGCAACACGTCACGGCCTACGCATAATCCGTTAGCTTTCTTTGGGGACATCAAGCGGGTACTGAAATCATGTCTGGGTAAGCAAGCAGTAGGATAATTCATATTTACCGCGCCATATCCGATCTAACTGTCCCAGATGCGATCAATTTTCCTGTTCTCTAGTCACCCGTAGACCTCGACGCATCCTTCGCCGTAACATCATTGACCCAGAAAACATCAAATACAGGCCTTCGTAGAAATACACAGCAGAGAGGCATTGGCCGAAGTCACAAGAATGGGAATGTCCTCATTTCTCCAGTAGAAGGCCATTTCACCACGACCCATGAGCGGCACCCCACTGTTTGATCGACCTGTAATTACGATGTGGTGCAGTTATCAACCACAACTCTGGCCGTACGCATCCAGACTAACGGCCTCAAGCATGCAAGAACCGCTTCAGTATTCTAGTGATCAGACCTCACACTTGTTACCCTAAGTGCGTCTCTCAATGCGCGCAGGAGTCATGAAGGGCCATGCTTTGGCGGGCAAAGTCAGCGCCGAGGATCTAATGCTGGCTTGCAGTCTTGGATGTCATATGACGGTGTTGATGGAGATAGTGAACAATGCGTTGGGTAAGTCCGTAAAGTTCCTGTCTGTCTAAGACTTATTGGACAGAGCTGTTGAACTCTCCAGCTCATTTCTCAAGAATTTCTCTCTCGCCTTTGTGGCCGTGTGTCGCCGTTAAAGGCATCGATTCCGCTGAAGTATTACATCATGCCCCTCAGCCGAAAGGTGATCTACAGCGCAGTTAATTAGACCACGGTTGAGGCCACAGTCCTGCGGAATGCGTAACCGTTGCTGAGTCGTAGCCGCTGCTGAGCCCGCAGCCCTGCAGAATGCGCAAGCCCTGCAGAGTGCGTAGCCGTTGCTGAGACCGCAGCGCCGCGGAATCCGTAGCCGCTGCTAAGTGCGCAACTATATTTGAGAGACGCATCCGAAGTCTCTTGGATAAGCATTGACATGATGAAAAATAATCTCCCCCTCGGTACGAGGCTGCCAACTCTTGCTATTACCCATTATCCCGTATCGAGGACTTCAAGACAACCATCAACGCTTCCACCACTTTGCCTTTCACAACATGCGGCTTTCTCTTCCACAGGAGCTATGGGACATAATCTGTGCCAAGCTACCGCTGCCCTGTCAACTTTCGCTGGCGGCAATGAATCGCCAGTTCCGTAATCGCTTACTACCGGAAATCACCAGGCAAGCCTTGAAGACAAAGCCAGGCCTGCTGATGTGGGCAGTTGGAAAGGGCCACAGAGATCTCACCCATACACTTCTGCAGAGCCAAGCCAACCCCAACTACCGCGTGTGGGTTGACACGCCTATGTACCCTTCCACGGTTTCAGAGCGACAAGCACATGACCCTTCTCAACCTCTTCGAAAGGACAGCTGGACAGCTCTCCACCTCGCCGTGTCCAGTGGCCATCTGGAAATCGTGGGACTACTACTTGACTACGGATCTTCCATCAATGATCCATATCGTGGTCTCTGCCGATGCGCCGCCGGCAGACCTTGGAACAGACGAAGAGAGTCAGAAGACCGCCCCATATATGAGGACCATTGGACAGCCTTGCATCTCGCCTTATGCAGCCAGTACCAGGAGATCGCAGAGTTGCTTCTGTTGCGGGGTGCTGAGACCAAAGTCTCGCTTGTACTCGACAACCATACCGCACTCGACTCGGCAGCCTTGAACCAGTGCCCCATTATGATCAAAAAGCTTCTACTCGCGAAGCCCGACGACAGGCAGACACGGCGAAGCCCTAGCGGCGGTGTGGATCTCGTCTCGCTATCCGTACTACGATCGGCCAATGTCGAAACTACTCGAGCTTTGCTCGACGAGGGCTTTCCTATCGGCATGGCACTGCACATGGCATGCATATATGGCCGGCTGAACTGTGCACAAGAGCTCATGCATGCAGGTGCTGACGTCAACCTCCGGCTTTGGATCCTTGACTCCCCGTCGGCGCGTTGTCCTTTGAGCCCCTTGGACCTCATGTGTCTTCACATCTCCCACGAGGATGTCATGGCAATGCCCATCTTCGAATGCTTCCAGCTTGATAAAGGAATGTTAGGCAGCACGGAAGACCGGTTGAGCCTAATTCGTCAACTCATCAAAAAGGGCGCCGATGTGCACCCACGGCTTGGCTTCCCTCATTCCCCAATGATCTTCGCGGCGCACTCCACGATGGTGAGTGTACTAGAGATCCTGCAAGAAAACGGCGCGAAGGTCAATGCGCCAGCCTGCGGAGTCACACCTCTGATGGCGGTTACTGGAATCGTGGCCCCATTTGGAGCTCGGCCTGGAAATGACCGGCAAGAGACTATCCGTTGGCTACTCGACCACGACGCAGACCCGGACGTCACGGATCTTCACGGCAGAACAGCTCTCTGGAGAGTCTGCGCAGGTTCGCTTGACCAACACGAGACTTTGCGGGTTGCGGGGGAGCTTTTACGCGGCAATGCTAACCCCAATCTGTTACCGAAATCTGGTGAGCCAGCTCTGCTGAAGGCTTTGGAGCGTCGTGATGTTGAGCTGTGCCAGCTGCTCGTGAGCCATCATGCTCAGGTTCTGACACCAGCAATCGACTATCGACAACTTTATCGCACTCTCCTGGAATCTATGGGGACTCATCGGTTTTTGACGACCAACCTTACGCTGAAAACCAAATAAGCAATCGGAAGTATCTGGATCAGTGTCTGCGCTTCGCAAACCTACTCTTCGACTTGGACCATCACTCCTCTATCCTGAATGACCCAGAACTCTTTTGGCACAGCACGAAGAATTCCTTCTACGAGTTCGCTTTGGAACTCTTGCGAAGAGGGGAGCCTGACCTGGCGTATACGCCGGCTGAGAGAGGAGATCTGTCCTGCCTCCATAATGTCCTTGCTGTCTCGTTTGCGGGCATTGTGCACGACGCCAGGCTGAAACTGCTAAATGCGCTGATCGAGAGAGGCGTGGACGTCAACCGAGGCCATCCTATCCTGAAAGCCATCGGTCAACGGAATTGGCCATCTGTGGAACGATTGTTACGAAACGGGGCCATAATCCCATTCGAGTACAGCAAACCTCTCCGGCGACTTCTCCTCAACGTGGGATATGCCAGGCCGATGGGGTCTCTTATAAGGCTCGTGATACACAGCCTGGGCAGGACTTATCCGGACATGAGCTTGCAGGCGTGGCTTGACGAGGGCCTGCTCCATGCATGTGTTGTTCCACATCCCGATACAATCGCTGCACTGCTCGACGCTGGGGCCGATGTCAACGTCGGGGGGCCTACGTGTACCATGGTCTCCACCCCGGCGGAGACTCCGCTGGGCGTACTGCTGAACCACGCACACCAGTGTGAGGAGAGATACCCCGTTGACGACGGCACGTACCCGAGCATCACGATCAACCAGCTGTTTGAGACATTTCGGCTTCTCTGTGACCGAGGCGCTGTCATCGTTGCTCCCACAAGCCAGATCCCCACGAAGTCCTCGGCATCAGTCGTCGAAGACTTGACCAGAGTCTGGCCGAAGAGTGGTTTCCGCGATGAGGTCCAAAGCAGGTGTGACTTCGTGCTGAGTAAGGAGCATTCTAGCCACTCCAGATTGGTAATAGTGGGGTTTCACGATTACGAGCCAGACAAAGTGGACGAAGCATGGCATGGAGCTGTTGAAAGATTACAAGCGGGATCTTACGGCAGCCAGCAAGACGGGGTTTCGATATGGAGAGCAGATGCCGACCTGTTCGACTCTGATGGTGGTCGGCACGACTGGGAGGAAGAAGAAGATGAGGCCGGCCATCCTTGTTGTCCTACAGTCATATCGTCGTCCGTGGCCAACTCCGACTCGGACACTGAGACCATGTAACCATGTACAGTGGACATGCGCGGTAGTAAGCCAGAGAAAAGCAATCACTCGAGCGCATGGCGATAACAGGACATTCTTTGTTTGTTGCGTGAATATGCATCGCAAAAAGAGGTACTTTTTGCCGGGCGCTAGTGAAAATTTTGGTGAATGTCCTTCCATTTGTTGTCCAGCTGGCCGTGGTCCGTTTGAGCTTGGCCCTACCTTCTTTGCCGCCACGTGTCCTTTCCTAGTTCAGTCTTCGCCGAGCGCGGCTCAGTGGGAGAGGCCGCGAGGGCCTCCTGTGCGGGTTGCGCGGGTGCGGTCCGAGGTGTTCGAGGTGGTGGGGCCGATTGCGCCGCCCGCGTTGTGTCGCCTGGCGGCGTACGGGGGCGATGGGCACCGCCTCCCGGGTGTTCCGTGCCTCTAATTAGTTGGCCGATTGTTCCGGGGCCGGGGGTGAAGGGCTGGGATGGCCCGTTGAGTTAGCAGCGGGAGGCGCGCAGCCTCCGTCCCCGCCAAGGGGCCCCGCCGCGCGCTGGTCCTTCGCGCCGGCGCTTTCGCGAAGCCCGCCTTGCTGTGATCCAGAACCCGAGAAGGCCTGAAGAATAGACAGGCAGCCCTGGAGTCAGGCATCCTGTATTACTTCCAAGTACGGTAGGGAAAGTGAGTGGCGAGGTGCGCCCGATTTCCTGCGCCCTCCCCGCGATGGGTAGCCAATGCCGGCATCCAGTGCCACTCGTGCGCCGAAAGTGGCCACGGCTGTGCCTGTTCAGACAGGTTGCTGGCCGTTCTGTAAGCGCCGCGATACCGATGCCGACGCGCCTGTGTTGTACGCTGCTTTCTTGGGTCTTCTACGCCCTGCACTGGACCCGACCTTGGGAACTGCTAGGCTGCCGTCTTGTTGGCTGCGCTGCCCGCGCTTGGGGCGTGATTTGCAAGGTTTTCAACTTGCGCGCCCCTGGGGAGCATACATACAAGAGAATGTGCTATCAGCCCCAGTTCGCCTCCGTTTTATTCCCACGCGCTTTCGTCTGGGGTGCTTCCCTGACAGCCGTTTCCTGTTCCGAAGCCTCCCTTTGAGGGAGTGCGTCCGCTACTCCCAAATGGCACCGCCTGCCATATCGCTGACCAAGCCGGCCACATTCCTGATCAACATATCGAAGGTTTCTCTAGCGCGCGCGAAGTGACAGTCAGAGGATGGACCACTTCCTGGCAGCACCTTCCAGAACGTCGACAAGATCTGCGAGAAAGGCGGACCCGCGGAAGGCAAGTCGAATCAGACTGCCAGTGCCTCATGGGCTACAACCGACCTCTGCCCAAGTCACTTGCAAGGGTGTGAGGCAATGAAACGGCTCGCAAAATAGCGACTTTGTGCACTGCTTGTCAGACACTATACCAGAAGTACTAGCATTCCTCGGGGCCACAGAGGAATCTTGTCGCTACGAAGGACAGTCACATAGCGCGTCCGCGATTTCTATCTAAGAATTAGGTTCATAGTACTCCAACCCGAGAAATGATAGCAGAAGATCAGTCTGACTACTAAGTCTGTACTTCGTGGTGAGGCTACCCGCGGTAGTGTAGGGTCTGTGAAGGTCGGTGCGTACGCGGGGGTCGGTCGCAGTCGACAAGATGGGGCACAGATGTGCTCTTCGCCGTGGTTACGGCACAGTCTCCACCAAGTTTGATGTGTGCAAATGACACCCCCAACTTCCTCGGCCGCCACAGTCAAGATAAATCAGCTGAGATTCCACATTTCCGAGGCGCTCAATCACGCAACCCCCAGAAAGCCCAAATGAAGGTTGTCGGCATCGAAATTGTAAGCCACTACATACTCCCAATCTCTGTTCGCTGGTAAAGGGAGGATAGCTCATGCCCCTCTCATCCAGTTCGAATCAGACTCAGTTCAACAAGGCGAAACTACCCCGTAAACGAATCAGCTCGTGGCGATCGTGCACTGTGCAACATCTTTGGCCATGGCGACTCGCGTGGGGCTCGAGCCAGGGTCGGTCCACGCAAGCTCCGACCAATTGTCTACAGAGGATATCCTTAACACAAACACTGTACCCGGATCGGACGCAGGATCGGACGACTCCGAGTTCTACGGTTCTGAGCAAAGCGCTATTATCCACGATCCAGACCTGGCGCGCTTCGCATGCCCTATGTTCAAATCCGATACCAAAAGATACGAAAGGTGCTTCATTAAGTGGTTTGGCTCAATCAGGGACCTCGAGCAGCATCTCCTGAACGACCATTCTAGATCACCATGCTGCGTGTGCGGCAAGAGCTGCATAACAGAACTCACGCAAGGGTCACAACTTCCCATGCTTTTTTGTATGCAACTGCCCAACGGCAGACTCCCAACTGACATCACCAAGAATCAATTCGGTCCATCTGATTCAGAAGAGCGGGGACTTGCATCGCCGGAGTCGGAGTGGTTGCGCATATGGGACTTCCTCTTCCCTTCGGAAGATCGGCCTGAGTCACCGTATTGGCAGCCCCTCGTAGACATCGCGGCGGGCTCGTTGAGGTTGTGGGAAACCGAATTCGCACCGCAGGTGGCTTCAGATACCGAGTGGGTAGACCTGCGAAACAGTATCGTGGCGGGCTGGTTGAGTTCGTGTGATGCTGAAATCGCACCACCGTCGGCTTCAGGTATCAATTGGGAGGATCTAGTAATCAGTATCGTGACCGCAGCACTTCGTGGCTTCTTGCAGAAGTGTAGAGACTCGCTTAGAGGTGGGCAAGGCGATTTTCGAAGAAGCGCCACACGCGCATTCCAGGCTGAACCTCTTAATCCGCACGTTCCTTAGCTAGCCGTCGATATTCAGGCCTGGTTGTGGTTGATGATCCTGCTGCGGGTAGGGTCAGTCGCAGACTATGTAGAACTAGTATAATCAAACGTTCTTGACTTCGCTGGCATAAATTGAACGGTTATGCGGACTTGGAACAGCCCCTTTTCTCGGCTGCGAGCCAGCACTGCCGAGGCGCACGATGATGGGCCCACCGTCGTTTACGCAGGTCAGACACATGGTCGTGTCGCCCTGGAGCTTCTGACCCGCCCACTCCCCCCGCTCGTGCGAGATCATGTACGTGCCTAGCACGAGTAAGGTGGCAGTCATGCTGGAGACCATGATATACCAGTCCTTGTACCTCATCTAAGGGACCACGGCAACGACGAGCTGCATTGCCATTGTAGCGTAGCCAAATCACCAAATATAGTCGCGGGTTACTTCAGATCGTGGTTCTAGATGGGAGATATTGATGCGGATCGAGACTGGGCGTTGCTGGTTATCCTTTGTTTGTTGATCGCTTATATGAGCTCGTGGTTGCAAAGCGGGCGATCGAGGAGGCATGAATGTTTGTCGCGTGCCACTCGTGTCGCAATCTGGCCCCATGCATTTGGTGTGCAGCGCGTGTATGCCAGCCGCCCGCACCGGTGATGAATCCGGCTCTCTATTCGCACTTTGCAACCTCTTCTTGGTAGTGCGCGTTTCAGCTTCGCTGGACACTCCCATGTCGTGAACTTCGCAGCGTTCTAGTAAACCGACTGCAAGTATCAAGCAATCATGATTAGACATGTTGTCCACACAGCACCTGCCGTCCACCCTTCTCAGGTCGTTCTTGAAAAGGTTTACAGTCGCATTTCTAGCCATTGGAACCGGCCCTCTTTATTCGCTGTAAAGAACGACCAGTTGCAGTGCGATATGCCCAATCTGCTCCATATCGTTTGGAGGAAATGGCCGACGTTCAGCACCTCGCCCGTTCCATATCGATTTCCACCGCATTGCCTGTACAGGCGACTGTGATTACCATGATCCCAAAGTCAATTGGCCACACGCCAGCCTCCACCTGAACGCCACTTTCCACTGTCGCGATAACATTATGGAAGTTATCGGGAAGCTGCTTGTCGACTTTGGGCTTCTTCAGGGCTTCTTCAGGGCATTCTTGGTCCTCCTGATCGCACCAGCTGTCCTTGGATTTCACGCGGTTGCCCTCCAACATTAGAGTCCAAGGCAAGCTGCTGGAAGGTGACTTCTCGATCGATTCAAGTTCATTCAGTGCGGCTTCGAAGCATTCTTTGAAGTACTTGTTTGTTTCCTCGCTTTTGGATGTTACTTCAGCAGTGATAGGAGAGCCCGCAATCCTTTTGTATATGACGGGAGTCCGTAGCTGGGTGGTGTGACATGTTTGCCTCCTGAAGATCCACAGGAAAGCGGCTCGATCAGGTTTTCCGACATGATGGTAGCTGTCTGTTTCGAACCGCGCTCGCGTTCGCTTCGATATTCAGGAACTTGTTTGTTTCGGTCCAGCACCTGGACTTTCAAAAACCACGAATAAACACGTCTTTTCTCTCCTCACTACAGCACTCTCGTTGATGTCAGCCTCAATCTCACCGCCGGGTGTGTTTATGGGTGCCTTCCTCTGTGACTCCAATCACAGGTTTGCCCGTAAGTCCGTGATGTTGAGAACTCTACACCAGCTCTGGCTAATCGTGGGACCTGCAAATGCAGTAATATGGGATCCACTGTGCTATCGTACACAGGCAAGCGAATGGGCAAGATGCCCAAGGAGTCGCCGGTGGTGTATGACTGTAATGTGAGCTTAGGATAAGATCTCGAACAATGCCACTCTTTTGCTGCATCTCGAGGCTTTCAACTGTATCCTCCTAGCATCTGGCCCAGGTCCTTATCTCTATTCTACTTGACACGCTTTAATCTTCTACAACAGGAAATATGGACGTCCCGAGGGTACTCCAGGGCAAGCTTGCCATCATCACTGGCGCATCGCGTAGTACGTAATTAGTCGGCTCAAAAAATGACATCTTGTCCTCGCGCTCCCATGGTCGATTCTCTGGCACACTAGCTATATAGCTACTAGAGTCCGAGCCGCTAACATGTGTTTTCGTAATAGACTTGGGCGCCGCCTGCGCCGAGTATCTTGCCAGCAGATGCGCCAATGTAGTTATCGTCTATGCCTCTGAAAGTTCAAATGATCGAGCACAAAAGTTGGCTGATGAGCTCGAGGATAAATACACGATTAAAGCGCTGCCGATACAAGTTGACCTCAGCACGGTTGACGGACCCCAGATGGTTGTCAATGTTGCCAAGAAGTACTTCACTGACCCAAAAACGGGCAAGTTCCAGATTGACATCATTATCAACAACGCCGCCATTGTCAATGCACAGCCCTTGGCCGAGCTCGACATTGACCTCTTCCAAGATGTATACAACCTCAACTGCCGCGCGCCTGCACTACTCATCAAGGCGGCCCTTCCCTACTTGCCCACCGACCGTTCCGGGCGCGTTGTCAATATATCGAGCGCCACCACGGCATGGGCTGCTTGGGGACAGACTTCTTATGCAGGGTCAAAGGGCGCCCTCGAAGCCATGACCCGCATCTGGGCTCGTGAGCTCTCCGAGCGTTGCACAGTGAATACAGTTGCCCCTGGCCCAATGGCGAGTATCCCCTTCAGTACTGATTCCCTTGGAAAGCTGATATCATGTGTCCTGCCCGGTCAGCCGGGTCGACGACCTACCTGCTCCCAATTACTTCTAACAGGATGCCGTCTAACATTATCTGTAGGACACGGGCTTGTATTCTGGATTGCCCGTAGAAGTGCGCGACTTTCTGAAGCCTTTCAACACTCTGACGCCGCTGGGCATGGCTCGGCCTGGCATCGACAGCCCAGAGGCAGTAAAACTCTCAGAGGAAATTGGCTGCCGTCCAGGCTACCTCGAAGAGGTTGCCGGCCTTGTAGGCATCGCCTGCTTGCCAGAAAGCGGCTGGATGACGGGCAGTGTCCTGCCGGCGACCGGTGGTGGCACTTTTACGCGATGAGTTCCTTAAGAGGGGCCTTACAGCGCTCTCTAGACATGCCAGCGAGGGCATTGGCCCGACCTGAATAGACAGATGACGTCCTGATAGTTCTCCTAGAGTTCCATGACTGGAAGACATTCTCTCTCGATCAATCGCGCTTTACTCACCTGACTATCCGACTCTTTATAGAAATGGTTGACAATGCATGTCCTTTTTCACCACGGTATTGTAGAAACGTGATGCAGTGCACACTCGTATGATTTGATGGACAAGTGCCTATCCCCGCGATTTGACTTACCGGTGTCGGCGAAGTCTGATCCGATAGCACTCGGGAGACCGACGAACGTTTTCACATACCCTAGGGCAGATATCTTTGAGTGTATTATTGTTCGTCTGAAAGGAATCCACGGCGTCTTGGACCTTTTCGTGGTGCTCAGAGTCGAATGCTATCATCATAACGGCAGAACTTCGGGCAGAGTCTCTGAAGAAGCCTCCACCTGCACCGGGAGCTGACCCGGCGCTAGTTCAAGTCTGAGGTCATCTCGCTTGATCCACCAACTGAGGGCTCCAGAAGAGAATATGGTGATAAAAACCGAGGGTGAAACAAGGCTTGTCCTAAGCACATGTGATCTACTGATAGGGCTGAGAGCCCACAATCCTTGTGGACATGGCGAGAGTCCGGGGCGGGATGGAGGAGACATGGGTGGTGACAGGCTACATTTTCCCGCGCTGCTAGGGAGTTCGGTGCGTACGTTACAGTTCCGTCATCGGGAATTCCACCGTCCTGGCCTCGGGAGAGCCGAATTCCTTTTGATCAATAGTTTAAAGGAGCTTATAAATATGTAGAACTAGGTGGGGACGAAAGCCCGCGTTCTACAGGTTGCCCAAAAGCTGTCTGCGTTACTGCACACTTGCTATGCATAGCTGGGCGTCCCGTTGTACGGGCGTGTCTACAAGCTGACAGAAAAGATGCGCGAGGAGGTTCTGAGTACAGTCGACCCGGATGAGCCGAGGCGCGTGAGACTGCGGGACACTAACAGATGCTAAGTTGTGCTAGAATAGGTATTTCTTTTCATTCCGGAGCCCTTCTGTACCTTCCGTAAGCACACCGCTCAACCTCGTGGTAGACGCTAAGTGCTAGGCGAAAGTCTTTGCGGAGCAAGCACCTCATTTGTAAATACACACCGCATAAGTGTGGCGCGACGAAGCAGACAGTCTTTGAATGTCCAGGATTGTGTCCAAACCTGAAAGGTACATACAGCGTCATCAGAGATTCCCCCTTTACTCCTCTCACTTTCTAGGCAAAAGAGACAGGACCGACAGCTGCAGGATACCCACGCATGCGGCTACAATTACCTTCCTCAAGTGTCTTGACAAAGGAGTAAAGTTACAAGCTCCCGGTGGACATCCCTCGCGACAGACACGATCAACAGGATAGAGGAGACGGAAGTATAAGCAATAGCACCTCAAATGCCGGAGCCACCGTTCGGACGGAGACACGTATGTACGCCAGCAACCGCGCGGGCAAGGGCGTGCGTTGTGTTTGTATATATGGTGACGGCGTGGCTGTGCGGTTGTTCGAGCTGCATCAAAGCGGCCGTCATATTTGCTGGCCAAGAACAATATTGCCTGTCGAGTGCTCTTGTAATCTTCCGGCGTTTCAGGGTGCGATAATTCAGCCAGAAGAACCTTACTCACAAAATTTCAGTAAGGCAGAAATATATAAGCAGTGTGAAACAATAAAAGAATTCGAGAACTGGTTCCGCCATTAATACCAATAGCAGCACAGCAACCTGTCGCCGCCATGCAGGCAACCCAAACCAATAACAGATTCATGCGCCTTCAAGCTTCATCCCCTTGTGCAGAATCCAGAGTACCGCTATAGTCCGTCAAGTACCAGGCATCGATCCGTGAGACATCGTCAATGCAGCCAACGAGAGATCAGCACTCTGCCGCCTTCTCTGTCTCGTCCTTCTCACTGCCGGTCTCCCCCAGATCAAAGCTCTCGCCCTTCCCTACATGGGTTACAGCACCGCAGCGCATGGCGCAGGCTCCTCGGTCTTCTGCATGAGCCCCTCGGCAGTCTTGGATTCTTGCACCACGACCACCTCCGCGGCAACAGTAATGAGTTCCACTTCTTGCTCGGAGTCCTTGACAGGCACGCTAAACCGCTTGACACTCGCAGAAGCGTCAGCCAGCACAGCCATGACATCGGCCTCGGCCCTAGGCTGCTGCGCAACCTCATCTTCGTCGTCACCAGGGACGACGTTGACCGAACCTCATCGCAGAACTCAGAGAAGTAGCCACTCATTTCGGTGAGCGGGCTTCTCTTCTTTCCAAAAGTCACGCCGTCAGCATCCGCTGCTCGGAACGCCTGCGAGACTTCATCGGCTGGTGGCATGTTCTCCTTGCCTTCGGCACGTTCCCGCTGCCATCGGGTCTCAGTCTCCTCATCTGAGCTGATGGCGAGCACGCATGTGCTGTGCTCCAGAAGGTTTGTCATCTCTTGCTCGGCAGTGTCCTCGTGGATCTTAAAAACGTCGAGGCCGAGCTTGAGGCTCGTTGAGGCAACAGGCGCCTGAGACACAATCTCGCGGCTGTCATAGCTTGGGAGCGTACCCTTGAGAGCACCGTCGAGAGAGAAGGGGGCAGCAGCCTTGGACGAGAGACCAAAGGCAGGAGAGCCCATACGACTGTTGGAACCATCTCTGCGCCGCCGTAACGGGCACAGAGATCCAGTCTTCTTGCCTCGTGTTCGCGAACGTCCAGCGGCCGCCGGAAGAGGGAAGGCCTTAGCCATGCCCGTGTTGTTGAGGCGGGCAGCAGGAGACTTGGGGTTGAGCAAAAAGCACGGCCAGGGATAGCTGAGTGGCAAAGAGCTGTGGACGTCATTGGTGCTGGCAAACTTTGTGACCATGCTGGTGGAATGCTTGATGAAGAGAATGTTGTACGAGCTGTCACTGCTGTCATTAAGCCGCTTGGAGAAAATGGCAGGGTATACATTTTCAAAATCATCGGTGGCTTTCCGCTTGGTTGACGACGGAGTGGAGGCTGTTGATATTGGTCAGCGTCACGAAGCATTGGGAAAGCACTTTATCAATGTTGGAAGTGGCAGGTCTGTGCCAAGGTGTCGCAGAGGATCCTCATGGCCGATGCCATACCGCAGAGCAAGCATACAAGAATAGAGCCAGGACCGAAAAGATGGGTAATGCTGCCATGGCACTTTGGGGCAAATACCATTCTGCCCGCTCTTGAGGTTGGTCAAGTTCCGCGGAGGCTGCCCGTCCAGAGGAGTCAATGGATGGCGGATGGTGGCCATTGTGAAGGCTCGTGGCGATTTGTCCGGGGGCCAAGTGTGACAAGTCCAATTGAGTGGCGGCCTTGGCGATTTCGACGGTAATGCCTGTGTCGCTGTTGGGTACGCCCTGTACCTTGCGACGTCGTGACTGGCTGGATGTTATATCTCGCCGGCAGCCCGGGGAATGGACAAGTTGGAAGCGTGTGACTGGGGTGGTTGCTTATTTTGGACAGGTGCTCTTGTGTTGTTGAATGAAGGCCATGAGGGGCTTGAAAAAGACCACAGCTCTGTGGCAGTGGCGGGAGGAGAAAGGCGGCGAGGAGCGAGCCTGATAGGGAGCCGAGTAGGTCTTATTGCTGCGTCCTGGGCACGGAACAAAGACATACAACTTGGAGGCCCGGATATCCGATGTAATCCACTGGCTGGATAAGCTGCTCACACTGGATTGCGGCCTCTAGACGCTTGAGTGAGACTGGGAGTGAGCTGTCGGATCTTGCGAGTGGTTTCGTTGCAACTTGCCAGTCGACACGTTGGAGACGTCGCTGTACGCAGCGTAGGACCTGGCGGCGGGCGACCCCCTGCAAGCGAGTGGGGCTGGGCGCTGGAAGGCATGTGGATTCAACACAGCATCGATGCACGTTTGCTAATCTCGGAGTTCCTGTTGCGGATAATGATGGTTCTTAATCCCGCTCTTTTGTGTACCTAAAAATGATTGGCTATGCAAGGTTGAAATTCTACAAGATTGAGATGGCAAAACAAATGATCATCTTCAACTACAAGCATGCTTCGCGAAGCAAGCGTCTCATCCACCCGACCTTCTGTGGATCATCAGGTCGTGAGTCGGCGCCTCCAAGGTCTCCAGGTTTCTGAAGATGCCCGACAGAGTTGACCTTGATGGTTGCCGATTGCGTTTCGACTTTAGCGGAGATCTCTAGCTCCCCATGCCAGCACAAGGTGGACTTGCGAACGGCGCAGGTCAGGGCGCGTTTGCCACAAGGGATTTCTCACCAAACCGTCTCCGTCAGTCACAAGACATCGCACAACGACTGCCCCCGACTGAGGCTGGCCCACCTTGGCCGATAAGGCAAAAGCCTCTCGCTGGGCAGAACCTTGTTTACTCCCGAGCCAGCACCACTAATGCTCCCTGTTAGACATCTCACGCTCTTCGGACCGAGCCCGCGCTCTCGAAAGGAAGCCAACCTGTCAACCCGATTTCTCAAGGACAAAGGGTCGCTCTAATGTGATTATCGGAAAGGCCGAGCAAGGCTGAGCAAGGCCCTGAGGTCTGCCCACAGGTCTGACTCCCTCGAGCCAGCTCCTACAGAAGCTTTGCACGTCAGTCATTGGGTCCGTGTAGAAATTCTGCCTTGCCGGTCTGACTCATATCTGAGAGCCCACACATCTTCTCCTGAACTAAAAGCTTCTTGGCGTAGGCTCTTGCGAGGCAAAGGAGCGTCAATGAGCAACCTGCCTTCTAGACGGCCGCTCTCATACGGCTCTTCGACAGGGTTAACAAGGCCAACAAGGCTGCAGTGATGTCGTCGATCCACACAACCGTGGAAGAGGCATTGGGACCCCTCTGTTCTTGCTCCAAGGATACTGTCACTGTCCTGGACATGGCACCTCACTAGAAATCCGCCTCTGTCGCTCCCAACCATCCTTTCCACCTCTTCCTGTATTACCTGAAGTCGCAGCCCCAATTCTCGGGTGCAGCTGTGCATGTGTGTGTGTGTATGTGTGCGGCGATCGACGGCTGTGTCACGAGGCAAACTGACATACGCGAGAGGCGAGTACGCGAAATGGAGTGGACCAAGGGCGGAGGGCAAGAAGCGCAAGACGCCTGCGCCGCGATTGGAAATACCAGTTAAGGCAGATCGCAGATGGGCAGGCCCTATGTCGAGAGGGTCGGTCTGCACATGTTGGTCTGCCCGGTCGCGAGTATTCTTCCAGTCTAATTGACGCTGTTTGCCAGTGAACACGGTGTGTGCAAGAAGCGCAGCCCTGTCCGGGAACGGAAATCTGCTGGGCTGCCGTCAGTCACTATCGGCATATGGCAAATAGCATCCGAAAGAAAAAGCAGCTGGATATTTCGCAAACTCGACCTTGATTCTCCCGCATGACTCCCTGACCGGCCTCCGCTCACCCACAACCGTTCTCGTGCGATGCCCCAGTACACCAGCTTGCCAGACCACCCTGACGACCAGGTTCCCGCCAGTCAGGCTGACACCGTACGAACAGTCTCCCCTCTAGCGCAGCTCCTCAGCCAACCACCCGCGCAGGCTAGGCGTGTTGTGTAGTAAGCCGAGCGGCTTGCCGGCCAGGGTCGCGGTCCTCCGCCTTGGAGGTCTTGACACTTTCATTTTTGCGGTTTTTGCGGATCCAGAGTCGCGGCCGAGACTCTGATGCTGCCGGTGGGTAGTTGAAGCACCCGTCAACTTACAGCCCATTCTTTGTGTTAGAGATACCGCACGTGGGACGCATATGATGGCCGACTGCGATGTGAATCTCGTGATAGCGATAGAGGCCGTCCCATCCTTGCTGCCCTCATTGTTGTCGTCAGTACTGTTGGATGATAGTATGCGGTCAGATCAAGGCACCACTGAGGGTATGCACGATGATATGATGCAGCACGCCGGCGAGCTTGATATCGCAGTTACGAGACGCATCGAGTATCGCGCTGGCATGCTTGGCCGGAATATCGCCAACCCGGAGCTGTGTCGGGTGAGCCTTGTTGTGGTCGAACATTGGCGGGCCAGTCCAGGTCGCTTTGTCCACAGAGGGCTTGTTAATGCCCGCACTCCGAACCAACGGTGGTGGATGAGCGTGAGGCCGCGGAGGCGTTGCGTAGACCCTAGAGAAGGCCCTGGTGGAGATTGCCAAGGCAATGACGAGACGTGTTGTCTCTCCAGCCTTGTGGCGCAAAAGCAAGACAGTCATACTCCATAGCGGACGCGGACAGCATGGGCGACGTGTTCCTCGTGATCGACGCTGGGTGCATGCTCGTAGTACACCTCGTCCGTGTTCTTGTCCTTGATAACTATGGTTACAAACGGATGCTTCTCGACGACCTGCCGAGGGTGCCCTACTAGTAGAAAGGCAACAGCCGACCGATGGGAGTACCGGCGCCGCCTCTTCACGACACGATACTAAGGCCTATTCAGACCACCGTTCTCACTTCTTTTCACATGTATAGCGTCGCCCACAACCTTACGTCCGAAACAACGGTCCGGGGCCTTTCGGGGTGGCATTAGAGTTTTATTGGCTATCTTGGATTGACGTTCAGGAACGTATTTTAACTACACGAATGCCCAGGCTCTACCCAGCGCATAGACAACGCAGCTGATCTGCACCGCCTCCGCCACCATCTGAAGCCGGCGTGTCCCATCATCGCCAAGCTGCCCAGCCACGCTTTGATCGCTAGTCCATCGCACACTTTACTTATGAGCGGCACATGATCGTCTGAGTGCGCGGCCGAAGCCCCAAAGCGGCACGTGCTGGGCTCTACCATGTACTAGGCGGCCTACGATGCACCCGATCGAGCCCGTGGTCTGCCTGATGCAGGGGATCTTTTCAAGATGGGGCTGGGCATGGTCGACATAGCATCTTGCACACCACTCGCTTTCCCTTGGCGCACGATCATTAGCGTGTAAGTGATTGTCTTGGTGACCACGTTCTGAGTGCGTCCGACCCTGTAGGTTGAGCATTTAATGGCTCGACCGTTCGTGTAGTGTCGAGCCTCTAGAGCTGCCTCCCGGTTGGAAGGCTGCGGTGCAGACCGAGCCCTGAATAGTAAATGCACGGCCGTAGGTGAGTTCGCATCCTTGACGGCAAGAGATTGCGTGATGTGGAGGCTGGAAATCGGAGTGGTGCCAGTTGGAGAGGTTTGACAACTTGGCCGTATCGCAGAAGTGGGCGAAGATGTATGTGGTTTCCACATTCGCACGAGCAGTAGGCGCGGTCGCCGCTGGCGGTACAAGACACGGCATCGCAATCGTGGCTCGTGGCGGTGGTAGCTCTTGAACTTTGGTGCTATGTCTAGGTTGAGGAACTTCGTGTAGGCGGGAGGCGGGGTGATTGGCGTGGTGTTGGCAACCCCATTTTCCATGAGGACCGGAATAGAAGAGAGGGATGAGTCGGCCGACGGAGTCAAAAGCTGCGAAGGGAACGTGGGCGTGGGCGTGGCCGAGTTTGTCAGGACGGACCGAGGCCGTGAGTTACGCATAATGGGCAATGGGGTTCTGTTATGAAAGTGATGGCTGGCAGAGCTGGGCGTCTGCTAGGAACCGGGGAATCGATCATGCAGCACGGAGGATTGCACTAGAGGTCTCGGTGCCGGAGGAGGAGCAGGAGAGGCGTTAGAGGGCGAGAGGAGAGGAGCTGGCGACAGCAGTCTAGAGGTTCTGACAGAAACGCCCAAGATATACCATTGACCTGGCTGGCTCAACCTCGATGGCAGACGCTGCGCAGAGGCACTAGTCGTCGTTCAAGTGCGTCCAGCGGAAGGGTGCGTTGAGCTGAGACGTGGGTACCGGCCGTGTTGAGCAGGCTCCCAGATGCTTGCAAGCCCTGCGGCCACACCGCTACTACAGCCAACGATGCCCATGCGATTCCAGAGGACATTTGTAGAGCGAGAATGAAGGCGTGGCTCGCCAGTAGAATGGTACAAGTCGAGGAGAGGTTATGCTGGACCCCATCCAGCCAGTCGGGTACGGTACCACCAAACGTCGAGGCCGATCCGGGGTGGTGGGGTGTTCTGCGGACGACATATGATTTAGAGTACATAAGGTACGTACTTAAGCTTCGCCTCAATGGCAACCAAGTGCCTGGATTGGTACAACCCCGGGATGGCTAATGGGTCACAGCCAACAGGGGCTGCGCACATTAACTTTATATGCGCAGTAATGATGCAGAACGTATGCACGCTCCTTGCAACTGTTCCTGGCCTAGCCAAGCTTGGAAATAGTACTACGGTACCGCTTATCTCGACGCAGGCGCCTTCAGAGCCGTTGAGCCTCATCTTGATGCATCTTCGGCTCCAACGGGTAGGCCGCTCCCTGCAAAAGACTTATCGCCACCCAGTCTTGTTCTCGCGCCACAGCGCCCAGGCCTGACACATCGCACTTACCCTGCATGCATCACCTCAGAGCACGGTGTCCTGCAGGTGACTCCTCTACATACATACATCATCGCATACATTCAACTCCGGATTGCCGACAAGAAGCAGCGCGAAGTACCCGCCGAGGCAATCGCGGTAGAGGGATGCACCTGAGCATTGCCTCCTGGGCTTTGCTGCACACATCTGCAACGGCGTCGGAGAGATGACTGTCCAACCTGCGGCATTGCCGCCAGGCTCATAGGGCAGGACACGGTACTTGAAGTGCCTGATTCGCCACTTGGTGTCGGTGTAGCTGCTCGGCATGGGTTGAGAAGTATCTGCTGGCCTACCCAGGCCGGCCGGTGAGCACCGAGGTGAATCCTTGCCCGCCTTTGCAGATCTCTGCTGTCAGGCCCCGGTCGCTCGACTACTTCTATGGCTCTCTAGGAATCTCTTCGCAGCCTTGCAAGTTCGGCTGTGCCCCTGTCGGCCCCGGGACGAGAGCCCCCCCCCCCCCCCCGGGCCAACGATTTCTCGTCCGTGCTCTGAGGGCAGAAGGCAAGGCTAAAACCCATCTTACAGAGTGAGCAGTTCCCCAGCCCCCCGGCTGCTTGTCCATGCAGACCAACGCGGCTCCTGCATCGCGGCACATCCGGTCGACAAGGATCTGACGTACCCTTGCCCAGATCAACTGTCAACCTCATTTCCCACAGCCCGACTGACAACCTGGCCGACCTGCAGGACCATGTTGCACGTTGGTTTCCTTGATGGGCCCCATTGGGGGGCGCGCTGCGCCGCAACCGTGGTCGCGAATGGTGATTGTCTGCAGGGCTTCGCGACGGCCTGGGAGCCTGGATTCAACTTGTCGCCTCCATCAAGTAACACGCCTGGGATCTGCATCGACATGGCCGTGCTGGAGCCGCTTGTTCAGCACATCGCTGTGGGCGAATGCGACGCGCGGGCCCCGCCCGGGCCGTTGCGCTGGCGCATCAATCTAGCGGGCTACGGCAGCCGCTCCGGCCAGCGAGGCTGTGTGAGACGGTCCGTGGTGAGCGGACGGCAGCTGATATGGCGTGGCCCTTGTTTGCATGGTACACAGTCTAAGAGGAGAAACGCCCAGAAGCGCGGCCAGCTGACAGACGGTGGTGCAAAAGTTCCTGATGCCAGATGGTCCGATTATGCTGTGACCCACGATTGTGACGCCACAAGGCGACCGCAATCGCGCCTAAGTGGTGGCGACTGCCTTAGACCACGGATTGGATTGGATTCACAGTCCAGAACCCCGAGAATCCACGCGCCAAGGGAGAGATTGTCCGAAAAGTGCGCAGCAATAACACTGATGGTATTTTCAAGGGTCCACTACAGAGGTCTGACTGGCCAGAAACAAGCGATGTCTCAAGCTTCGCTTTTGTTGACGGCCTTCAGCAAGTGTAGCAGAGCCTTCTTCTCATTTCACCTCTTGTGGAACCGTCCCTCTTCTGCCATGCCTTGCCCAGGAGCACGCTGGAGATTCGACCACCTCTATGTCATCGCGCTCTCGAGACCACGCAGGGCTGGCCCCCCTCGCCTGAAATGCACACCCTGAGCCAGCAGCAGGCCTTGGTCTGCCGTCAACGACGAACAAGGTCCGCACAAACGCGCAATCACGACCCCCTTCGATTACCCATTGCCTGCTTTTGAGCACCTCGTCCCTTATCGTTGCTGCCGAACGATTCCCCCCGATTGCATCGATCGTTCCGTGGCGCTGGGGTTGACCCTGCTGACCTGTCTCCGCATGTCAACAAGCGAGAAAGATTATCGTCTATGCGAGGGTTGGAGGGAACCGTCAGGTGGCGCTAGGCCAGCAGGGGCTCTTTCTTCAGCTAGCGGTGCTGTAGGGCTCTCCAGTCGGGCAGAGATGTAGTGTACGCAGGCGCAGAGGAGATGTCTCTGTGCACTGCCCTGCGCGCGCCTGCCTCAACTGCTTCCTCTGCTTCCCGACCGGGCCTTTCCAGAATGCCGAATGACTTGCTTCTGTTCGACCAAGCGACTTTTTCGCACTATCTCCATGTCGTTTCTCGAGTCACGATCTCACGCCATGCGCCTCCTTTGCGCTCGCATCACAACTCCCTGCCGAAACCGTGTAGCCAGTCACCTTCAACAATGGCGATGCACCGTGGGACTAAGGAATTACCAGCCTTTGCATCATTGCCCCTCTCTCGACTGCATCGCCTGCTTGGATCGCTCACATCTGTGAGGCGAATCATCATCTAGCCACGGGTTTACGATTCGATCGTATGCCAGCAGAATCGGAAGCGTGATTCCCACCTTCGTGCAGCTGTCGCTCAATGTCAGCCATATCTTCCTCCCAAGAGTCTCCCTTCCGCCTTGCCAGTCTTCTCAATGGACCTCTAAGTCTAACCAGGCCTCAGCACACTCCGCACTACAGACCAGCCCCTCTCTGCCGTCGGCTTCTCGCTCCTCACAGACTTGCTAATTATGAGGCTTGGACAGAAATGCCCCGCTTTCCGGAGCTCTCAGCGGCGTCGATGGTCCAACTTTGATCCGGGTCGAAAATCGTCATCCCGCGCTCTTGACAACATGCTTGCTATGCGAGAAAAGCCCAACGCCGTGCGACGCAATCACAGACTGATTCCCACCGCCGCTCCCTCCATCTCAGTCACACGGCTCCCTCCTCACGGAGGACAGACGATCACAACTTGGTTGACCATCGCCATTTTTACGAGGGGAAGGTCTGGTTTACTTTGGAGGCTCTGCGAAAGTAGGAGAGCATAGCCTCGAAGAATGGAACTGGACAGCATTCGCCCGTCGACAATGTTCACAAAGTTGATTCTCGACCTAGGAGTGACGCAAAGCAGAGAGTGTTGCGAGGAGTGCTCCAGGCGGGAACTCAAGTCTAATCAGCAAATTTGCGGCTAAACATCTGGCTGTACGGAGTGCAAGCAGTCCAGAACAATTTCGACCATAGAGAAGCGTGAGTGGACCTTCAACGACAAGAAAGGCAATGGGGCAGAGCTAACAGTCTATGCCTACTAGGTACATTCGTAAGAAGGTGGCACGGGTATGCCGCAACTGTGGTGGCAATTCGCCCCGTTGCGGTCCGTTCAAGCGTTCGCGGATTGTGTCCGTTATCGACGAACAGTAAGTGGGCACGTTGCAAGAGCCTTGTGGCTGGCTGGTTCTGACAATACTCTTCACGCAGACCTCGTGCAGGTGGTAACCTGACTCGCCGACTCAAGGATGCAGCTTTGCAACCCAAGGACGCCATCCTCGCCATCGGGACAGTGGCTCCCAGGGAACAGTTGGGAGCTCGTCGAAGCCAGGAAAGAAACCATTGGCAGACCAATCCATATGGTGGAGGCATCGCGGAAATGCAATACGTTGAGGAAGGTCCGCTATAGCAGCCCAAAACCATGGCTGGCGTTTGTGAAGCCACTAGGTGGCTCGTTGCCTCAGCTCCTCAGTTTTGATTGTTGAGCGTCTTCTCACACTGCAGCCCCCCTCCTCTCCCCTCCTCCCCTCCACATTCAACCTGAAAAGGAACACTAGGCTGATTCGACGGCCAAGTGAACGCCGCCACACTGGGCTCCGTGTTGCCCGTCCGCTGGACACGTCGTACTCTGTTCAATGTAGGCTGCATGCTGATGGGTAGTGGACGGGCGTTTCACAGAGGATGCCTAGGTTCCTTGGCCATGCAGTGCTTGGTGGAGAAGATACTGAGTAGAGAGCGCGGCGAGGACAGCCACTGAGCAGAATTTGCACGTGTTGAGCGATGCAAGGACCCGGAGCGGCTGGGTGGGTGAGGAGGCTGCGGTGGCAGGAGTGACGCTTGCATACTTGGTTTGCACAGCAGGGACACTCCTGCGACTTGGACGAGACTGGGCAACATTCTACTGAAACAGAATTGGCAGAAGATGTCAAGTCGACTAACATTGGTCGGTGTGGGCGTGGGCGGCAGCCGGGCGAAGGCTTGTAGGGGAGACAAAGGCCGTGGCAGGTGTTGCAACCGCAAGGCATTGACGGTATCAAAGTTTGAGGGTAGCCTTAGGTCGTGAAGACTGTCGGACCATCCTGGCACCTTTCTCGTCTTACATTCAGCTCGCATCATATCAATCATATTACGCCACAGGCAAGATCCGATCCAATCACTCACAATTACTCGCCGGATCTCGCGATATGAAAGAAGCTACAGTGTCCTTCCCCTCCTGCTTTCGAAAGCCACCACTGTCAAACAGGAGAGATTGGATGTGTTGGCAACAAACACAGGCTGGGAAACCCTAAGATTTTGTTCGTGTATAACTTATACCAGATAGGAGAGTGGTCGACAATGCGCTGGTCGAGCTACTCGTGATAATGAGCATCCTGGCTTACACGGCGTCGTCAAGTCGATTGTTTTCTCTTGTCGCATCCGTTATGCAAGGATGTTTGCGAAGAGCCTGTGCGTCAACATTCTCGTCAGCGCAACCCGTTCACGGCCCAGGACCCACAGTTCCGGCAGAGCACGTCAGTTGATGGAGAGCTCTCCACTTACAGTGCTCCTTGTGAACTCCTTTCCACATTGGAGGCAGGCGACCTTCGTATTCATGCCCGACTTTTCTCTTTGGTGTCTCCGCAGATTACTATTCGTGGAAAACCTCTTGCCATTGCATCCGTGGTCCCGACACCGATTCTCAGACCGCTTGCTACTGACTCTCTTCTTGTGTTCTGAAGAGACGTTGAAGCCAATTCCTAGAGTTCGCTGTTTGTGATCATGAGGTTTTGGGGCAGCTAGATTCCTGATGAGCTGGGCTGGGAAGACTGCAGCAGGCTCGCGTATATGCATGTCCGTGAGCGAGATCGGTGAAGGAGTCGAGTCTGACCGGTAGTCGGAGCCTCCAGTGGCGTCTGTGTCCCTGACAGAACCCGGAGACATGGCCGACTGCCGTTCTGGCAGCGGGGGCGACCATGTAAACTGTGCCTGCGGGCAAGATGTGAGCGCTCTTTCGAAGGGCATTGACGGCTGCACAGTGTTTTCAGCAGGTGGATTGCCGGTCCTATTTCTTTCATTCGTCCACAGTGGCAGAGGCTGCGATAGTAGGTTGTCGGCCATGTCTGTGTGAGTTGAAATCTGTGATTCCCTCCAGGCCACGTCACTTTCTCTAGTACTCTCGTATCGATCTGCTACGGAAGAGGAGGTGAACACATTGTCCGAGCCTGGGCTGAGAGGAGAGGACGTATTGGACAAACGATCGGCGTTATGTTTGAAGCCTGTTGAGAGTCATTAGAGCTGGGTTTTTATATGATGTTTCCCTTTGCACATACTGGAACAATTGCAAGAATCCTCGAAACCCCCAAAATACATTCTCGACCCAGGCGACACTGGACTCATTGCACTATCAGACAGCGGCTCTTGAGGTCGTCTAGCGTCTGAATCATGACAGCCATTTAGTGGGGAGATGGCCTCGAAAGTGGGCGGATGGTCGGAGGATGGACGCGTAGGGAAGCTATTGGTGTTTGCCGCGACAAATGCTACAGCTTGCGCTTGCCCGCACCAAGCTGGCAAAATGGATGTTCCGGCTACCCGAAAATTCTTGGTAAAATGTGATTCCGGCGTCCCAGTGTGACCACTGTTGTCCGGAAGAGCTGGTCCCCCATCGCTGGCGCATAAAAGGCCGCGTTGACACTGAAGAGGCTGCATCTTTCGGCCGCGTGATCCTACAAAAAGGAAAGAGGAAGAAGACCGGACAAAAGATGCCAGGCGTGACGTCGACTTTGTTGCCATTCGGCACGGGAACCTGTGTTCGACTAGCAGCCAAGGACGCCCGCCGTGATTGTTAGGGGCAGAGTGATTGGACCTAACAAACAAAGATGCAGACTTATTGATAGGACCGACTAAACAAACATAAATCCTAGTCCTCGACGAGATTGATTGGTCCGCCGTCCTTCTCAGTCTCTGCCCTCTGGGTCCTGTTATGTTGATCTCATCTCAGCGTACTTGTCTACTGTCTAGCCTAACACGACTCTACTATACTATGGGAACACATATGGAACCGCCTTCAACGAAGATGTCATGCAGATCACCCGACGTCTCCATAATGTGCTGGTTTCATTGGCTCCAGGTCCAGAGAATCGAGAACAAACGAGTGATGTTTCAATAATGGAGAAAGCTGGGGTTCTAGACTTCATCGCATGGGTCTCACACATCGGCCTCCACAGTACAGCGCGGAACAATGCTCTCTCCAGCATAATGCGGGGCATGAAGCTCACACTCAGTAGCAACCGCCGGCGCCGGCTTTCCTTATCACTCGGCAAGCAGGCGGAGGAGTGGTCTGAGGCTCAGCATGGGTACTTCTTGTGTCAGGGATCGAGCACTCAATAGCCTACAAGCTGGTCTGCACCAGAGACTTCGTGTTGTCACGTGAACTTCGTAGCACCGGGGAGCAATTCTGCCTTTGAAGCGACCGAGAAAAGAGAGCCGTGCTAGAACTGCTACAAATGGAAACTCATGCGTACAGGATTTAAAGGAGAGTGAATGAGACAGTTTCGCCAGATGCCTATCTTCCGGAAGCTGACTGTTCGCATAAAAGCTGCCCAAGTCAGAAAGTTCCAACCAAAATCCCGCCTACGAGATCCTCATAGAATTCCGCATCGCCACTGCGAACGAAGCGCCTTGGTCAGCGGGAGATGATATCACGAGTGTCTGTCTGGACTTACTTTTCTTGTACTTGGTCAGCTGTTCCAGAGTGCTGCGTCCACCCGACGAGGATGAAGACTTGGCTGCGATCTCCCTGGTTGGAGAAGCGGATTTCTGTTCATTGTCCTCCTTGTTGTGGGACGAGTAGACGGACTTGAAGCCGGTGGTAGTGCCCTTGGCATATTTACTGGGTTTGCCCTCGCGGGAGAATAGGAAGGGCATGGCGAGTAATGGTATAATCGAGAAGGGTTGCAACTTTGTAGAGTGAATCTCGAATGCAAGGTTGTCTTGATTAGAGCTCCTTCGGGTCTTATTATTTTAGTGAAAGTGGCTTTGGATATGACTGAAGGGCATGGCTGGAGGGCGGACGAGACGTTACTTATGTATCCCCACCTCACTGACAGCAAAAGCGCGCCACGCCCTTTAGTGTGCTGGCTCCTTTACCATCATGGCTCACAATAGCGACCACCGCGGGTGGGTGGCTTAGGTCTGATGCCAAACTGCGGGCTTGAAGACACCCAGCTCTGAATGTGGCAAGCTAGACATGCCGGATCTCGGCCTCCCAGGTGTACTGCAAGCAACGAAACCCAACCAGCTCTGAACTCATCTTGAGGATGAGTCAAATGCCACGGACTGGCTGCGCCTTGCCAGCGGTTACTTCTGGACGAGAATCACATCTCCGAAAGGCCTGGTGAAATGAAGCTGAACACGCACTTCCATGCAGTTTGTTCTATTTGCCTTGTCCTGGTCTGGAATTTTTGGAAATCAAGCGGTAATTTCGCATAACCTGTACCTTGGGGGACCTCTTTACCCCGTGTGGCGGAGTTCTCTGCAGGCTGGGATGTCTCCAGCAAGGCTAGGCAGCATGCAGTCGGGCAACCAAACAGGGCGTGCGCAGCAGGCAATGTTTGTGCAAACAAGGCCATCATCAACAGCCTCCGAGGGACCGGCCAAGTTGACTTTCGAGTGGACCCAAGAACGCACCTCTACCGGGAGGACGAAAGCATACCTTGGCGGCACAGTACGACCGGAATAGCCATTGGTGTGGGGATCGATTCTCTTTGTGTCCTGTCTCATCATCTTCAAACAAGCCGATACCCCAAACATCGTGAACGCTGTGCGTTGCGGCACCAGGCAAGTCCCCTTCCATAAGCACCCTGTATCTGCCACGATACAGAGCCAGTTCCGAATGGTGTGGCTGCCAAGCAGACAGCCAACGACAGCAATTCATGATCAGCACGCCAAGGCTAGCATGATGTGTTGCCATTGTTGTGGTCCCCTTCTCCGCCACCCCTCGAAAGATACGGGCACAGTGCTTCCACGAAGGCGATATGATTGATTCATCCCCAAGGCTTTCCAGGACTAACTACAGGGATTCCACCTGTCTATGCTTCTGTATGCAACAGAAGAAGCAAGAGCATCATTTAGCAATAGGTTCAGGAGGTTTCATTCGACGAAAAGGATCAGAGAAAATGCCGTTTTGAGGCCGCCAGACTGGAGCCGTTCCTTTCATTCACACCTTTGGGGAATAAGCTATAGCCAGGAGGTTTCTGCGTCCGTTCCAAGGATGGCCATCGCCCCTCGTACCCTGACTCGCGTCAACCCTCGCCGTCCCAGCATGAGCCCTTCTGCTGAACCTCCGACCATGAGGCAGCAGCGACAGTGCCAAGTCGAGCGGGTGACCGACCAGCTCGAGACTCCCTCGGTTGACAATCGTGGCTATCGCGTCATTCGCCTGCCGAACCAGCTCGAGGCCCTCCTTGTCCACGATGCTGACACAGACAAGGCCTCTG